GGTTTTCCTGTATAGTAAGTTGTTGAAGGTCCGGCAAGCCCAAGGGCACAGCGGTGTAGGAATAATAATAATATAAAAAGCGGACGCGACGAGTGCACTGACAATTTGAAAAAGGCTTTAAGGGATAGCACGGTGACAAACTCGCCCCTGGCGACTGGAGTCCTTGCGGCCTACTTCTTCTACCAAGCCGTTGATCTGGACAGTCGGCCCACTGCGGATGAAGACGACTCGGGCGGTGGGGAAGCTGACGAGTACTGGATAAAGCAGCAAGACATCGAGAACGGCCTGCTATCTATCTATGTGCAACTACCACCGAGTCTTCGGCTCCCTCAAAATTCCGGCTGTCCACATGCCATTTTCATCAACATATTGATCCACACCACTACCATGTGTCCCCATAAAACCGCAATTCGAAAAGCCCGCGGGCACAGAGGACCAAACGTCGAATACCACGCAAGGCAGAGTGAGGTGAGAGATCTCAATTGCCTTGCTTGTTCATGGTTTCCTTATTGGATCAGGTTACTCAATAACCGCTCGATGATATAGGCGCCGTCGCCCGCGTCGATGACGAGCCACTTTCCCCCAGGTACACGGGGCTTGGGAAACTCAGCGGACCTTACTGGGAACCCGTAGATGCGGCTATGCTAACGTCATGCACATGCTGCCAAGACGAGTACAGAGGTTGTGTGGTACCTAGGTAGCACTGAGTCTGGGGAAACGTCTTCGACCCGGCGGCAAGCGCAAAGCACAAAGTATGCAAACAGAAACAAACAGGCAGCATTGCCAAACCAACTCAGTTAGACAAGAGGCTCATGAAGGGGGGAGATCACGGTCTCACAGAAACATATCATCGAACTCGGCCATGCCAAATGGAAAAGCCCACCGCCCGAGATATACATGCCGCTGCGCACACGAGATCTGAGATTGCTTGCCAAAGCTACAGTAAGCCGTGGACCGACGACCAGCTGAGCATGGCTGTGCTTGAACAGATGCTCTCGGCGCTGGATCACCTGGCCTACATGAAAATGTGCTACCGCGATGTCAAGCCCGAGAACATCCTCTAGTATGAGATCCCGAACAACTTCACTTCCAGCTGGCCGACTTGGTCTCGCCAACCACTGCCTCCTAGCCGTGACCAAGTGCGGCACCGGCTACTACGAAGCCCCTGAGCTCTAACCCAACGACGGCCGGTTTGCGCAAAGCCTCAAGATGGACGTGTGGTCGCTCTTTGCCACCATCGCCGACGTACACCGCAAGTTCAGCTTCTCACCAACCCAGGCGAAGTCTTATGCAGACGTCCTACACGCCATGCGCGCGGCCGCGCTGGCGCAGCCCAACCTCGCCGACATGGTGCAGGAGAACCCGCACCACCGCGCTTTGGCCGCCCAGCTGCTTGCCGCCCACTTCGGCGGCCGCGGTTTCAGCACGCCAAGGGCCCAGGTGCCGCCCCTATCACCCCCGCCGACAACACCCAAGCCATCAACTGCCGCGGTCGCCCCGTCTTCGGTGCCGGCTTCACAGGCGCCGACAATCGCGCCGACCAGAGCGCCGGTGGCATTCCGCTGGTGGAGTACCACGCGAACCCCCGCGGCACCTGCGGCAGGACGCGGGACAAGCACCGTCGCCGCTATTATAGCCGAGCGGGACAGGATAACGAAAACGAAAGCGCCTGCGACTCTTGGCCGGCCCCCTCGTCGGCCTGCACCAGCCCAGGCTGCCACAAGGGAGAGCTCTGAAGATCGGAACGAGAGGCCTGGGACCAGTGTGGGCTTGCTTAGTATTTCAGGGACTTCCCGGTCTGAGCGCTAGGTGAAGGTATCACTACAGTGGGGCAGGAGCCAGCTTCGAACTCTTGACTTGGTTAGTCCACTCAACCGCCCAGCAACTTTTAAGCGCAGAGGAATGGCAGTATACCCACTTTTGGCAGCTATGGAATGGCCTATAGAGACAGTTTGGTATCCCACAGCTGCCTGGGGAGTCACAGCACAGAGCTCCCGCATTTGAGAGGCCCAGTGATCAGTCAGGGGTTTAGCCGTACAATATAATTACTGTAGTTAAGTGAAAGAAGGAGTGTAAATACCATGATACCTGGTGAATCCGGGTTTTATCTTACCCGCAAAAACCCCCTGTCTGCACGGGTCCGCAAGGTTGTGCACGGGGCTTTTGCGGTGAGGAAAACCCAAATTCAATGAGCACTTACGGTAGTTATCCATACCTACCACAGTACGGAGTAACATAAATTCTGCGCTCACTAACACCCCAGGGTTGAATTCCATTCTTAGTGCTGCTTCCCTATGATTGATTCTCAACTGCCAATTTGGCCTCGATGCTGGGTCGGACAGCGTATCGACTCATCGAGCGCAAAGTACAAAGAATGCAAACAGAACAAACAGGCCGGATTGCCAAGCAACTCAATGAACACGGACAAGAAGGTAAGAAGGGGACGCAATCACTGCCTCAATTTCTGGGGCAATAGGAGAAGAATCTCGGGCTCATCCAAAATGATGCAGGAAAATCAAGAACCCGATCGGACTCGTGATGCTTGGCAAGAGACGCGCTAGCCGGAGCCTTTGCCGGGCCGATTACCCCATCAGATCTGTTATGGAGCCATGGCGGGTTAACTGACGGATCAACAACACTCGCACGCCACATGGCTGCTTGAATGGGACTCAAGTTCTTCAGCGACTTTCGCGCATCTTGTCGCGGGATACTCTCACCAGTTGTTGCTGGCTTGTACCAGTTGAGAGATTGCCGACAGCAGCTCTGAGTGTCTCAGAAATGGAACTTACTGTTGTACGGAGTACGGTCCTCCTCCTTCCTGGCCCGCTCCAGCTCGAATGATTCCTTGCATTGGCGGTGCCTCGATTAATCCCAGTCTCAGCCACTCAACTCAGCCTGCCTCGCATGAGCTGCATGAAATGGCGGCGATGGAAGCCGTGGAAGCCCGTTTTCAGTGAATGCAGGCCGGCAGTGTTTGCCAGCCCTGGCAGCTGGCATTGGGCACGATTTCGAGAACGGCGAGAGCTTCCTTGTTGAGTCGATTTGCAGTTGCGGTGAGACAACCTCTCGGGTCGGAAGGGGGTTGCAGAATCCTTTTTTCGTGCCGCCATTGCCTCCCTCAGCCGCAGAGTTGGTGGACACTGCTCAGTGGCACGTTCCTGGCACGTTCCTGGCGCTTTCTTGATCCCCCCCACTTGTGTTGCTTCTCGAGTTCTCATAACCGTGACCGACAAGCTTCTCCTCGGCCTCAATTTAAGAACCCGCTTATCCACTTGCCTACCCGCCAACAATTTGCAGCTTTCCACCAGCCCACCATGGCCGACCTACCGGGCTTCGGCCACCGCAAGTTCAGCATCAACCGTAACACGGGCGTCCCTCGGCCTTGCCGCCGCTTCTCTGTCGGAGAGCCGGGGCTGAATGGTGTGAACTGACTTGCTGCTTCGAGAAAACTGAGGATCCCACAGCTAACATGGCATTAGAGGCAAGCAGTAAGGTGCATCGCCAATTTAGAGCCGCTCACGAAGGGTACGCCGCCTTGTTCCCCTCTCACATTTGACCTCTCAAGAACTCGGAAACTGACAACGAATCGGCAGCCATCTCCCCCATGCTGGGCTCGATGCTACCAGAGCTTCGACTGGTGTCGTATGGTGCACTGAGCGAGCTGCTGAGCATGGCTTCCTCGACGAGCCCGACAAATGGGCGAATCTGGGCCGTAAGCCTCTTCCCGCCAGCGATGAGATACTGGAATAAGAACTGACATGTGTACAGAGGGCGCGCCTGAGGTACAACACATACTATCCTAACGCCGCATCGTACTTCTCTCCTGACAGACGCAGGTCGATGACGACATTGAAGGCTGTTTCCCCCGGCCCAACCACATCGACATCTCCACCGCCAGCCGCGAGTACGGTCCCACTGCCGGTATCAAGCCTCTGAGGGAGGCCGTCGCGCGCCTGTACAACAAGATGCATCGCCAGGGCAAGGCCAGCCAGTATACCTGGGAGAACGTGGCCATTGTTCCCGGCGGCCGTGCCGGTCTCATCCGCATCGCTGCCGTCCTGAACAATGCCTATGTCGGCTTCTTCATCCCCGATTACACGGGTACGTGTCCCCAATTCGGAGTTTAGGTGACTGGGAGACTGACAAGAGGCAGCGTACAACGAAATGCTCTCGTTGTTCAAGAACGTAAGACCCCTTGCCCTAAATACTCGGCCAGCAACAAGTGCTGACCGTTTAGTTTGCCGCTATCCCCGTTCCTCTCTCAGAAGAAGACGGCTACCACATTCATCCCGAGAAAATTGCCGAGGAAATTGCCCGCGGAACCAGCGTCATAATCACGTCCAATCCCCGGAACCCGACCGGCCGCGTCGTGAAGAACCCGGAATTGGCCGAGATCCAGGACATCTGCCGTGAACGCGGTAAGCTCATCCGCCCCCGTTCCTCCTCTCTCCTGTTCCTTCAAGTTTTGTCTTGCTCTCGAGCCCATCTCCATAGCCTCTATCCCGCCTAGGACCCTAACCCCCTACCCTCCACTCACGAACCTCAACCCTCCTTTACCCCTTAAGAGCATGATGTAATTGTGATTCGTGAAGCCACTTTGGTTAGTGACGAGTTTTACGCTGGCTACAACTACACGAGCGACTGTGATGGTACCACTATCAGCGCCGCAGTATGTGTTCATCTTTTCCCGCGATTTATGTACACATGTCTGACACATCACAGGAGAACGTTATCGACGTCGACGAGGACGACGTCCTGATCATCGACGGCTTGACCAAGCGCTTCCGCCTGCCCGGCTGGCGCGTGGCCTGGATTCTCGGTCCCAAGGAATTCATCAAAGCGTGAGTTTCCGACCCTTCCTCCCCCCATTCGCCTACCTTGTTCCCATAACTCAACCCGCACACAAATCACAGAATCGGCTCCTGCGGCTCGTATCTCGACGGCGGCACTAACGTGCCTTTCCAAGAAGCCGCCATCCCGATGCTCGAGCCGTCCCTCGTAAAAAAGGAGATGGCCGCGCTGCAGCAGCATTTCCGCGCCAAGCGCGACTACGTCGTCCAGCGCCTGCGCGACATGGGTTTTACCATCCGCCACGTGCCCGACTCGACTTTCTACCTGTGGCTCAACCTCGAGGGCCTTCCCGGTCCCATCTCGGACGGCCTCAACTTCTTCCAGGCCTGTCTGGAGGAGAAGGTCATTGTCGTGCCGGGCATCTTTTTCGATCTAAACCCCGCCAGGAGACGCGATCTGTTTGATAGTCCGTGCCATCACTTTGTGAGGTTCTCGTATGGGCCGAGGATGGATGTGCTCAAGATGGGGTGTGATGGGATTGAGCGGGTTGTTAACAAGTGGGTTGCTCTATTCTTTTGGGGGCTTGGTTGGTACTAACTGAGATTACAGGTTCAAGAACTTGGTGAGCCACTGAGAGAGGGATAGATTGCTTGTATTCCCGTTCTGGGCCGGTAGGACGCGTTCCCGGGGTACATTGCTCGTAATCTCCCTTGCCTGCTTGGTACGTCTACTGGAATCTCTCTTGGCCTTTTGTTCATCACCGACAGAAAGGCAAAAGCCTCTTCTACATAGACAGCATGATGTTTAGGGCACTGTTATGGTAGTAACCGTAGATTTCCATCTTGCCAAATCATTGTAGCCATGGCTCTTTTGAAAACTCGAGAGAGTGTCATCGTTGGTGTACTAGTAGATAATGGACGCTTGGAGATACAACCTCACCAGGGGCTGCTGTTGCAGCCTGCCTTACCTCAGTCCTTCACCAGCAACACCTCCAGGATTGATCTCGTGGGCATGACAGTACCTCGGAAGTCTTCGAGGTTACACGAGGCTGTCCGGTATGCATGGGCCCCAAATTAAGCGAAGCTCATCCAACTTGCCCGGCTCATCCCACTCAATTATTGGTATCACGGGATGTGCCAGTGAGGCGATTACCAGATACCGGCAAGATCATCCCTCGGAGGACGTTGTTGTTGGTTCGTCACTGACTGTGCCACGGCAAAACCCCGCTCCAAACACCAACTGCACACCTCATTTCAGGTTGGCAGGCGGTTGCCATCAACAACATCTTGGTCTCTTGCTAGTTAATCACTATTTGAAACCAAGCGATATCGGCAAGCGGATGGGATTTTACCTGCATTCTTGTCAGTCTCAGTCGTCTGCGAAGAAGTTTTGCTGGCGTCCGGAACCCGGAAGTTGGACATCTTGAGCTTGATTGATTACTGTCCAACAAGGAGAGACCGAGAGAGAAAAGAGAAGAGTGAGAGAGAGTACTCACCTAGGAAAGAAAGGAGAAAAATTCGTCTATATACAAGACGTCAATTCCGCCCTCGAGTTCTCGGAAGTCGAGTTCAGCATGACGACCAGGAACCTCAACCAGACCTGGCGCGATGTCGTCTTCAACCAGTACGCAGCCGACTACGCCGCCGACGTCCCGTTCCCCGTCCGCTACCTGATTCACGCCGATCAGTGGAATAGGGACATATTCATTGAGATTCCTACCAAGATCGACGCCGTATGTGTTGCCTGTACCTTTCTTCCTCCCGAGTCTTTTCCCTAGCCGTAATGCGGCGGCTCTCGGGCTGCTGTTCCCTTTTTTTTCCATTCATGCATGTGTGAAGAAGCGTCTACGCTGTACTTCGCAAGAAAAACAGCAGCTGACCTTTTCCCCTTTTGGCTCCATGATTAGCCTACATTCCGCCGCGCAATTCTCGATTTCTGCGTCGCAAGACGCAACCAAGCGCCTGTGTACGGAGACGACCGCATAAAAGTCCGCCCTCGTGCCTCTCCCTATCATCAGAGCGAGGCGTCCTCCCAAAATAACCATGATGATGCTGCCCTTCAAGAGGACAATGAGCCTGACCCGTCTTTGCATGGGGATGGCGCTGCTGGGCTCAGCGGTTGAGGCTTGGGATTTTATCGTCTACGGCGACAGCGAATGTGAGACGACGCCGACGGCGCACTTCTCGGGCCGCGGTAGAACAAGGTGCAGTTTTTCTCTCTGCATTTGTTGATCATACTCAAATATCTCAGGGTACTTTGGCTAAAGAGAAAATCTTCCGGTGGGAATTGATTGCAAGCTGCACCCGTGTCCCCGACCCACACAGAGCGTTCGAGATTCACAATATGGGCAACTGCTGGCTCGAACTGTACGCCACCGAGAATGACTGTAGAATCGGCACGACCAAATGTTTATGACTGGACAACGACGATATGCATTGTTCCCCAGTTTCGCTGGGATGATTTCGAGATTTCTATTCGTTAAGCGGGTGGGTGAGAGTATCTTGGCTTTCGTGTTTCCTGCTTCTAGGTTTACGGCTTGTGGCAATGAAGTCGTTTCATTGGTTCTCCAAGATACACCGCACTGACTGAAGCCCGTGTTGCGTTTTCCCTAGTAAAAGGTATCTAGGAAAACATCTAGACTTAGTAGTAGCATGAGCGTACCTGGCTCCTGGGGCCTGGAATAGTCATGTTGCAATACCTGGAATCAGTTGGTTTTCACGTTACTGTGTTCAACTTGAGTTCGATATTCCAATATAACTACTGCCAGCCATTGATCGTATTAAGCAATCAACAAGACACACGAGTCAATGAGAAAATGCGACTTGCTTGAGACTACCATGTCCCCACCTGATATACTTCTCATACAGGGGATGTTCCCATTCAGTGAGTGCTTCAATCTAAACATTGGAATCATTGCCTTTTGTTAACAGGTTGGAACAATCTTATGATTTTCGAGTTTGTCATCCCAAAACTTACTAGTAGACTCGTGTTAGAAGAGGAAGGGCCGAAGCCAAGGTGGCACAAGGGTTGGATGTGTCAAGTGGGCAAATTAGCTGTCCGTTGGGAAGACGGGGGTCATTGTGGGCTAGTTAATGTAAATGTCTTGTTGGTTCATGTCTGAGACCTTGACTCATCTTCCTTATGACACTTCAAGCGCAAGTCATCGGGCAGTGGAATCGAATATTCATCCGGCAGGCTTGAAAGAGTGCCCAGTGTATGAATCTCGTATCCTACTAAAATAATCCCTTTGAGTCATCTTCCACTTACGAACAGAATCTTCCTAAGGCATACGGCTTCCTTGCAACTCCTTGCTAACTAACAACTAAATCTCAAGAAGTCTCAGAAGCTGCTCGCCAGGCAACTTCGCACTCCTTTGCCATATCTTCGTCTGCCTGTCAGAGAGCTACGTCATTGGCAGACCTGGAGGCATACCTGGGGCAGCTTGCCGCGCTGATTTTGCTACCTAAATATCCCAGATGCAGATACCGTTCACAGCCCCAATGATACCTACTGTCTGTCCATTGCGGCTGCTCTCGAGGAGCTGGTAAATTGCGACCGACTTCTGCTCTACGACTCGCTTCAGCGGATCTCGACGCCGTCTGAGGAGGGCTTGGTGCTGGTGCTGCCGGGGTTGGAACTAAAGCATGCCAAAGCGAATGACTTGGCTGTTGAGTTGGCTTTCAGGGTATTGCACCCTCTTCTGTCTTGAACGTTAGATTCCATCACTTCATTGCACAGACTTATTCGTTTTGTTTACGGTTTCCGGCGCTGCTGCCAGTCAACCCACCGATGCCTCAAGACAACTATCTCCAGTTCTTCTACTCCTGCAAATTGCTCCATCGCCAGATCCTCCCTTTCATCCATGAGCGCAAGGCATCCTACGGCAACACCACCACCACCCCCCCAACTCTAGTATCCGAGCATCACCAGAACAAGAAGAAGAAGAAAAGGGCCATCATCGAGTTCTCGTTCCCAAGCATTCCCAAGGAGTTCCACGCGGGCCACCTCCGCAGCACCATCCTCGGCGCCCTCATCGCCAACCTGTACGAGAGCCGGGGGTGGGACGTCGTCCGGCTGAACTACCTCGGCGATTCGGGCAAGCGGTTCGGCCGCTGGTGGTGGGCGCAGCCGCTCAAGCACCTGCTCAATGTGTACGTCAAGATCAATGCCGATTTCAAGCCTGAGGAGCCTGAGAGTAAGAAGGCGAGGGATGAGGGACGGGATACAGCGGAAATTCAGTCGCGCGGGTTGTTTGCGGAGAAAAATAAAGTCTTCTAGAGAATGGAAAGGGGAGATGCGGAGGCGCTGGCGCTGTGGAAGCGATTTCGCGATATCAGTATCGAACGGTATGTCGATATTTATGCTCGGTTGGGGATCCACTTTCATGGGTATGCCGGGGAATCGCAAGTCAACCCGGCTACGGTGGCGGAGGTCGAGGCAATCTTGAAAGCAAAGGGGGTCTACGAAGAGGACCAAGGGTTGTGGCTGATCGACTTTGCAAAACACGGCGCGAAGCACTTCGGGACAGCCATCGTGCGAGGCCGGACAGGCACAACAACATATCTCCTACGGGACGTCGCCTCCATCCTGTGCCGAGCAAGGCAATACTCCTTCGACGAGATGCTCTACATTGTCTCGTCTGAAGAAGACGCCTACTTCCAGCGCGTCTTCAATACAGTCGACCTCCTCAACCATCCCGACCATCCCACCCTCGCAACCAAGTGTAAACACGTCAACTTCGGCAAGGTCATGGGCATGTCCACGCGCCTAAGCAAGGTAGAACTGCTCAGCGACATACTAGACCGGTGCGCGGGCGCGATGCACGACGTGATGCGCGTCAACGCCGCCAAGTACGCCCAGGTGGCAGACCCGCACGCCGTGGCGGACACGGTCGGCATCGCGGCAGCATGGTCCAGGACATGTCGCACAAGCGCATCAACAACTACCCCCCTTCGACATGGCCCGCATGACGTCCTCTAAGGGCGACACGGAGCCGTATCTGCAGTACTGCCACGCGCGGCTGTCGTCGGTTTTGAGGAACGCGAGGGGTGGTGCGGGCGGCGTTGATATTACTCAGGCTGCTGCCGGTTCTGATATGATTGTCATGGAGGAGCTTGACTATTCGTACCTTGAGGACGAGCACTCGGCGGCCTTGTTCCGGACTACGGCGCAGTACCCTGACGTGGTTGGCGTCGCGTTCAACAACCTCCGAGCCGTCGACCGTCTTGACGTATCTGTTTCGTCTGGCTCACCAGCTCTCGTCGAGCTATGACGTGCTGCAGGTGGTTGGGGCACCGAGGAAGGCCTAGTGCGGCACTCGCTCGGGCGGTGTTGTATGAGAATGCACGACAGGTGTTGGGGAATGGAATGCGGCAGCTTAGTATCAAACCTGTGGAGAGGTAGGATCACACTCTTGCTAATAAATTTATATGGCTCCCTTTCGTCTGGTGTTGACAGCGCCTCGGATGTGACTTGTTCTCCAGCTGAGTCGTTCCAGGTCTAAGCAATATCGAGCCTTCTTTCATTTTCTCTCTTCCCCGTTCGTTACCATCACCTACGCTTCCATTTTTCACTCTCAGTCTCTTTATGTTGTTCATCTGAAAGGACAAAGTCAACTAGAGCAGGGATAGTAGATATGAAGCTTAAAATTGAGATTTTTCTGAAAGGAGAATCAGACAGACTTTGTAAACTGATCACCTAGTGCGTGTACTTGCGGTACACGTTCCGAGTGCTCTCCGGGCAGATCTCCATATCATGCGCCCCTGTCTTGCCACAAGTAGGGAAAAACAGCTCTGACTCTCCATGGGCAAAGTCGCAGCGAGTGCCCCGGATGCACTTCTCTTGATGTCTGCAAAGCTTGAATCTCTTGGCCTTGCCGGGCCCGGAGACCTGAGAGTGCCTCCTCTCTTCTTCGGTGTGGCCAACTTGCAGGCCACGCCTTTGGCGCAGTACTTGCGAAAGTCACACCTCCATCGCGAGGTGATCTCGGCCTTTGGCCTTCTCTTTACGTTTGGCAAGTTTGGTGTTGACGTCTGTATAAGAACCGCCGTCTCCGTCGTCCGTGTTGTTAGCGTCGTTATCGTGAACAGCCGCGGGGTTGTAGTCTTCTTGATCGCCGAGAACACTGTCCGGCAACTCGTGGAATCGGTTCGAAATGGCGAGCTTAGCCTTGAAGTATGGGAAACGTTGCGCATACTTCTGGTAGGGGAGCACTGTTAAGCCGTGCTTGGACAGCTCCTCCTTACAGGTTTGAAAGAACCGATCCCTGGCATTGTAGTCCATTTCGGAATTCAAGGTAGCCGGTATTATTACCAGGTCGCAACTCGCCGCACCCTCTCGTATCTCATCCATTTTGTAGCACCAGTGGGAATATTGGTGCTGGAAGCGGGAGAAAAACTCGTGAATTTCCGCTGCCTTGGGCTCCGGATTCAAAACGACGGCACTATGAGGCGAAATGTTCCTCCTGTCGCCTTGCCACTTGCTATTCTGAAAGCCGATCTGCTCGAGATACTGATTGGAGATGGACGTGGACGAGCTTGTCGGTCTGCCGCTTGTACTGGCGTGCGAGGCAGTTCTCCCACGACCAGACGCGGACATGGAACCCGCACTCGGCAATCGTGGCCACGGCCGTCTGAATGTCGCTGTCGCCCGAGGCGACGACGAACTCGCTTGAGATGCCGCCGACCTCTGCTCTGACGGAGGCTTTGACTGAGTCTGCAATCAGCTGTCCGTCGACCTTCTTTTCGCGCCCGGACCAGTGACTCCCAAGGTCTTGACGAATACTTGCACGACTCCATAGCCTCCCAAACCGTATCAACAGGCGGGGGCGTTGAGCCATACAAGGTAATAAAGGTGCCAAATTCTCGCCGTCTGGGCGCAAAACTGATACAGGATGTGTTAACAAGTCACATCTGAGGCACATTGGCCAAGAGCGCAGATGGACGTAACACTTAACTACCACTTATCGGCCAGGATGTTTTTAAGGACTCCCGCATCAAACCGCCAGCATGGGTCGTCCAAGACAGCCATCTCACGCCTTTCGGCGTACGTCTTGCGTCCCTGAACCCATAGGTTGGAGTTGTCGATGTACATATAGACGTTTCCCTCTATGTTGCCGGTCCCACTGGGAACAAGATGCGTGATATGGGTTGACATGATGCGGCAATGAAACTGTAAAAAGAAGATGGACGGAACAAGTTGAAATAGTAGAAATCTTTTAGGTCTCGTAAAGTTGTTAGTAAAGCTGTTGGTGTCGGGGGAGAATCTAAATGCAGGTTGATGAGAAATAAGACTTCAGAATGAAAGAAGATGGGTTTCGAAGAACTTGAACTCGAGAGAGGGGAAGATGAGCTATAATTCTGTAGGCTGCTGCAGTGCTGTCTAACAAATCTCAATCCGCTAGCATCTATGCCGCCTATGCTTTCATGACTCACAGCTACGAAAGCAATACGAAGCAGTGATATCCGGACAAACAACCCCATTCAGTTATCTCAGTAGGCAGTCGGGCAATCTCGTGAATTTACTGTGGTACGTTATAGAGTTGTACAGGACAAGTTCCCCGCTTTGAGGGGAGGACACCCTAACCCTGACATAATTATCAAGTGGGGCTGCCCTCCAACCTTGGTGATCTCACAATCATGATAAGTATCGCGCGCGTCTCGTCTTATCGATTATTGTGCTTCGTCACCACCACCGACTTGAACAACCTTGGCCTCTCCGCCATGAGGTAACGGAAATGTGGCTAACCTAGAGAATAGACATCAACAATGCTTTAGTCAACTCTCAAATCGAGGTTGTTTACTTACGCTCGTTTCCATACCTTCTCCGTCACTGCCTGATCCTGGCCTCTTTGGCACCGACCATCGTCTTCCGAGTTAGCTGCTGCTCTGACTTGACTCGACGCCCGCATCGCGATTCTGCCATTGACTCGACACGATGCCGAAGCAGTACGTCGTCTGTGGCCGCCCCGTGCCCCGGCTGGGCACCCGCCACATCTCATTCCTCCTCGTCAGCCTCGCCCTCTTCGCCGTCTTCAGCCTCCTCTTCACCCTCCCGGGCTCCATCCACGCGAGTTCAAGCCTACAAGCCGCCGGCCGCAGGTTCTCCATACCGAAATCCCTCAAGAGCCCGTGGATGAACAAGCTCAACCCATTCAAGCAACCGTCGCATCCGCCAGCGATCCAGAAGAGCGACACGGACGGCGACTCGGTATGGTACGCCGACTGGAACTGGCTGTTGATGCCCTTCAGCAGCTCCGTCACCCTCGACGAGAACAGGGCCCTGCTGCCAGTGCTCAAGCCGCGCACCCCCATTTACTGCTACTACGACAACACCTTGGACAAGGACCAGCCGACCAAGGACGCCGAGAGCGACCTGCTGCTGGCATGGCGCCGTGCGTGGTGGGCGCAGGGCTTCAAGCCCATCATTCTCAGCCCGGCAGAGGCCATGAACAACCCGCTGTACGACGAACTGCAGAGGCTGGAGGATATGAACCCAGAGCTCAAGACGGACCTGATGCGCTGGCTGGCGTGGGAGAATATGGGCGACGGAGTGCTTGCCCACCACCGCTTGTTTCCTATGGGCCCGCACGACGACCCTCTGTTGACATACCTCCGCCGCGGCGAGTTTCCGAAGCTGACGCGCTTCACTGGCCTAGATGATGGCCTGTTTGTGGGATCCAAAGGTGAAGTGGCTGCGGTCGTTAAGGCCGCCATGGCCAGCCCCGAGATGAAGGCGGCCGCGGACGTGGTGGCGGCAGTTCAATCGCCTAAGAAGGAGGACCCATTCACCGTTGATGATGCACCGAAGTCCTTGGCCTACTACTCGGCGCGTCAGATCGAAAAACTGTATCCCCAAGTGGGTGATGCTCTCACGGCCTCTCAGTCAGCGGGGCTCAAGAGCCTCGCGCAGCTTATCAGTTCCCATCTGCACCTCACTTGGCAAGATATCTTCACCGATGGCATCGCCGTGGTCAAGCCTCTGCCGCACCACACTACCCACATTATCATACCCGCCTACGAGCTGGCCCAACGACTAGCCCACTGTCCGGAGACACCCCTCCCCAATTCCTGCCCTCCGAATCGTCCCAAATGCCGTTCTTGCGACGACTCCAAGCCCATGAAGATCACCACCCCTTCTTCCTACTCCGAGTCCAGCACGCTCTACACGATTGGCACCGTCCCGCACCCATACACCACATCCACCCTGAACTACCTCAAACCCCAGCTCTCCGTGCCGTGGATCCGCCGCTTCTCTCCACGCGACGCTTGGATAATCGCCCTGACGTCCTCCCTCTTCAAGGACTCCATGTCCACCACGCCACGTCTGCTCCGCTTCAAGGAAGCTGTCGCCTCCGACGAGGACGGCAGCACTGCCGAGGCCAGAGAAAAGGGAAAAGGCTCCACCAAGGGCGGCGCATACCGCTCCCTCTGGCTCCTCGCCGAGCAGCCCGTGCCCGACGACATAGATTGGCACTTTGGCTTTGCCCTGCCCGACCGCGCAACTTACGTTGATCCATCTAACCAACAAGCCACAACCGACACCGACACCGACAAAGACGTCACCACCGACAAGGACACCACCGCCACCACCACCAACACCGGCGGCAAGACCACCACCCCCAAAATAGACAACGCCCCCAGCACTGTTATGCCTATGCCCATTCACACCGAAAAAGATGGCCCCGTCCCTTCAAAAGTAGACCTCGCTCTCGAACCAGACCTCTTCGCGCGTGCCCAAACCATCGTGCTCTCAGGAAGAACCTCCAAAAGTCCAAAGTCGAAGACGAAAGAAGCGTCAAGTGAAGACCTCGTCCTCCGCGACGCCGTCGAGGCCTGGAACCTGGCTGACACCGAGGCCTGGCGCTTTGCGCGCGCGTATTTGGCCCGCAAGCAGGTGGAGAGAAGGAAGTGGGAGGAGGAGGAGGCGCGGTATGCGGGTGGGATGGGGTCTGAGAGGAAGAGTACTAAGGCAAACAAAGAGGGGAAGGGAAAGGGGAAGTGGGCGGGGGGAAGGGTTTGGGATCGGTGGTTAGATCGTCATGATTGAGTATATTTTTGGCTTTGATCAAGACCTCTGGGATTGGTTTGTTGGGTTGTTGTCTTGTCTGGGATCCAAGCAGCCAGGCAAACGTGTTGGTCGGACAACGGAACGACGGGCGGATATGTCTTTGCTGCTGCTGAGGGGGCAGGGAGGGTAAAGTGGGATGGTGTTTCGTGGAATGGTGAAGCAACTGAATTTGGTAATGCGCTGCATGTGGGTTTTATCATTCCATGTGTCACTATAAGTTATGTACATGCATCGGCGTTGAGGTAGACGGGTACCTTGAGTGGTCATGGGTCTTAGGGAGGGTATTTTGGGAAAAGAGACCAGCAGATTTCTACATTGAGAAATGTCGCGAGAATTGTAACTTTGCTTGCTCCCATCGTCCCAACCATCACTCACGTAGCTAACGTAGCGTAACGTACATGGGCTTCGCTTCTTACATTGGAAGACTCGGCCGACAAGGACGGGACTGTATTATACTTGTATTGTACAAAACTAGGGTACAAGGACATCGAGGTCGAGGCCAAGAAGTTTCGAAGCCGCAATCCGATCGTGCCAAGCCTAAGATAGCCATAGCTCCCATTGCAGCGAAGCTTTGGCTTCGGGGACATCAAAGGTTGACCCACCTCGCGATCGTCAGGTCAGTTTCGCGCCCGAAGTTTGGACCATATACCTTACCATTCGACAAGGAATTGCCAATCTCTAACCGCCTCAGACTGGTTGCAAGCTTCCCAGGCACCATATATTGAGTTTCGGCAGCCAATATACCGACAATGAGGCCCCCCCTTTCCGGGGCAGGCAGGCCATTTACATACCTGCGGTGCCTCGTGCAAACGTCGCGACAACGCCCTACCGTTTCGACCCGCTGTCGCCTGCGGAAACCCCAGACAACACCATTAGCCTCTTACCATAGCACGCGCGCCCTTCCGCAAGACCCGCCCATTACCCCAGAGCATCAGCAGCCGGCCCCTGTCCGATTACCAGCCACAGCGCCCAAGGCCGCCCTCGACCTCAAGCACATCCGCCAAAACCCAGACCTCTACGCCCAGAACTGCCGCGAGCGCAACTACCACGCCGCCGCCTCGTACCCAGCCCGCATCAACGATCTGTTTACCCAATGGCAGGCCAAGCAGCGCGAGGCCCGCGGCTTGCGCGAGCGAGGTAACCTCCTCCGCGGCCAGCTCGCCAACCCAGGGAGGACGAGCGGCGACGATGCCGACGAAGAGGAAGCCGCCGTGTTCCGCTCCATGTCCCGCGAACAGCTTCTCGAAGAAGCCCGCAAGATCAAGGCCGACCTCGGCGCAATCGAAGAAGCCGAGTCGTCCCTCGCCGCCGAGATGCAACGCCTCGCGCTGGCCATCCCCAACCTCACCAGCGACGTCACCCCGCGCGGCGACGAGCCCCTCGTGCTCAGCTACATCAACGACCACCCGGAGCCCGGCCCGGCTCTCTCCGACCGTGTATGGCGCTCCCACGTCCACATCGGCGCCGAGCTGGGCATCCTCGACTTCGCCGGCGCCGCCTCTACCTCGGGATGGGGCTGGTACGTTCTGCTGGACGAAGCCGCCCAGCTCGAGCAGGCCCTCGTCAGCTACGCCCTTGCGGCCGCCACCCGCGCCGGCTGGCGCCAAGTCTCGCCGCCGAGCATGGTCTACTCGCACATCGCCGGCGCCTGCGGCTTCCAGCCGCGCGACGCCCACGGCGAGACCCAAATCTACACCATCTCCCAGGCCGCCGACGACGCCGCGCGCGGCAAGCCCGAGCTCTGCCTCGCGGGCACGGCCGAGATTCCGCTCGCGGGCATGAAAGCCGACACGATCCTGGACGAGCCCGACCTACCGCTAAAACGCGTGGCCGCCTCGCGCTGCTACCGCGCCGAGGCGGGCGCCCGCGGCGGCGAGACCAAGGGCCTGTACCGCGTGCACGAGTTCACCAAGGTCGAGCTCTTCGCGTGGACGCCGCCGGACCACGACGCCACCTCGGACATCTTTGACGAGATGATCGACCTGCAGACCGAACTGCTGGGCTCGTTGGGGCTGCACTGCCGGGTGCTCGAGATGCCGACGGCCGACTTGGGCGCGTCGGCCGTGCGCAAGTGCGACATCGAGGCCTTTTTCCCCTCGCGCCGCGACCGCAACGACGGCTGGGGCGAGGTGACGAGCGCGAGCATCTGCACCGACTACCAGACGCGCCGGCTCGCCACGCGCGTCAAGCTGGCCAGCGGCAAGCTGGTATATCCGTGGACCGTCAACGGGACGGCGCTGGCCGTGCCGCGCGTCCTGGCGGCTATCTTGGAAAACGGGTGGGACGAGAGCGAGATGGCTGTGACCATCCCCGAGGTGCTGCGGCCGTGGATGGATGGCAGGGAGAAGATTGGGCCGAAGCGTCGGTGTTAGTTTGACAGGGATACATTCTGATCTCAATTTGTATGTACATGATGTGTAGTAGTTAAGTCATCAGCCTAGCACTTGTTGCAATGTATGAAGAGTAGGGAGCTGCAACCAAAACTATCCATGTTCATGATTAGAGAGCTATCCATACAGAACAGATCACTTCATCCTGCGCATCGCCATCAAACCAGCATACCATACTCGTATCCCAACAGCGCCCAGCGTAACGAACTACTACTCAAACAAAGTCGTTATGATCATAACAACATAAGAAACCAACGGAAGAGAGAACGGCCCTGCCACGTCATGTATACCTGTTCATGCTCCCATGTCTCATCCAACCCATCGACACCCCATATCAGAGGGCTCAACTCGCCGCAGCGACAGGTACACTCCCTTCCATCTCCATCCCCATCCCGCCCACATCATCACCCTCCCTCCCAACAACACTCTCCGTCCAGTCACTCGCCGCATCGTCCACACCATCATCCTCACGACCACCCTCGTGCTCAGACCACCCCCCCTCTTCCCGAAGCTCATCATCATGTTCGTCGTCATCGGCCGCAGGCGTGACCACGGTCGTGCCGTGGCTCGACCGCCGCAGACGCCTCACATCCTCCTCCTCCTCTTTAAAACCATCAGCCTCGTCTCCTAGGTCGCTGAACCGGTCCTCTTCATTGTTGTCATCATCAGCCAGCTCCTCAGGGAGGTCGTTGCCACCAGAGACAGCTGCGGTGTTGGCATCCCCCTCTAAGACAGCGATATCATCCACCGATGGGCTGAGCGCCGGCTGCTGCTCTTCCTCCATCTCGCGCTCATTGTTGTAGTTGTTGTACGCATCCTCATCCCCCTCTCTCAGATCCATGCCCATGGAGTCAACATTCTCCTTGTCCTCGCTCGACCCCAGCCCGCTCCCAAGATCACCATACCCCTTGCCAGCACCAGCACCAGCACCAGCAGCAGCAGGGATGGCAGGCGCCCAGCTACTCTTCCTCAACCCTCTTGCAGCAGGCCCGCCCGCGGTCCTAACGCTCTGGCTCCGCTTCATGCCGCCGGCAGGTACATTGTGCGTGATTTGGCTTAACGACAGAATCCTCCGATTCGACGCCGACGACGACGGGGTGCCGTTTAGCACGCTGTTGCTTGCCTTGCTTCGCGCCGACATGGCCATCTTGATAGCGCTGCGGGGCTTTTCATTGTTGGCGCCGCCGCTCAAAGCTGCACCAGTACCAGCCTCAGCGGCAGCAGCCGATTTGTGAGTCGAAGAAGACACCCTCTTGCGGCTCATCGAGTCACGCACACTGTTCGGAAGACCAGCCGCGCGGTTCGTCTTGGCCATGAGCAACACCCTGGAATGGTCCATGACGCCCTCCAGGATCCTCCTCTCCAGACTCTCGGCGCGCGCTTCCATATCGTGGAGTTCCTCCCGCCTCAACCGCAGCGCGGTATCAAGCGATGACAGGTCGGCCGTGAGACGCGTCTTTTGCCGACTGAGATTCTCCTGCTCCGCGCGCAGCGAGCCCAGACTATCCCTGACGCGGTCCTCCTCCTCCCGGAGAGTGCCCAGAAAATTGGCGCGCAGCAGCTCCTGCTCTTCCCTCAACGCAGCATGAGATTCCTTAAGTCGAGCCTCCTCCTCCATCAAGTTCGCCAGCAGCTCCACCTTGAACCGCTCCTGTTCCTCCTTCAGCGTCGTCTTGATCTGCTCCTGCTCTCGCCTCAAAGCCTCATTGGCCTCGCGCAGCCGCTGCTCTTCCTCTTTGAAACTGGCAAGGAACGTCTCCCTGAGCCGCTCCTGTTCCTCGCGCAGGCCAGCATTCACCTCCTTCAGGAGCGCTTCCTCCTCCCTGAGGTTGGTAAGGAAGGTGTCCTTGAGAGCTTGCTGTTCATCCCGCAAACCGTCATTCAGTTCCTTGAGCCGGGCTTCTTCATCCCGCAAATTGGCCATGAATGTCTCCTTCAGCATATCCTGTTCCTCCTTCAAAGCCACATTCGTCTCCATAAGCCGTGCTTGCTCCTCCTTGAGGTTAACTAGGAAAGCCTCCTTCATCTGGTCCTGTTCCTCTTTGAGGGCAACGTTCGTCTCCATGAGCCGCGCCTGTTCCTCCTTGAGGTTCGCCAAGAAGGTCTCCTTGAGCTGCGCTTGTTCTTCAAGCAGCCGACTAGTCGCCTCCTTGAGCCGGGACTCCTCGGCCACCAGATTCGCCAGGAACTGCTCGGTAATTTTGCTCTGCTCCTCAGGAAGAGTAACCGTAATCGACTCTTTCAGACGCGCCTCCTCCTCACGCAGCGCTGCAACGAGAGCCTCGACCTGTTCCTTCTCTTCCCGGCGGCGCTCCAGGGCGATCGTCGTCTCCTGCAGTGTCTTTTCCCGGTCCTCATGCTCATCAGCAATGCGCTGTGTCTGGGCAGCAAGGAACGTGGCGAGCTCCGCCGCAGTGGCCTTGACTTGGGCGTGGACCTGGTCGAGAGTCTCCAAATGCTCAAAGGCCTTATCAGCCACTCGGGTGTGGCCCACCAGAGCGTCAAGCTTTTCGATAACCGCCGTGTCGTCGTACTTCTCGGGTGGTGGAGGAAGCAACGGGTGCTCCACCCGCTCCTGGATCGCCATGGTCGAGCTCCTGAGGTGCTCATAATGCTGCGCCAGGGCCAACATGACCTCCTGAACCGTCTCAAGGATTTTGGGCTGGTACTCGGCCACCTGCCCCTGAAGACCCTCCACCTTGCCGATGGCCTCCTGCACCTGCTCCCGGGTGAGCTGGTGCTCCGCCCTAGTGTCGGCGTGATTCTCGTCCGACTTGTTGACCAGGTCCTCAACCCTTTCGAAAACAGTCTTGGAAGCCTCCTCCATTTTCTCCATTGAGTCGGTGACAGCCGTGCCCAGGGTGTCGACCAGGGACTTGAGCTCCTCGGCGATGGCCTTGGTGCCGCTAACCGCGGCCTCCATCTCGAGGTCTCTCGCTTCGCTCTTGGTAGCCCGATCGTCCTGGATAAGCTGAAGTTCTTCGTACTTGGTCATCAGCTCCGTCATTCGCTCTTCAAGCTTGGCAAGCAGCGTGTCGGCCGCGGTCTGCACCTTCTCGTCCAGCTCGATCTTGACACCAACGAGGCCGGTCTTGGAATCCTCAAACTCGAGCTTCAACGTGTCGAGAACCTCCTTGACATCGTCGCTGATGCTGTCGTTTTTGCGCACATTGTCGCTGAGGGCGTCAAGGATGGTGTGGATAGAATCAATACCTCGTGCACCATCCTCTAGCTTCGACCTCATCAGCGCTTGCAACTCCTCGAGCGCCGCCTTAACCTCCGTCACGGTCACACCGACCCCAACAGTCTCAGCCTGGCGCTGTTCAAACGCCTTGACATTGGCATCCGCGTGCAAATCAAGCCGCTCCCTGAGATTCTCAAGCCTCGTCTCGAGAGCCTCAATATCCTCCTTTGAGGGGAGACTAACCAGATCCACCTTCTGCATTTGCTCAATCAGCGACTTGGTGTCAAGACAAACCGCTTCCACAGCTTCGATATCAGATCTGGTAACCTTCTCCGGGTCCTCCAGAGCCTTCTCATGGCGCTCCTTCATCTCGTCAAAGGCCGCAACCACCTGGGTGACGAGCGACTCGACCAACGCGACGTCCTCCTTGCGCGAGAGGCTATCCATTTGCGTAGCGACGCCGCCGAGGCTCTCCCGGGTCTCGAGGATCAACGTCTCCAGAGCCTCGATGTGCTCCTTGCGCGAGATGCCATCGAGCTGGCTTGCGATACCACTGACGCTCTCCCGCGCCTCGAGTAGTACAGTCTCCAGGTTGTCGATATGGTCCTTGCGGACGGCCTGCTCTCCATCCATGAGGTCGTCCAGACGGGCTTTGGTATTGCGAAGGATGGTTTCAATGGCCTCAACATCGTCCCTTGAAGCAGGGTCCGTGCCTGACGGAGGCGGTGAAGGAGGAGAAGCTGCTTCCTTGGCTGCCAGATCGTTGACCGTTTCCTGAATTTTGCGGATACTCTCCTCCAGAGCCTCGAATGGCTCGCGGTTGGGCATCGCGGCGACCGACTCAGCAACAACGTTAAGCGTCTTCTCCATCCCAGCCAAATCCTCCTTCGACAAGGAGGCAACGGCAGGCTTGGGCACGGATTCCATGGCCTCGACCTTGATGCCAAGCTGGGTAATGAGTACTTCCAAATTCTTGATGTCGTCGTGCTTCAGCGCCTGCTCAGCAGGCACAACAGCCTTCGTCGTGTCGTCAATGGTTGCCAACGCGCGGTCATTCTTGGTCTCCTCACGGAGGGTATCGATCTCAGACCGAACGGTATCCAAGCCCTCCTTGAGCGCATCGAGAATTTCATCATTGGCCGTCAAATCAGCCGGCTTGTCACGAAGGTTGTTGATGCTGGTCCGGAGATCTCCGAGGCCCTCTTGCAATGCGTCCAGAATCTCGGTGAGACCCGCGATCGGCCGTGTGCTAATTTCCGATCGAAGGCCATGGAGCCCGTCGTGGAGAGCGTCCAGGATCTCCTTGTTGTTGTTACTTGGTTGAGGAAGGGCGGGCACCAATTGCCCGTTAACCGCATCTCGAAGGGACTCGATCTCCTCCTTCAGCATCAGCTTCGAGCTCTCGGAGGACCGCGTAACCAGGTCAGCCAGGTCATCTCGGAAGCTATCCAGAGAATTGAGCACTTGGTCCACAACGTGCTCCGTATCAAAGTCACCCTTTGCGCGGTCGGCATAGTCTTGGATATCCTGATGCAACTTCTCAAACCCGTCTTTGGTTGCGTTGAGAATCTGCTCCGTTCCGAGGGCGTTGGCCGCGATGTTTTGTTTAGCTTCTTCCGAAGCGGCCTTGATCTCGGCCTGCAGGAGATCCTTAATCTCCAGGAGACGCCGAAGGACTTCGTCATTGTCGCTCCCCTGCGCGACGAGAGCGCTCGACTGGATGGAGGAGAAGTCGAATGCGCGAAGCTCCTTCTTGACAACGTCCCCAAGACCGGCAGACAGGTCCAAAGACTCAAGACCCTCCCGGACCGCATTGAGAACGTCAACACGAGATAGATCCGACTGAGCCACGACGGCAGAGGTAGACGCCGAGAAATCAAAGGCTTCCAGCACACGCTTGACAGCATCTGCGACGTCTCTGGAGAGGTCTGCCGTGTCAAGGCCCTCCTTGACGGCGTCCACAACATCAAGACGTGACAGATCCGGCCGAGCGACCAAGGCAGAAGAAAACCCAGAGAAGTCCAAGGCTTCCAGCGCCCTTTTCACGGCATCAGTGACATCCTTAGACAAGTCAACCGACGCAAGCCCCTCCTTGACAGCATTGGCGATATCGACCCGAGAAAGATCCGGTTGAGGTAGAGGAACATCCGCGCTCCGAGGGACCAGAGCGGAAGAATAGGCCGACGTAAAATCAAACCCCTTCAAAGCCTGCTTGACAGCAATCGTGACGCTGTTGTTGAGATCCAAGCACTCGATTCCTTCCTTGACGGCGTCCGCCACATCCACCCTCGAAAGGTCCGGCCGGGGGATGGAGGATACGACGGCAGCAGAGAAGTCAAACGATTGCAGTGCGTGCATAACCGCCTGCGATACATTTGCCGGGATATCAAACGCATCGAGGCCTTCCTTGACCGCATCCAGGATATCACCCGAGAGGTCGAACGACTTGAACCCGGACTTGACAGCATCCGCGACGTCGCCCTTGGATACCGACTGCGGGACCAGCGCGTTGGAGTATATGGACGAGAAGTCAAACGACTGGAGGCCCTCGTTGACGGCATCAAGCACATCGTCCCTAGTCAGGTCGAAGCTCGCGGCAGGAGGAGGCGGCGGCGGAGCGGGGAACTCAAACGAATGGAGGCCTTCCTTAACAGCGTCCAGCATATCCTCGCGGGTAATCTCGGCGCCCATGGCAGACGGCGCGACGGGAAACTCGAACTCTTCCAAGCATTCCCGCACAGCGTCAAGGATCTCGTCCCTCGACAGCGTCGCCGGAATCTCGACCTTGGGAGGCACATAATGCTTGAGGCCTTCGACAACCGCCTGGAACACCTCGTCTCTGGTAGCGCCGGGCTGGCGGTCGTCGCGCGGCGCATAGGCGCGCAGGCCCTCTTGCAAGCAGGCCAGGACCTCGTCTCGTTCCAAGCCAATCTGTTGGATCTCGATCTCGGGCTTGTACTTCTCCCACGCGTCCTTGACAGCCTGAAGGACGTCTTCTCTCCGAAGTTCGGCGGTGCGGGGCTTGGTGGCCTGGGTGTCCTTGAGGGCGGCCCGTACACTGTTATAAATCTCCTTGTAGTCGATGGAGGACTCGCGCGAAGCAATCGTGACAGCCGACTGGCGGCGGTGTTCGCGCAACATGTTGTTCATCTGCTGGCTCATCTCGGAGAGACCCTGCTCGACGACCCTGGTCATCTCGGCCTTTGTGACGGCCTCGGGTTTGTCCGCGTTCTGTTCGGCGACTTCGTCCAGTCTCCGCCCAATCTCGCGGCCCATGCCAAGAACCTCACCGCGGAGCTCCCTGACGAGCGCCTTGACTTCGGCGGTCAGGCCACCTCCCTGGGCAACGCTATCCTTGACACTGCGGATGGCCTTCAGGAGATCGTCGTTGAGAACGTCGGCGCTCCGTGAATCGCCGGCTTCTTGACCTGGGAGCAGCCGCGAGGCCTGCGAAGCCGAAGCCGCAACATGAAGGAAGTCAAGTGCGCCCCGCCGCGACATGTCATCGTCGTCATCAAAACTCCAATTCCGGTCCCGCACGCCGCCATCCCCGCCGCCGCCGCCCCTGCCTCCACCTGCGGCAGGGACGACGGCTTGTTGCTGGCTGGACTTAACCAGGCGAGTGAGTTCCTCAACCTTTCCAGCAGTGGCCATGCCCGAGAGCTTATCAGCAAGCTCTGTCAGGCGGTGCAGCAGGGTCTCCTGACCCTCCTTGGTGCCCATCTCTCTGATGATCTTTTCGAGGAGGGCGACTGTAGCAGGCGATGGCGCACCGGAGACATCGGAAATGAGGGAGGGTGTGCTGAGCAAGGACTCTCTGTCAAACGAGGCGGCAAAGCTGTTGGGGGAAGGTATGCGCGGCAATGAGAATGGGCGAGAAGCCGACTTGGAGAGCTGCGTGGGAGAGGAGGTCTGGTGCCTGCCCTCCAGAAGCAGGGGCCCTCCATAAGGGTCCCTGGTGGCAGAAGACCGCGTCTTGACGTCTGTGATCAGCTCGCGGAGGCTCTTGCGGATATCTTCGTCGCGGGAATTGGTGGCTTCCTTCAGACTCAGCAGGTCTGTCGCATTGTCTCGGCTCCGTCTGCTGAGCAGCGCCATCTCCTTTTGGAGTGTGGTTGCGATGTCGGTAAGGGTGAGGATCTGGTTGGACAGGGATTCAAGGGACCCGGGTGCCTTGACCAGCGCCTTGGAGCCGTTTGTGATATTGGCCAGAGGAGTCTCGGGTTCCTTGGGGGCCGGCGTGCTGTTGTTGCTTTGGGTGCTCATATTCTGGAGGGCAAGCATTGTTGCCGACTGAGGCGGCGTGTTCTCGCCGAGAATGCTCTGGTGAGGCCGACGCACAGCAGTCGGGCGGATAATGGGAGTGAGACTGGGACCCGGAGTTGGAGTGCCAATGGTTGACCGTTCCTGCTTGTCTTCCTTTGGCTCCATGAAGGTGTCCCTGGTATCCTTCCTCTGGGGTGTTGTTGGCCTCTCCGTCTTCTCGGGTGATTTAGGAGCACCCGACTCAATCATGAGGCTGATGTCCTTGACCGAGGCGGGCTGCAGGGACTGCATGCGGCGGTGGGAGTTTGGCCGCAAAGCGGCGCGCTCCGGCGAAGTGTCGGGCCTGTCGGCAATGCGCTTAGGTAGATGTGGCACCAAAGCGGCGCTCTCACGCGCCTTCTCTGCTATGGCGGCATGAGCTGTCTGGATGGCAGCCGACGTTCCCGTGCGCGAGACACCAGGCGACTGCGGGTTCAGAGGGAGCGGAGGAGGAGCCCGTTCGGGGTCGGAGCTGTCCCACCTGTTCTTCATTAGCGTGCGCCAGGGAACCGACATGACATGGTCACCGTGGCGTGCGAGCGGAGGAGGTTCAATGGAAAAAAGCAGCCTTACATGGGAACCAAGGCGCGGCCATGATCGATGGAAGCGGAATGTTGGTGTCTCAATGGTCTGTCAAGCTCACGAGGGGCATCCCTCTCTATGGGCGGCATTGTGCAGCGATGACTATGTGTGTGTTGGTGCGTGAGGGTATCCGCAAGAGGGTAAGTGGAGCGGATTGTGACAATGATCGCTGGAATGCGATGATGTGGTGCGATGCGATGATATGCGATGCGGGTATCTTCAGGGCAAAGATGAAGTCTCGCTTCACCTCGAGTCGCGGACTCCAATCTGGAAAGAAAAAGTCAAGTCAAAGTAATGCTGACATTTTTCTGCAGGGTATAATGAGTCTTGTTAAGACTGTCGAGGGTGAGGGAGAAGTCGAAGTGAGCTCTGCGTTGGCGCCCTTGCGAGCCAATTGCCTGCTATTGCCTTGCTCCATTGTTGATTGTTTGGGTTTCCCGAGCAACACGCCAGGCGCGACTAGGGGGTCGTTGTTACCCCACCATGGAAGCAAAGCGAGGGTGCGGGAGCACCCGCCGCGTTACCTCCTGGTATGAAGTTCCGCTGTCACCTAACTTCCACTTCAGCTCTTAGGTAGGTACTTGTACCAGTACTTCGTCGACCCTTGTGCACTGAAAGGGGGTCCAACGAAAAGAGAAGAAAAAAAGGAAAAAGAAAAAATTTAAAGGACAAAGGAAAAATTGAACAAGAAGAAAGAACAGAAAAGAACTCGTGATGTGCGGTTACAAGATCTGTAGCACCTCCATACACACCTCTGGGCCGCGGGGAAGCTTAGCCGAGCAAGGACAGGCCATCGCATCTAAGGAGTTGGGTAGGGATGCAATATCCTAAACTTGCTATTACAAAACATTACGATTGAGCTGTTGTTGTATTCTTACTATTAGATAGTAAACTCAAGACGTAGAGTTGGTTGGTTAGCTACAAAAACCCGGAGGTCTTGCATCGCGTGGGGTTCGAACTGGGCTGACCCGGGGAGACCCAGTCCAGCCCAGAATTGTTGCGGCGCAGCCACCTTGCCACCATTACGGCGACAAGGCGGCCACTTCGCTGTAGTTGTGGCATGCAGGATTTGTATATAAAGGGCGAGAAGGCTTCGCGGGTGCGCTCTCAAGTCTAAGCTTGGGAACTGAACGTCACTGCGCATAACTAGCCTTGGGGGCCCAAGCGTTCAGTGCCCAGACATCTCCAGCACCTCGAACTCACACTCGACTCATCCACGAGCCCACTCGGTAATTGATTTTGCACTGATCCAACGCCTATCCCTATCATGTCACTATTTTGGCCTCAGACTTAGCCGGCCGCTGCCCAAAAATGGTACTCCCGACCCTCACCTCCCCGCTGCCCATAACAATGGCGCCCTCAAAATCCTCGCTCATGCCCATGCTCAGCTCCAGCACCGTGTCTAGACCCAGCTCCTTGACCACAAGATCCCGCTGCTCCCTCAGCAGCCTGAAATCATCATTCTCGTTCTCGGCCGTGGTCGCCACGCTCCGGGCAATGGCGCCGATGGTCATCAGACCCAGCAGGTGCAGGTGGGGGCAGTCGTTGACGATGGCCCGGCAGAGCGACACGACCTCGTCTCCCGGCGCGCACCCGGACTTGGACTCCTCGCCCGATGTGTTCACCTGGACGTGCACGTTGAGTTTGTGCGTGGCCGGGTTGGCCTTGATCTTCTCGCCCCGGTACTTGTCGAGCAGCTGCGCCTTCTTGAGGTTGTCGACGCTGGACACGCACCAGAGGTTCGGGATCTTGGCGAGGTCTTTGCAGCGGCCTGTGTGTCGTCGTGTCAGTGGTTACGGGACGCGAGGCTCGCCGTTTGAAGTTTGGCAAAACTCATACCTGACTGAAGACCTCCGATAAAGTGCCACTGGATCGTCCGGGGCAGCAGCTCGGCTTTTTGGGCCAGCTCTTGGGCGTAGTTCTCACCAAAGTGCAGCTGCCGGGCGGGGGATTCATGGAGGGCGAGAATGTCATTCGCGGGCTTGAGTTTTGAAACGGCCACCAGCCTTACCTGGATGTGCAGGTTAGACTCAAGTCTAAGGTATGACGGGAGGTTTGAGAGAAACTCACGGCGCGGCCTTTGGCCACTGCGGCTATCCTCTCATTGACGCTCTGCAAATGCGAGAGGAGAGCAGATGCTCGTGATGGGTCAATCCTCATGTCTGTCTCGCTCATGGTGAAAGAAGTGGAAAGTTGATTCAATTCAACAAGGATCATCACGGCCCACTGAGTCAGCCTTGTCGGCGTCGGCTTCCCGGCTTTTCAGTGGAGCATCTACTGCCGAAATGCAGTGGGTCCACCAGTACCCGTCCCGATTCGAACAGGACTTAGGCATTTCGGGAACGTCGCCCGTCGTCGTCATTCGACCCTGAAGTCTCACTCAGCTCGACGTGGGGCACCAGTGAGGAAAGAACTTCATTCATCAGCAGTATCGCCATGCAGAAGTCGGTCGCCCAGCTGTGGCTGAGGGCCCCGCAGGGAATAACTGCCGTGGGCAGTCCGAGATTGGCTCGTTCAAATGCCAAAGCTTTGGTCGTTATTTGGCACAGCCTGCCTGCTCGGACCGCAATGGCTGCACAGTCCGTTGGCTTAAGATCAATTCAAGACGGCCGGAAGGGTCCTCCGACGACCACTTCCTTCAAGGTATCCGTATTTCCTGGGTCATTGATAAGCCGCACGGTCGGTCTCAAGGTGATATAACCAACCTGCCCCCCGCGTCCCCCTTCCCAGCATCCCACGGTTCGTGTCGGCCAGGAGCCCGTCGACCTCGAGTAACACCAGCCAATATGGATCACACAGCCGTGCAGCACCTCCCCGCCGAGATCTGGCTCATGATTATCGAGCACCTCCCGGCATCCTTCTTCCAAAAAGACCTTCGCCGCCTAACCCTCTCCAAGCGCTGGTACAGCCTCGCCTTCCCCATCTTCTACCCGCGCATCGAGTTCACCCCGCGCATCATCAGCCGCCTGGTCCACCTCAGGTCCAAGTCTCTAGACAAGGCGCGCGACCAGTTGCGCAAGACGCTGCGCTTCGTCACCATTGTGCTCGACGGCCTCGCACCCCCTGCCAGTGGTCGTCATCATCCTCCATTACCAGCAAGAGCAGCAGCACGACCACCACCACCAGAAGTACGCGCAGCAACAACAACAACAACAACCGCCAACATGCTGTGCTTCAACACGCCTGCCAACCTAGCCCGCTTCAGCCTCATGCTGCTCGACTTCCGCGAGCTGCGGGAAGTGCGCTTCGCAGCGCGCTGGCCGAACCGCGACTGGCTCGCCGACCCACTGCCGGGTAACTACCTGACCCTGCGCAGCCTGGAGCCCTATCTCAGCGGCGTGCTGACGCACGTCACGGCCATGGATTTGGACCTGTGCGGCACCGACGTGACCGACGACGACGACAACGACGACGACGGGGCCGTGGCGGTGCATCATTTCTGTGAATATGTTCGGCCCCTGCTGTCGCGGTTGACGAGCCTGCGGTTGAGGCTGCGGAGTATCTGTGCCCTGGCGCTGCGGCCGGTGCCGGATGGGGAGGGACCGGTTACGCTGCGGGAGTTAAGATTGAGTCTGTACTTGGGCAAGGTGTCGAGGAGTAACCCCAAGCTGAACATGAGTCGGAAATGTTCTTGTGGGGATTGGCAGGAGTGGAAAGATCCGCTGGATGAGGTGCGAAGGGAGATGAGGCGGCTGGTGAAGGACATAGCGGAGCCCAGGCGAGCGGAGATGGTACATCTGGTCTGCCCGGGAGAGGTGCATGTCTGGGATGCCTTGACCGGCCTTTGCGTCAGGAAGGGGTCCGAGAAATCGTGGAGGTTTCCTTCTCACTTTGAGACGTATTTCAAGACGACTTGCGTCCTTAAACTCGAGGATTGCTGGGAACGGGATAATGAGTCGGGCGTTGGCGGCATGTGGCCCCTCTCTTGTTCGGGGGAGACGTTCGAAGGGGTTTGTTCCGATGAGCTGGACGAGCCAGACGAGCCAATGGGAGGGGGTTGAGGTTGATACCGAGTACGGAATTGATCTGGACGACGCATTGTCATGACATGTACGTCCTTATCATCACCTGGGTTCTATTACTGATTCGATGGAGAAGTTTTTGAGCCCCTGAAAGAATCATCACCGTATTTCCTCAAAAAAGAGACAACTCGGCTGCAGCGAGAGCAAGCGAGACATTCCTGACGATTGAATCTCTCTTGGGACCAACGTCTCGTACCCGTTCCTGGGAGGGATTTGAAAGCGGGCGTTGAAAACAAACCCTGAGACCATTCTTCGTACCACAAACAACCCATTACCATGCGGGTAGGCCCCATAGCTCTCCTCAAAACCACCAGCCATTGCCTGTTGCGTTTCTTTATGGACCTCTGGCTTTTGCTTTGACCAGGTAGGAAGGAAATAAACTCATCATTTTCCCAAACCTTCTAACCCGAGTCTGCGATCCGTCAGCGATGGCATGGGTAGGCTCGCCAATCTTCACGTGGAACCGCAGTTCAACCATTCTATCACCTTTTCATAAAACGGCTTCCTTTTCCATCCCAGAACCTCATTCCTCCGATTCTCTTCTGAAACTGCAAGCTCCAAGGAAGACGTCTTCTGTCAAATTCGTTTGTATCTAACGACCAACCAAGCTTACTTGAACAAACAGGAGTGGGACTTTCGCGGATATTCGAATCCCAACCCCAAACGCCGCTCGCCATGGAAGCTGCTCCAGACATCGCCGACAACCTCCTTCTTGCCCTCGCGGATAGCCCAGAAAGCGATTGCCAGCCGTCAGACGAGCGGCACCGAGCTAACACACTACGCCCAGTCTTGAGAACGCTGAAGTCTGGCATCGAGAAGGCAGAGCAGGAACCGAACCCGCCCAACATAGCACGTCCCAGACAGGACCTTCCACTGCGCCCTGGCTCAGCCAGACGAGCTCCGCGTCGTGAATCTGCTCTCAAGCAGCAGGTCGGCCATCTTGTTGGTAACGACAATGATCACTTCGAGAACGCCCTTCTGAGGCCTATTTTACCACAACCCGAACTTCCCAGACAGCGGGTCGGACATCTTGCTGGCAATGACGGTGGCGAGGTCGAGATCGCTCTTCTGAGGCTTGTTTAATCACAAACCGAACTTCCGCAGCGGTCGCCGGTTGGGAATTCGGGTGGAAGTCCAGGCGAGAAGCCTAATTTGAGTGGCAACAACAATGACAACGCTGAGGAGCCGAATCCGCTCAACATAGTGTGTCTAGGACCACAGATCGGCCATCTTGCTGGCAACGACGACGACGAGGTTGAGATTGCCCTTTTGAGACCTGTTCCACCGCAGGCCGAACTTCCGCGGATGCAGCCGGATGGGGACCCGGGTGAAAGATCAGACGAGAGAAGGGAGGAAACGCAACATGAGAGGTGACGACTCGCACAACGCTCCCCTGGTGGCGCAAGCCCAGCCTCAAGTCTGTTCTCTAAACGCTGAAGAAGCCTCAGATATGAGTCCAGTCAACGAGACACATAGTGTTAGGTTTCATGGTCGCCCCGAGCAACTGAAAGGCCCTGAGATTTCTACCATCAGCGACAATCTCAGAGGTCCCACACGCTTGACAACTCTCAGACTGCTCCAATCTCAGAAGCAATCCCGGCACCACATTCACCTATGGCGGAATTGCTAACCTCAGTGCCTGTTCTTGACATTGCCAGCGAGCCCAGCACCACCAACGCCGTTTCCCAGCTCACCAATTGAGAAACCAAGCAGGGTGGAAATGACGACGAGCCAACCATCGTCGAGCCGAACCCTCGATCCACAGTCCAGCTACACCGAGTCCCCCAACAGTGCCAAACCACCAGCACGAACAGTATCGAGCCACTAGAAAAGACGCACCCGCCACGCCCGTAATTGAGCGCTTTTCGCACACGGGCTTGAGTTTAGCCCTCATCACCAACACGGTCGAGTTCACTCCGCAGGGGAACCAACTTGACCGCCGCCGACAACCGAAGGGAGAAGCCCTGCTGAGAACGCCGATGCGCTGGTTGGATTGGATCTTGATCATGTGCATGAACACCGAATATGAGTGTTGAACACATGCTCCCTGACGCTCGACGCTCAACGCTCACCACCGTCCAGGAGGATGCCGGGAGACAGGGCCAGCATTACCCCAAGCGACACAGGCAGGCGAATGCTTTTCGACATGAAGGGTCGGGGGAATGTGAGGATTCAGGGACTGATCGGTAGCCCTCACCACGATTTTTGATGAGAGAGTCGGCTGCGCTTGAAGGACCGGAGCAATGACAGGACGGTTCTGGGGATTTTCGTAGCCCGGTATCCGTTGCTCTATTTGTTCTTCGCTCTTTTTGATTTGGCATTTTGCTACCTTTCCCGTTTTGCAAATTCGCGGGTAGGGGTGTACAACCTCTGCTGGTGAGCAAAAGATGCACTGCGAAATGGAGACAATTGCAATCTCTTTCCAAGAGCTTTCCTTCCCTGTTTCTCCCCCTTTCTTTCTTACAATTTTTCTCATTTTCCTCTTTCCCTTTTTCCTCTTTGTATTTTTACCTGTTTTGGAAGCCAAGGAGACATGTTACTGGGGTGATCTGTTACCGGAGACGATCTACGTTTAGACTTTCCTGTCGCTGAGATTGAAATTCTCAAGCTCGCAGGGAATCAAGGCTGAGTTTCGGTACTGGGAAGGGGTGCTATGCCTTGTCTTCAACTGATCTCCTTGGGCATCACACGGTTACCGATAGAATCTATTCCAAGCAATGGTATTCATCCTCGCGAAGGCAACATCCAAGTGTCAACTGGGTCAGGGATCATGGGAATATCCATCTGCACCCTGAAGACGGGCGATCCCCGGATGAGAGTAAGCAATAATAGTGTTTGTACAGTACCCCTATTCCCTCGCAATGCTGATGCCATGAAGATGACACTTACCCTTCCATTACACCCGTCCCTCTCTCTATTACTCCTCAACGCCTTGCCTTGCTACTTTCCTTGACACACAACACAAAGTCAACCCCCATTGCCACCCGCCCTACCGCTGCGGCGGCACAGGCGCAGGAGGCAAGTTCCGAATCTGCTTGATCAGAAACTCCCTCTCATCAATAAACTGCTCGTCCTCAGTCCGATCCTCCAGGAAATGACTCAGAAACAGCAGCAATTTGTCCCGGTTCATAATCAGGATCTTTTGCACGGGCACCGACTTGTGAGGGTTGGCGACGAACACCTTGAACACATGAAACCCTTCGTACTGCACCATCTTGCGGTCGTCGCGCAGCAGGTTCATGACAATCTTGAGGTGCTCGCCGCGGTCGACGTAGGCCGTCATGATGTTGTAGTTGGCGCGGTCGAGCAGGATCTCGCCCAGCAGCTTAATCGATTGTCGCTTGGTCACGTAGCTGTTGGATTGAACCAGTACACTGTTGTACCGGTCGAAGAAGAGGTCGAAGTTGGCCGCCAGATACCGCGGGACCAATTCTTTGTGCTTGGTGATGAGTTCCTAGACACCAAATATATGTCAGCTCTCCCAGCAAACCAACCATCTGAGATATACCATGTCGGCTCACCCTGAAGGTCGTAAACGCATCCGCGCTGACCTCAAACGAGCTCTTATCGATCCAGTCGAAGAAGCTCCAAAACACCCCCCTCCCACTCTGTGGCCGGTCCGGGTTGATCCCGCCCACGCCCCGATAACTCGACCCCTGTTCCTCTCCGTCATCGTACAGTATCACGGCGGCCGCGGCCTCGTTCTTGAGCACCTCCCTCAGCACCGTCCCTGCGGGTGTCGCGCTCTCCTTGTGATCGTACCCCCGGCACAGCTCCACCAGCACCTGCGGCCTCCTCTCGACGACGTGCGCCAGCGCGAAGGGCTCGGGCTTCTGGGGTCCCGTTGGCGGCCGGAAGCGAAACACGTACGAGAAGATGACCTGGGTGTCCTTGCGCGACTCGAAGGGGAGGCGGTGGAGGTGGACGGCGAGGAGGTAGAGGAGGTCTTCTTCGATTATGCCCGTCACCAATTGGTAGATTTGCTCCGGGTTCGGCTCGGCTTCTAGTTGGGAAAACGAACGAAACGGGGTCAGCGAGCGCAGGAAGTCGGAGTGTGGGTTTGCAAGAGACTCATGGGCCAACTAGACGCACCATGTGTGCCCTGCAGGACTTGCTTCATTTGGGCAAGCACCTTTGCAAGCTCGTCCGCCTAGGCCGCTGCAAGTCAGCTGAGATTGCACGGAAGGGATTCAAATGCTGTGCCCCGCGTGTTTACCTACCTTTGCGGCCCCCTGTGGTCCCTCCAGTTTCGTGACATGCTCTCTCGCCTGCTTTGCCAGATCTACGGTGTTCGTTCTTGCGCGTGTTCTCCCAAAGAAGAAGGACATTTCGCCGGTGACTCGCTGTAGCTATCACGGCGGGGTCGACGATGGGTGTTCGATCACCGCAAGCTTTGGGCGCCGCACCTGGTCGGAGTGGGATGGTTCGAGCTTATCAATGACGGGCGATAATGGACGATGCATGCCCTTGGAGGGAGCCCGAATGCCCGAACCTAGTCGCAAATGCCAGTTACTGGATTGGCAGAATTGAGTGGCGCGTGTCAAAGGTCGGGACGGTCGTTGAGGTGGTCGAATGAGGAGGGCGCATAGGGAGCTGTTCCCTGCATGCGCTGTCAATTGGCGTCCCTAGCAACGCATTTTACCCTGCCATCCGCCAAACAAATCCCCTGAGCGAATGGCATCACACCGGCTGATGAAAGGTGCAAATCAGAGGAGCCGCCAAATCTCTTTCTCTTTTCCGTTTCCAGTCGACATTCTAGAATGTCGCCAGCATGAGCAATGAATGGGAAATGGAAGTGAGAAATAAGAAATAATGTTCGGAGTCTCGACAGCCCGCATGGTCCTCCTTCGCCCTGGCCCCTCAGCTGATCCCTGTACCACTCAGCATCCAAAAGCTCACTTCACTGCCAACAACATGCATTGCCTTGCTGTGACTGAACACATCTCGCTCTCTCGAATGTCCAAGACACCTGTATTCACTACTCCATATGCTACGAAAGCCGGGAGTAAACGCCTGCCTACTCTGAGAATGCCAGATAAGGCTGAAATGTGCCTCGCCATCAAACCTCCATTCTCATCGAGAAATCTCCGTGGAAGTCTGCTGACGAGAGCAATGGGAAACTGGTGATTTCCCATGCTGGGTTCGTTCTTCGCCAGTCGTATACCTCGAGAACCATCGGTCTAGTGGTTAACGCGGAGATATCCTAGCGGTTGATATACCTACCTTTTGCAAGGCATCAATGGGTGAAAATCAAGCCCAACCTCGATCTGTTCCGTCATCTACGACTGATGCTCCTGTGGCTCCGATATTGATACTCCTGTGGATGTTAGTCACATACACAAGGCATAAACACACATAAGGTCAACGGCAGTCTGGAGCCTCTGCAAATGCTGCAAGAGGCGTAGGCTTCGGGAGAACCTCCCATGGAGCATTTCACAGCGAGCGCAGAGCGACTGGCATAGTGAAATGGCCATTGAGAACAAATGTCTCGATTCGTTGATTCTGCATCTAGATCCCGGGGTCTGTCCTGTGCCGCCATGTCATGTGTGCAGCCAATACAGCTGCCAAAAACGTGCAAGTGAGAACCGATGCCACCAAGACGCCAGCGCCGACCAGGTGTACCTTAGACGAGAGACAGAGTAGGAGGGGGTATCTGTCTTCGTCGTCGGGGTCGAACCGAGGTTGTTCCCATTTGTCATCACGCATTTTTTTTGTTCATTCCCCTAACGCCGGCTCAGGCATTTCAAGCCTTGTTCTTGCCCCTGGCCTTGATAGCCTGCTCGCGGCCGGCCTTGATGCGCTCAAGGATGTTCTCGCGGTCCTTGTCGAGCTTGAGCTTGGTGATGACCACGTTGCTGGGGTGGATGCCGAGGGGCACGCTCTGGCCGGTGGCCTTCTCGCGGGTGACGCGCTCGACGTGGATGACGTATTTGAGGCGGTACACCGACGTGACTTTGCCCTCCTTGTCCTTGTTCAGGCCGCGGACAATCTGAACCTCGTCGTCCTTGCGGATAGGCATGCTCCGGACCTGCGGAGGGAGAAGGTTAGCTTGATCGAGGGCTCGAAATGCGATGCGACGGCAACAAGAACGTACGTTGTACTTCTCACGGAGCTCCTTGCTGAGCGGAGCGCTCATGATGTTGCGGCGGACGCTCGAGGGCGCGCTGAAGTGAGCCTTGCGAGACTTGCGCCTCGAGGACGAAACGTCTGCAGACATGTTGTAAGTTTCATATTTCGTACGCGATGATTGAATTGATTTGGATGACAGCACTCACTTGCGCTGACCTTGGCCATTGTGATTGATTATGCCGACGGAGGACAAGGAGGTTGACTCTGATCGCCGTGATCTTGGAGGGCGAAAAATAAAATGTGCGCTGTGTGTGGGTTTTGCAAAATGGTGCTGGATGGCAGAAATTGACCGCTTTCCATATTCGATTGGGCTCGACTTCGCTAAAAATTCAAAAATGGAGCACTGGACCCCGTGCCCTCGACTTTCTCGCTCCAACCTGGGAAGACCTCAAAACTGGTGATGGATGGATGATGTTTGCGTATGTAACAAGGCAGGTTCCTTACCCGTTGGCCGCCCACTTTTCTGCGCGAAGCACCGGTTGTTGACCTGCCTTGCAAAGCCAAAACGAGAGTACTCAAGTGATGACCTTCTTCTCCTTCGGTTTTTACCTGTTTCAACCTACTCGCGAGTTTTAATCTCGCTCAAGGACAGCCATTCACCCGAAACAGCAACACAGCTGGTATTGAGACCATCATCGCTTCGTACTGAATCATATGCCATTGAGCCATGTCTATCGAGTCCGAGTAAACACCCTCCTCAACCAATTCAAAACGCCTAAAAAACGTTATGCAAGTCTTGGGTATATCCAACCGCCAATGACCCCAACACAAACCCATTCAACCAGCCCCTTTTACAACGCCCATAGAAAACGCCGACAGCCATGCGCACAAACAACCCCGTTTCCCCGTGCTGTAATAAACCCGGACCAAAGCACCCGAGGTTAAGGCAAAACATCATTGATACAGCTCCTCCGCCGACTCCTCATAGATATCCGCAAACCCAACAACCCGATTCGGCCCGCCATACTGCCTTCTCAATTCGCGTTCATACGGGCTCGGCAAGATCGCACTCGGCGTCGACGTCGTCGCCGTGCCTCTCCCACCAAATACTCCCAGCATTCTAGTGCTGCCCGTCCACTTGGTCGGCGTGCTCATAAACCCCGGGTCATCCGGGTCTGGGACCAATGGTTCCTCATCAAACTCGGGCATGGGCCCAAGCCCGACCTGCTGCTCGGATGATGAGAAGCGGGACGGAGTAGTCTCATTCCGTGGGCGGTGGAGAACAGCCAGCTGGCTTGCCGTGTAGAAGCTTCCTCCTGTTGTGGAAGCCCCCGCTGTCATCGTCGTCGTCCGCGCAAGTTGCTGGCGGACGCTGCGGCGTGCCGCAAGGCTGCTGCTCATTCGCGGGTTGAAACTGTACCGTGCCTCCGCTTCCGGGACGGCCTTCTGGTGCCACTCGGTGAGGACGCGGCGACACACGCGTCGTTCGTTCTTCTCCTGTAGCGTCGAGGCGAGGTGGCGCTTTCCCTCGTTCTGCAGCATCTGGTACTCCCACATGTCCCAGCAGCGCTTGCGGGTCTGTTCCGCGTCGTATTCGACGGCGTCTTGCATGTTCTCCTTTGTGTCCTGGAGTTGCGCCAGCCATTTGCCGCAGTAGACTTCCAGTTCGGCGGCTGCGGCGATCTGCTGGATGTTCTGGGATCTCCTCGCCGCACGGCTCCACAGGTCGAGGCAGTCGTTCAGGTCCTCCCGCTTGTAGTGCAAGTTTGTCTGGCGAGCGTCGTCGTGCGCATCGAAGGCATCAACAGTGGCATCCAACCATTTACCTAGACACTCCCGTGCCAACTCGACTTTGTATTGACGTCGGAACTGCCGCAACGAGGTCAACATCCGCTCTCTCCGAGCTGTCTCGGCGACGGCCGGCCATTTGTCGAGCACGCCACCCACAAGTGACATCGCCCTTTGCCTGTCCGCCTTTCTTCGGTAATAGCCGTCGCGAGCCCGGTTTCGGTGACACTGCTCTCGCCAATGGTCGATGCACGGCCGGGTCGTGCGGTAGAGATTCACAATGTTAGCGTTCACCCAGTGCTTCCACATCTGATCGGTTTCCGCGAGCCAGGTATCGACGACCCCGGTTTGGGTGTAATATGAGTGGGCGTAATCCGCCTCCTGTTCGTGTCTTTCTCGCTCGCCACGGACTCGCCGGGCAGCAGCCAAAAGGGCGTTGAGTGCCTGTCGTTTAGTCCTCGTTTCCAAATGCACTTTGTACCAAGCAAGTTTCTCCTCGAGCGCCCAGTGCTCGAGGACGGCGGCTTTGGTCTCGTACTCATCGCGTTCAATGAACAGTTTGAGCTTCATCTCGCGCTCCCAATGGTCGACGGGCTCCTTCAGCAGAAAGCCGTCGGCGGCAGCAGTGCGGTGTTTCACATCTTTATAGACGTTATGCCAGGTTGCCAGGGCCTGACGTTTGGTCTCCTGTTCCTGCTTGGCGTTGTGCTGCTTCAGCAGTGCTGAGAGCCTGGCTTGCTCCTGCCAGTAGTCCAGGTCTCTGCGGCAGCCCTGGATCAACCACTGTCGCGTGCAATCGTACGCATGATAATGCTGTGCATCGACCTCTTCGAGCCAGATATTAACGGCCTCGTCAAGCACAAGTCTCTCGTCCAGCGCAATAGCCACCTGGTACTCCTCCTGGGTTTCGCGTGCTTTGTCGACCCAGGTATCCAGACATTGTCCAGCGAGACCAACGGCATAAAACTCGTCGGCAAGACGTTCTCTGGTTTCATGCCACATCGTGTGCAGGGCATCTTTGCAAAGCTGCTGCTGATGCCATTGCGCAGCGACTCCATGGCGGACTTCGTGATGGAGAGCAACCTGGCTCCATAGTTGGAAGGCGTTTCGCAGGATGAAGTTCCTGACATTGGCCTCGTCTTCGACGTGCTGCGCGTGCCAGCCCTCGAATGCTCGCTTGCGTACAAGATGCCGGCGCGCCACGGCTGTTCGGTCGATTTCCTCCCGAGCTTGCTCTTGCCACTCCGCCAACACGGTGCGAATGGTGAAGATCTCGTAGACCCTGGTGGCACGCCTTTCCATCTTTGCAACGTAGGCCTCGTGCCTGGCAGCCTCCTCGGCCTGGCGCCTCAGACGTTCCACAGCGGCAGCTGCCTCGTTCCACATATCCAGCACCTCGCCGAGAAGATCGTTGTTATCATACTCCACGGCAACGGATCTCAGCTCGTCGTTCGCCCGCTTTGTCTGGCAGGCGATTGCACGCCAGACGCTGAAAACCTCTTTAACAAGTTCCCGGTCTTCCTGCATCCTCACATGCTGAAGCTTTACTTCCAGTCCTTCAATGTCAACTTCCACCAGAACAGGGGCCGCGGCATCGGGCTGCTGGGATGCCGGGAGAGGCGGCAATCGAGGACTGGATGGAGAACGCGGGGGGGGGTTGGCCTTGGAATATGCTCGGTTTCTAACCGCAACGGCTTTTTCTTCTTCGCGACTGCGTTCGCGTCGAGGGCATAGTGGTGGTTGGGCGAAGGAGTAATCGCTAGTGTGGGTCGAGCTAAGGGCAAGTGAGGCGCGGGATTCGGGTCTACTGCTTGGGACGAATTCAAGTTGAATGCCGAGTCCTCCTAGGACGGCCTTGAACTTGTCGCTGAGCCTGTCCCCGGATCGCCGCCCTCCAATCTTAAAGATGAGCCGGGCGATGTGGGATGGAGTGTCTTCGGGGTCGTAACCATATCGGGGAAGGACTTCCTCGGCGGCGAGGAACAGCGCATTCGTCGGAAGACGCTCGCGCTCCGGGAGGGCTGGATATAGGGATTCACCGAGGGTGACGATCTCGTGAACAAGCTCAATGTCTGGCAGCGCATAAAGTTAGCAATCTCGGACACGCGCGGCGGCGCGAAGCGCGGTTCCTAGGAATGTAACGGGAAAGACACAGTGCTAGACGCGTGGCATACCTTGGTCAGAGTAGGACTCATGACGACCACTGACATAATGAAAAGCAGAAGAGGCGGTAGAGTCGGCGTCAAGACCAGGGTCGCCAGGCTGAGGAGGGGAGAGATGATCAAGACGGCCATGAAGATGATGGGAAGAGGGTTGGTGTTGCATATCAACGTGTAGGGAAGGTGGCTCCGGGGCATATTAGGCCTCTGGGAGCAGACAAAGAGCAGGATAAAGCTAGGGTAGGCTGAATAGTAATTAGACCGGGACGAATTGCGCGATCTACGGAAGCAGAGTTTGGGTTTGGGTTGCAGAGAGTGCGGTTGAAGCGCGTCACACAGTATCCGTATACAGCAATCGAAAGCCAAGAAAGAGTTACACTGTGCAATTAGCAAGAAAATAGTTTAGCCGAGTTGAGCTGAGTTCTCGGTGATGGCAGTTTCGTGGACTGGCACTTGTGGATTGGGAGAAGAAAGCGTCAAATAACCGACGCGTCTGACATCGCGTTGAAAGAAGCGCTGCGTTGAGGTTCAGCGGGGCTTGTGTACACAGTAAAAGGTGGATCTGCAGATCGCACCAAGAAAAGTCAGGAGGCTGGGGTAGGTGGGGCAAAGCACAGTCTTTGAAGCTTAGTCGTACTGTGAAATCTACACGGTACACATCGAATCTCAACCATACACATCATCATCGATAGGCAATGAGCATTTCAGTGAGCATTACAGTTACCTTGTACACTGCGACTAGCGAACATAAGCTGTACTCGAATCCTGATCCGCTTAGAGACCTGATTGCAAGTTCCAAGGCCCGACATACCATGCAATCAAAAACGCGCCCAATCCAAAAGTTTGCACAAGCAGTCTCAAAATGCACTACTGAGGTGGGCAAATGTTTATAAAGATAATCGATTGCCCAACTAACAGAGCCTAGGCTGCTGTCTACGGCCAGTGCATCGTTGCCGACTACAACACAGTCTACAAAAACAAGTGCGCCAAGGAGTTCATGAAGCTCAAAGATTGCTACCTGGTACGACTTCCAGAGCCCCTTTCTGTTCCAACTAAACCAACCTTACTCATGGAGCAGGTTGCGGCAAAAAAGAGAGGGTGGTGAAGTGATAGCTTCAACCTTGCCAAAAGAACTAGAGAACTGAAATCCGGATCGTCTATTTCCCTACGAGTACTCTACTAGTGCATCAAGCATACCTCGACTGCCACCTTCCATGAGAAACTTCTGATATCATTGCACGTCTATCTGCCATCCGGCCATGAATCACTACAACTTCAAGAGACGCAACAAGAAAGTAGCCTTGCCCACCTCCTGCTCCTCCTGAGCAATGATGCCCTCCTCCGCCTGCGCCGCCTGCGCCGGGATCAGCCCGTCAAGATGCGTCACCTCGTGCTTATCCATCGGCCGCCGCAACGCCTTGGCAATGACATTCTTATGCGTCTCAAACACCCTCTCAAGACCCGTGTCCTCCGGGTCCGACAGGACCCTGTACTCCATCTTGACGTCGTCCGTCGTCTGCAGCCCGGCCTTCTTCCGCAGCCGCTGAACACGGTTGATGATCTCGCGTGCCAGGCCCTCCTCGGCAAGGCCGGGATAGATCTCAACATCCAGAATGGTGAGCACGTCGTTATCCGTGTTGGTCTCAAGGTTTTTGGATGCCTCGTCCTCCCTGAGCCCGCGCCTGACAACCAGGTCGCCCTGGGAGAGCGTGATGCCGTCGACGACGAGCGTGCCGCTGGTGGCGTAACGGTGAGCTTCTTCGCTCGTGACGTTCGGGAGCGCCTTCTTGACACGGGCCATGTCCTTCTTGAGCTTCTTCCCGAGCACGGGCCAGTCGGCCGTGACGCTGTACTGGACGCCGTACCTGGCCTCGTCCGACGTCAGCACCAAACTCCGCACGTTCAGCTCCTCGGTGATGTATCCCTCGAGCGACTGCACGTCCTGCAGGTACTGCGGATCATGATGGATGACAATGAGCGTCCCCAACGGCTGCTTGAGGCCAACACCACGCTTCTCACGCGAGTACCGAGCCAGCTCAATGACCTTCTGCATCCTTTGTACCCGTCGCTCAATGTCGGCATTGAAAAGCTCTTGCCGCACTTCGGGGAAGGGCAGGAAGTGAACGCTGCGGGAATCCTTGCCCCGGAGTTCCTCGCGGATATGGGGAAGAAGCCGCAAGTAGATGGTATCCGTAAGGAACGGAGTAAACGGCGCGAGACCACGGCAGAGGGTGAACAGCACCTCGAACAGAGTGTTCAGGGCGTGTAGTGTGTCATCCAACCCGTTTTCGCCCTTGAGCCGCTTCCGGTTGAAGCGAATGTACCAGTTCGTCGTGTTGTCGATCAGTTCGAGCAGCTTGGGCACGACCGTGTACAGACGGTAAGCTGTGACATCTGGTAAGCATGTGCGGATTCAAAAAGCGGTCGCGGAGGGGTTCAACTTACCAGCCATCTCCTCGTTGACAAACTTGAGCAAGCTCTGGCAGCTGGCCAGGATCCACTTATCCATCACATTGGTGTTGGAAGACTCCATGTGCGGGTCGAACACGTAGTCCACGTTCTCCACCTTCTTGAGCATGGCAACTTGGCCTTCGAAAAACCTGTAGCTATTCCAAAGGGGAAGAAGGACTTTCGCGACGACGTCCTTGACTCCCGACTCCGAGAACCGGAGAGGCTCGGCCCTGACCACAGGAGAATTGATGAGGTACAGTCGAAGAGCATCAGATCCGTACTTAGCCATGACAATGTTCGGATCCGGGTAGTTCTGGAGACGCTTAGACATCTTCTTGCCATCCTCGGCCAGCACGATGCCATTGACGACGCAGTTCTTGAAAGGCGAGACGCCGAACAGGTGTGTGCCCAAGACCAACAGGGTGTAGAACCAGCCCCTGGTCTGATCAAGGCCTTCAGCGATGAAGTCTCCTGGGAAGGACTTCTCGAACTGCTCGCGGTTCTCGAACGGATAGTGCTTGCTAGAGTACGGCATGCTACCGGACTCGAACCAGCAGTCAAAGACCTCCTCCACTCGCCTCAATACACCCTTACCCTTTTTGCTCGGAATGGTGATGTGGTCGATCTTGTCGCGGTGTAGGTCGGTAATCTCACCCTCGTACCCGCTGAGCTCCTTGAGCTCCGCAATGCTGCCAATGCAGACGAGCTCCTCCATGTCGTCGCTAGCCCACAGCGGAATCGGCGTACCCCAGTATCGGTTTCGGGACACGTTCCAGTCACGGGCGTTGGCAATCCAACTACCAAAACGCTTCTCCTTGACGAAGTTGGGGACCCAGTGCGACCCTTGGATGTTCTCCAGCATCTTGGGGATGATTTCGGGGATGCGCACAAACCAGGAGGGCACGGCCTTGTAGATGAGGGGCGTATCGGAGCGGTAGCACATGGGGTACGAGTGCTTGAGTTGCGATTCGACGACTAGCCTCCCGGTGCCCTTGAGATGTTTGATAATGTGTTTGTCGGCTTCCTTGACGTGCATGCCGGCGAAGTCGGACACCTTGCTCGTAAAGCGACCGGCGTCGTCTACCGGATCGGGAGGCGGGCGCTTCTCGGATACAATGCCATTCGCGACAGCGACGTTGAAATCGTCTTCACCGAAGGCCGGGGCTTGGTGAACAATGCCGGTACCGCTGTCGTCCGTGACGTACGTAGCGTTGAGAACCTTGAATGCGATGTCCTTGTACTCCTCATAGAGGTAGTCAAACGGCGGCTGATACTTCCAGCCCAGCATGTCCTTGCCCTTGAGCTTTTGGAGAACTTGGAACTTGGCCTTCTTTGGATCTTTGTACAGTGTCCCAAGCAGCTTCTCCAACAGAATGTACTTCTTCCCGGACTTCTCATCGTGAATCTTGACGTAGTCAAAATCCGGGTGGGCTGCGAGACCCAGATGCGAGGGCAACGTCCATGGTGTTGTCGTCCAGGCGAGGAGGCTCGTGTCGGGGTCGTCGTTAAGAGGGAACGAGACCACGATGGCTGGGTCGGTCACGTCTTGGTAGTTCTGGTTCGCTTCGAAGTTACTTAGGGCGGTTGTGAGAGCGGTAGAATACGGCATAACGCGGTACCCCTGGTACACAGCGCCCTTGTCGAAGAGCTGCTTGAACACCCACCATTCTGACTCCATGAACGTGGGGTCCATGGTCTGTCTCGGTCAGCGTGCTGTCTGACATTCCGTTCCCAAGCAACCCACCTTGTAGTCGTTGTCGAAGTCAATCCAACGGCCCAGTCGTTCTACTGTATGCCTCCACTCCTCACGGTACCTCATGACGATGGCGCGGCACTCGGCGTTGTACTTCTCGAGGCCCAACTGCATCACGGCGGCCTTGCCGGAGATGCCGAGCTTCTTGTCGATCTCATGTTCAATGGGCAGACCGTGGGTGTCCCAGCCAAACCGACGCTCTACGTGGTAACCTTTCATGGACCAGTATCTCGGGATGATGTCCTTGATAGTGGAGGCGAGGAGATGGCCGTAGTGAGGGAGCCCGGTCGCGAATGGGGGCCCATCGTAGAAAGTATAGTTGGGTCTCCCCACAGACAGCTCGACCTAGGTCGGGAGATGAGTATACAGAAGAATCGTCAATCCGCTGTTCAAATTGTATGCGCACCTGCCGCTCAAAGGCCTTGATCTGGCGCCATCTCTCGATGATGGCCTCCTCCTCCTTGGGAAAGTCGATCGACATGCTGGTCAATTCGTGCGGCAAAACTCTCGGCTTTGTGAGAACCTTCGAAAGTGTTGTTGAGAATCTGAATCCTCGGGAAATGAGAGAAATGAGGTGCAGCTGTATGTTTCGCAATAGTCGGTTGGACCTGCCTTGACTCACTCGTGACAGTTCGCCCGGATACTAAATTTCAGTTGTGACTCGATCCAGGCACGGCCTCGTTGGAGGGGCGAGGCCTGCGGGGTTGTGGGGCTGTAATATTACCAACTGCCGTTCGAAAGTGTAACAATCACTCACCGCTCTAGTGCACGGATGTTGCCAGGTACCGTCCGCCAAGATACGGGGATCTTTCCCGTTCTCTGTTACAGATTGTATCTGAAACGTCAATACCAACTCGCGATCTGTTACGGCCCAACCCCGATCTGTTAAGTCCAGGTTTAATTTTTGGCGAACTTGGCCGCTGCGGTCTCGACACACCACATTTTGGACACCGCCCAACCCCTGATTCCCGCCAAACGTCTTTATGTGCTCTCTACTTTTTGGTTGCCCATTGCAGCTGATGGTAGTCCAAGGCTCTGGAATGTTAACTCTCCAGGGCTCACGTCACATGCGCACCGAGGAACACCACCTTGATTTCGTGGCTACTGGCTATCACTCCTGATCGAATTGAGGATGGCCCTCTCTTCGAGAGCGAAAAGGAAGTCAGAGAGAGACAGAGCTTATTTCCCAGAGCGGCCGTGATGACAATTCATTGCCATGAATCTAGAGAACTCGTCAATACAGTCGGAACACGAACCAGCAATACATTCTTTGCTAACCTATCCATCAACGGGTATCCTCGAAACCATGCCCATCCGATCATTACATCAGTCGTCATATATATCGTTGGAAAAGCCGCCGCACCCAAATCAACGAGATATCGCAGGACACCAGGCCCCATCCGATCCCAACCTTCTTCTCTTCTGTCCAAACTCTATGACACCGGTCCACGGAGAACAATCATGCTAAACCATCCTTTCCCCCCATCCCTCCATCCCACTTCCCACCTTATCATCATCAGCATCATCATCACCGCCAACACTAATCAATCAGTCATAAGCCCACGGCAAATCCCTATCCCTGACCGTAGTACAAGTCAAGTACCCGATCCCGGCAGCCCCGGCCCCATAAACCATCTCCAACTCCAAACCGCTCCCCATCAGCGGCCGGACCACCTCGCGCGCCATGGTTTTCAACTCGTCAATCCTCTTCTCAAACTTGCGCAGGTTATCCCGGGTATACAGCTCCGGCGTGAGTTTCAGAAACCGCTTGCACTCGTCGTGGCCCAGGTAACCCCCAATCTTCTCCTCGGGCCCGGCCCCGAGCAACCTGTACGTCCGCCCCAGCGACGCAAGCGTGGGTTGTTGTATCGGCGGCGCGTTGCCTGGGTGCGCAACCTGCATGTTCCTATTGCCGTGGGCCTGGCCGCTGTGGTGATGATTCCCCGAAGACCGGCCGTTTGCCGCGCTCCCTCCGCTGCCGCTGCTGGTACTCCCCAACCTGCTCCTCGGCCCCGCAGCGGCGGAGGAATCAAGAGCGTTGTTGCCGGCGCCCCTGCGGTCATTCGGAAGAACGGGTGCCGACATCATCATCGGTGGTCTAGGCGAGGTGTTGTCCGCGAGCCACTGGCGAAAGAGGCTGACTGCGAGCCAGTCGAGGTACCCCGTGGCGGGCGTGACGCGCTCGCCCGAGCGGGTGGTCAACGTCAGTCGAAAAAGGCGAGCCTCGACGCGGCTAACCGTCTCCTCGAGCTCGTCGACCTTGTCCTCGATGATGTCGACGACTGTTTCGGGAAGGGCCGCGCGGATGGAGCGCTCGCCGGCCGGCCACTGGCCGACCACGTGAATCAGAGCCTCCTGGAAGATGACTTTGGACCGGGCGAGGTAGCCGAGGCGGAGGTAGCTGATGGGGTACTTTGCGATCTGCTTCCACAGGCGCGACTGGAACTGGAGCATGTGGTGGTCGACGCGCGGGCCGACCACGCCGAGGGCGTCGTACTGGTCTGCGAGGGTGAGCAGCGACTTGCACTGGACGTAGCCGTCGGCGATGTTGATGCCGTCGAGGTTCGGTGGGTAGTTGTACATGATGCGGAAGAGGTTGTCATAGTCCCGTAATAGATCCTGCTCTTCTGGGGTTGGGGGCGGTAGGGAAGTAGTGTGCGATAGTGTCAGGTTCGCAACGGATCGGAAAAAAGAATGTGACGCTGACTTGTGATGTGAGTGTCGGCTGGAAGAGTGACCGGACGGTGCGCCGCCGAATATCGAGCTCGCGGCTGGTGGCGGGTTGATGTTGTTTTCCTCCTTCTGCACCAGCATCGGTATATCGTTGTCATCTGACCCGTAGTCAAGCTCATACCTCCACCTTTTCTTGGTTTGCGCCGAAGACACCGGCCCTGGTTTGCCCCCTTCATCACTGCTGCCCCCTCGATCGTCTATCCGCGCAAGCTCCCCGCCCCATGCGCCACCCGCTTCTATCGCGCCGGCCGTCCCTGGAGCTGGCAGCTCCGGCACCGGTTGGGCGCGCGACCATTCGTTACTCGTGCTGGCCTCGAAGAAGCCGGAACAGCGCGTGAGGATATGTCGGTGGAGGAGATAGCGGTTCTCGTGCCCGGTTGGAACACGCACGACGATCTCGACATCGCCGCTGTGGCTGAAGACGGGGAACTCGTTCTGCGGTATGAAGGAGGCGCCGCCGGCGTGGGAACGGTTGTATCGTCGCGATCGAGACGAACCGTGTAACCCCGTCCCCCGGCCGCTGGAGCTGGTCCCGACCACGGACGACGGCCCCCGCAGCGTCAACGAAGTGACCCCGTCACTGCGATGCGACGACACCATGAATGCGGGTGGTTCTACCGTCGCGTCGGCCCAGAACCCGGTTGCTTTCGTATGACCGTTTGCTCAGCGAATATTCGTAGCAGTGGCCCGATTGTTGATCCTGGCTGTCTCTCGATTCTCGACAGACAAGGTTCTCAACTGACACGCGCACTCGGGCAGCTGTTAACTGACTGGCAGGCTGAATGTCGCACGGAGGAGGGGTCGGTCAGAGGCACATTAGGCGTTTAAGAAAATAACCGGTTCAGTTTTCCTTAGGTCGTGAACATCAATAAAGAGAGTCGCGAGAACTCGGGGCAGTGTCCCTCCGGAGAAGATGGTTTCCAGGTTCAAAGAGATCAATACCTTATCGAGGCTAAGACTCGGGCGAGGCTGTGTCCGGCTGTCTAACGGCGAACAAGAAGCAGGTGCCGTGATTTGCCACTCAAAGGGGGTTTCGGCAGACCAGGGCACTTGTCCGCTCCCTTGGCAACAACGATTGGCGATGCGACGTCCGGGCTGGTTGCAGAAGCCTGGACCTCACGAGCCACGATAGGTGGGAGCAAGGAAGAGCGGGGAAAACGAAGCTGAAACAGAAGGGAAAGGTCAAGAACGCAGCACCTTTCTCGGCAACGAGGAGGCCAGACGGAGGAAAACAGGAAATGTTGACCCCAATACCATCAAACACACCGCGCATCATGCAGGTTACCTTTTAGTGCGGTTGCGGGGTGAGTCCGAAGAGCGCGTCTTCGCGTCCTGTCCACAGCTCCAGTGTGACTCTGTGGACTGTGTGGCAGGCTTGAGATTCTCGATATGATCTACAGCTAACAGCTAACCCTGGTCTGTCTGTTAGTGCTTTACTAGCGGGCTTCTCGTCAAAGAAGCATGAAGGTACAAAGGAAGAAATGAATAAGGCAAGGGAAAGAGGAAGGGAAGAAAAAGACAAGAAGGAAAACAAAGAGAAGCATGAAGAGTTAGACTGAAAATAACAATTAGAACGCAGTGCCTTATCTACTACGCGGCATAACAACCGCGCTCCTTTCCAGCTTCTCAAGTCACGCAATAGCAAGCAAACTAGTACTAAATCAGGGTTGGCTCAAAACTCAGGATTGTCGTTTCCGGCTGAAAGAACATGCCTTTTGACAGGATGCTAACAAACAGGCAGCGTACTCTTTCGTTTCTTTGACTTGAGTATCAGTGTGAAGAATTGGACATGAGGCGCCAAACTACCTATTGGGTTGGTGATCTATGCCGCTTGCCTTGACTTCGAATCTCTTACTGGCCTCACAGGGGCGATGGATCTACAAGCATTGCACACATGGTTTGCTCCACAACATCTTCAACAAACTGTGCATCGTTCATGCCGTCTTGGAGAACACTTGTGTTGGTCTGTTTCGTGATGGATCTACCGAGTGTCTTCTAATCAGTCGGCCTCACACATATAGCGATGGCCAAGGAAGTATGCAATTGCTTTGTTGATTGTTTCTACTTGTACACTTGGATTGCGCCAGATATTGGCGGCGAAGGACCAGAGACCCAGTTACCTTTTTGCCCGTGAGAAAACTCCTGTGCGGAAACCGAAAATCAGAAACAAATCAGTCGTGTCGACGTTACCAGTACAACGCCGTGCCACAGCAAGACTCAAAGCAAGTCGTGCTGGAAATCAAGCAAATCCCTGTAACACCCAAGTCCGAATCTCAGAGCAAATTTCAGCTCAGGTCCATCTTCTTCGCGGCCAGAAAGACTTGTCCCACTGCTTCGACAAGTTTGTCCGAGACCAGAGGTTGGGGAGACGGCGGATCGGAGGCATGAATGGTTTCGGGTCCATCGAAGACCGGCGGCCACACCAGGAGGTTTGGTATGGCGCCTTCTGCAGTCGCGCTGACGAGTCGACCTTGGCGAAGGTTTTTGGCGAAGAGGAAAAATCCTTCGGTAGCTTCGACCAGGTAAGCCTCCAGGCTGCGGCTCTCTAAGTAAACCTTGACGTTGGTGAGCGGGTAGTGATTCTCGATGTAGCGCGCCCAGCCGCGAGCGGCCGCTTGAATGTATCTATCGTCGCTGACCCGGCGCCAACCGATGCCCAGACGGATGGTGAACTCGTCCACAACTGGCTGCGCAAGGGAATCCGGGGACGCGGTCATTCGGTCGGCTGCTTCGCGTGTGGGGTTGGAACCGCAACTTGAGGACTTCTCGCTCGTCATGTCGAGCCGTTGCGATTTATGGCCTCTCAACGAAGGCCGCGACTGAGCCGATTGCGCCTGGGCAAGGCGGGCTGCTTCTGCTTTGCGCGCCTCTCCGTCAGCCGCTCGTTCCTCGAGATAGGTGCCGGATTGACTGTTGACCTCGGGGATATAGCCAGCAGATTTCTTGATGAGCGTTATGACGGGACCATAGAACTGTTCGTTTTCTGACTCGTTGACGCCGTATCGGTCGACCATCCTCTCCGGAGGATCGAGATTAACTGAGGCCTCGTCTCTGGACCGTTTGCGCCCGGCGACCGAGAAAGTGCGAAAAAAATGCGCTCGCTCTGAGGCTGGTTGGCTGAAGGACATGGGTTGGTGCTGCAGGAAACACTTGTCGAGCGAGACTTGATCAGTTGCCTGAGCCGGCGCGGCGTGAACCGGCGACGAAGCGTAGAGGGGATCGAAAGACGGCATCTCGAGCGACCTGCTGGGTACTAGAACGAATGAGAGAAAGTGTGTTAGGTGTGGATAAAGGGGCAGTGGTTAGTTCAAGGCGCGTCGGATGCGCAAGTGAAGTGATGGCAAGACGGCGTGGTAAGTACGTAATACGTAGGTGAAGAAGGCAATGCAGGGCGCAGGTGTGGTGGCCGGGGATAAACGCAATTGGCCGAGTAAAATGATGGGAAGGTTTCTCAATAGAAAGAAGGTCGATGGCTTGACGGCGTCAGGCGTATCGGTGGTGAGGTCTCGGTAAGCGTGTTCGTGTACTGAGAGTCTCGAAGGTATAGCCGAGGAGCGCTCGTATGCGCTTGACGGATGATAATGGTGGCGGAGAGCGAGGGTGGATGAGGAAGAGATGGGTTGGGGGTAATAGCAGAGAAATGTGAGTTGAGGAGGAAAGAAAAGGAAGAAAGATGAGAAGGGAGGGTGGCCGAAGATGTGAGGCAAAGGCAGAAGAGGACCGGCATGCGTGGAGCTGCAAGATCCGGGCGAGGCAGACAAAAGGCGTTTGAGAGCTGGGAGAGCTGTGGATGCTGAACTGGAAAGATCCTCGCCGATCCCATTGGCTTCGGCTGCAGGTGGAGCTGTGTTCAGCTAAGCCATTTGTGATTGGCGGGTTGGATCCTGCAAGCGTTTGGGCGGCGCTGTGCCAAGCTCGCCAAGGTCGTGTGAGTGGCTGGACGGCTGTTGCCCCCTGTTTGTTCGACCCGGCTCCGCTTTTGCTCGTCCTCCATGTGGAGGTGGAGGTTCGTGCTTTGCCGCCCGGCAGCCGGCAAATCCGCCATTCCGTTCCTGCCGTTGCTGGAAAACCGCTTCCGTTGCACCAAACCAAATTCTTGCCCAATGGGCTCTCAGCGCAGCAACTCAACATTGTTTGACGACAGGAAGTCAGGCTGAGTCTCACACCACGCATCAGCATCATTCCCGCCGAGTTCTGGGCGGTTTAGCAAGCTCAATCTTTTGTTGGGTTTCAAACTTCATGGTAAGAAAACAACAAGGCGTTGGGCTAATAATGTCCATAAGCTGGAGGTGTTCCGAGCACTGCTGTCACCTCATCAAGTCCCAGTATTCTAATCGACAACTACTATGCGGGGCTGCTGGCCCTAGAGGACCCTACCCAGCATCAGGCCGATTCTTCTGCTGTCTCCTCCATTAACGAGGCCGCATCATCCATGTTCTCCATGCCGCCATACAGCCCCATGAAACCCGGCGTCTGTAATCCTGGCGGGCTCAGCTCCCTCCGCGGTCCAAATCCACGGCGTGGACGTGTCGTCGTCGGGGTCTGAATGGGTTGCGGCGAGGAGCGCCGGGCCGGGGCAGTGTATGCGCCATGCAGACGGCTTTGATGACGGGCTTCAGCTAGGTTCTGCGGCGTCTGGGGTTGCGACGCAGCTGGCAGAAAATCGTTGTAGACCCGCAGTCGCCCGGAGGGTCGGAACCTAGGTGTGGGTGACCAACCGTCCGACTGGCTGCCCTGAGCGGTGGAGTCAGATATGCTGACTTGGACAGGGTGAATGCGAGCTTACATCAAGTTGACCAAATCTCGAGTTCTCGAATGGCTCCGGTGAAGGCTGACGCGGTGTTAGCCACCCTCGCACATGCAGCACAAGCGTAAGGACCCGACATACCGGCGCAGACCGAACAGCGCCTGTCAGAAAACTTGCAGTTGACCCCAAGGATGTGGTGCGCTGCGGCGTGGAGGGCCCTGCCTTGTTCTTCCATTCGGCACCTGCCATCCCTCCCGAAGCCGGACGCGAATCTGGTACGCATACCGGAGATGCCCAGTCGCCGACGAGTAGACTGCTGCGCGCAGTGTTTCTGGGATTCTCGGGCAAGTGGGGTGAATCCGTCATCCCGTCCGGATCCATGTCTGCGTTGGAAATTGCTGTTCGCTTTGGCCGGATGCACAGCTCTAGTGTCGGAGCAGAGTCTTGTTTCTGATGATCTCCAACACCCGCACCGCGCCCCTGTCCGCCACCCGACGTACCAGGCGGACAGCTGCCTTCGTCGAACGGCTTCTCAGAGGGCAGCAGCAGTGTTAGGTCGGCTCCTAAAGGACGCACTCGGTTGTATGCTGGGGAGGGTGAACTGCTTCTCGGGCCGGCATACGCTTCTGCTGTTGCTTTGGCGGTTCGCAACGACGAGGACTTGTTGGGTGGGCTGGTGATGCAGATGGCATCGGTATCAGCTCGGGACAGGGCAGCACACGCTTCATAGTCATCGCATTCGAGAAACCTGCGGAACCGACGGCGGTTTATCACCTCAGTTACGTCGGTGCGAGTCAAGGAGATGGTGGTCGGCCTGAGACGCAGCATGGTACCAACAATCCATTACTGGCGTTGGAATCATGGCGGATCTGGAATTTGAAGATGAGGAAAATTCATGAAGTACATTACCTCATCTTGTGAGCTTGCCGCGAGTGTCATTGGTGCCTTGGTTGCGGAGGAAGGTGACAATCACGAACAGGCCGTTTAAGGAGGCGTCACCGGTCGGGCAAGCAGGCAGGCAGAAGGCCTGGTCCCCAATCACAAATCTCAGACATCTCAACCACACCATCAACCTGGTGAGGGAAGCACAAGACACATCTCTGAACTCTTCTCAGTCGAATCGAATACTAAAGCCTGCCAATGCCCAAGTTCTCGTCATTATTTTTCCCCCACAATTGCCTAGATGAGCCTTTGCCGGAGCATCACACAGCATTTAGGTTACGGAACTTTTAGGATGAGCTGGATATTCTACTGAAGTGGACAGAACTGGATAGAGGCATCTCCTGAATTATTCAAACCTGAGGAGCACACTGAAAAGGATCAGCTTGTTGATTGTGTCAATGAGGCTTCAAGTTCCCCGAGTGTCCATGTTTTTGATAAGGTAGCTGCAGTTGCCCCTTTTCTTCCGGTGCAAGAGATGAACATGTTTGAAAGAGCTTCAACGAACATAAATCGATAGCTCTACCCAGACAATCAACCAAGTTGATTGGCAATGTCAAGCCTGTGTCTTTATACCTTGATTGTGCTGAGCTTTTTACAGAGAGGCTGGGTATATAGGCCTCAACCGAGAACGTGAAGTTAACCATGGCCTTCCTTCTCTCAGACGCGAAGTGGAAATAGCCATGTCTCCTGTACCGAGCAGTCCGTATTCCAGCACAGTACACATCCGCACTTCGCACGGCAGGTTGGGGACTCTGCGCCTCAACCACGCAACGCAAGTCGAGGCCATGAATCAATCGAACCATGGGGATGAGGAGGAGACTGACAATTCGGATTTCCAACCAACCACCACCGCAAACGCCCAGCTGTGCCCGCACGGCTTGCAGGCCATTCTCTTGACCTCTCGTTCTTTATTGGAGGGCAGCCGGCCACATACCTTGCTACCTTGAGGTGGTTGTTCTCGGTGCATTCATCGGACGACGCTGAGCTCGATGCTCGACTCTCGATAATCTCACGGGCCGACGCGTCTGCCACGAACAAGAGGCGTCTGCTCAACTCGAGACCGACGTTCAAGACCCACGGCGCCACAACCACGAAAACCCATATCGACATCCTTCCTCGTCTTTACCTAACGACTGGCGCTCCCTGGCTGAGTGTGCCCGTGCCTCTCGCTGATCCAGACCGCATGCAGCCTCCGATACCACGGCATCGCCCACCTGTCTCTAATAGTTAGCTGCCTCCGGTGTTCATTACTAACGCTGGCTCGGGTCTTTCTGAACCCCGAAATCGCAGCACCATGAATGCCGACCTCAGCCTCTCCCAAGCGCTCGGCGGCCTGCGCATCGCCAATCCTGACGACTCACCGAACCTCTCTCCCGACCCGTCGACTGCCCCGGATGATGGGCAGACAAACCAGTCCAGTACTGTGGCTGCAGCTAGGGAGAACCACAGTCTCCAGACTCCCCAAGATGTTGAGCCCCAATCAGCCGATTGGGAATCTCCTCACCGGCAACCCCACTCATACGAAACAGCCGCCGCGATTTTGAAGCACGCCCAGAATAACTTGAATGCGCAAGGTGTGGTAACTTCGACCGGCTTTGGCGACGACCCCCGCGTTGCAGGGCAATATGACGCGTATTCGTCGGCAAACGGGGGTCAGCCGCCGGCCTTGTTGCATGGCCAAAGTCGGCTAAGCGAGCATGACCAGGGAGGGCCGTATGCGGGCTTGAGAGACGAGCTGTCACGGTCGTCCGTGTACGGAAGGAGGAGCGACCCAAGATTCGACCCGCCGAGTGCATCACAAATTCCGTCGCGTGAGCCGAGCCGGTCGCACCACTCAGGCCGGCCGGGCCTTGCCCAGCTAGGGAACGGCCAGAACGGCATGCCGCCGCCCAGGAGAAGCTCGAAGGCGGCAGGGGGAGGATATGCCTCAATCCCGGGCATTCCGCAAGCGCCGTCCGGCAGCTATGGGCCAGAGGCGCCAATGCTCACAAGCAGCGAGGAGTGGAAGGACCGGGGCGCGGCAGTAAGCATCAAAAGAGAGGTAGATGCTGAAGGTAGGACAATCATAAAGTCGGTCAAGAAGGGGGTCCGGGACTTCTCGTTTGGGAGGGTGCTGGGCGAGGGTTCCTACAGCACCGTCTTTCTTGCCACGGATCGCCAGACCCTCCGCGAGTATGCCGTCAAGGTGCTTGAGAAGAAGCACATCATCAAGGAGAAGAAGATCAAATACGTCAACATCGAGAAAAACACGCTCAATCGCCTCACCGACCATCCCGGTATCGTCCGGCTCTATTACACTTTCCAGGACGAGTCGTCACTCTATTACGTCCTGGATCTCTGCAACAACGGCGAGTTGCTAGGCGTCTTGAAGAAGACCGTGACCTTCGACATTGAGTGCACGAGATTCTATGGAGCGCAGATCTTAGACGCTATCGCGTACATGCACTCGAGAGGCGTCATCCACCGGGATTTGAAACCCGAGAACGTGCTGCTGGACGACCAGATGCACATCAAGATCACCGACTTTGGCACTGCCAAGTTGCTGCCAGACCCACGGGAGCCAAGGCCGCCAGAAAACCGATCAGGACAGGACGGCTCGCAGGACGACAAGAGCAACGCTTCTTTTGTTGGCACGGCAGAGTATGTGAGCCCGGAGTTGTTGACGGACAAGGCGGTGGGCAAGCCGAGCGATTTATGGGCCTTCGGCTGCATCATCTACCAACTCCTCGCCGGCCGGCCTCCTTTCAAAGCCGCAACAGAGTACCTTACCTTCCAGAAGATTGTTGGTCTGGACTATGAGTTTCCTGCAGGCTTTCCTCCTGCTGCGCGGGATCTCGTCGAGCGGTGCTTGGTGCTGGATCCGGCTCGGCGCCTGACGGTGGAGCACATCAAGAACCACGAGTTCTTTGACGGGCAGCCGTTTGGAAAGGAACTGTGGCGAATGAAAGCGCCTCGCCTGCGTCCATACGTCCCTCCGGCACAGGAGCCTCACATCATCCAGTTGAACGGCGCAGGATCCAGCCCGCCGAAGCCCCCTACATCTCGCGGGCAACATGTGCCGCAAAATGGCTCGCGACCGGCCAGGATCATCACGGAACTGCCCCCGCCGACGCAGCTGGACATCGAATGGTCTCCCGTGCTGACTCGGAACAACGAGAGGATCTTGAAGCTCGGCGACCTGATGGTAATATCGTCGCCGATCCCCAACAGCCCGCACGGGCGAGGCGAGGGCGACGGACACAAGAAATTGGCGCGCTTCTTTGGCGGGAACACCACCAAGAAGAGGCAGCGTCTCGTCATGGTGACGTCGAGCGGACGCATTGTGTTGGCCCCGGCCGGGGGCGAGGAGAAGCGCGCCAAGCAGGAGATATCGCTGCTGGCGCCGGATTGCGTGTGGAAGACCCTGATTGACGCCAAGGGTCAGACTGTGTGGTGCGTCGATACGGTGAGTTTAGGCCACGCCTCTCTTTCTTCCTTTTTTTCTTCGTTCTTTTTCCTGCATACATGCTCGGGACAAGCACTGACACGGGCCCAACCCCAGAATGGCGTACACTACACCTTTGAAGAACCCAAGTCCTCGCGCGAAAACAGCGACGCAAAGTTCTCGGTGGATGACTGGATCGAGTCGCTGGAGCGGGCTAAGGAGCTCGCCATCTCGCAGAACATGATTGGCTCGTACCAGGGCGAGAACGGATTCGGTGTTGACATGTCATCGGCCATGTCGAGCCCGGCGAGCACGATGGGAGGAAGGGTGCCGAATTTTGGAGGAGGGGTAGAGGGTTACAGCATCAGCGACAGGTCGGGGCGCAACCAGCTTAACAAGAGCCAGGTCAGCCTTGAAGGTGGGGATGTCAACGTCAAGCGGAATCGGTTCAGTAAACGGCAGTCAAAGAATGGGCTGGGGGCGGCTTTCTGATGAGGGTTGGTAGTGGCCTTGGTGGCCTGCGGACCGGCAACATGTGGGTGGTGGCGATGGAGATTCACAACTGCAAGGACCTGGAAACGGTCATGCTTGGAACCACGAGCTGGATTGGCTTTGGCATTGTCCCTGTCTGTGGCTGTGGGGAACGGGGCATAGATTCTTCAAACTGCAACTAGTATCATGTTTAATGGGCACTCTAGTTAGCGCGGCGTAGGCTCTCTCTAACTTGGTCCGATTTTCTCCCACTTGCCTCACGCCCTGACCAAAGAGCATTGTGTGTGATTCTGGGTGTTACGGGGCGGCCTGGGACAAGGTGTTCGCTACTAGTAATTCCAGCATTTCTGCTTAGTGTACGGAGTATGTAGGTATGTACGACACCCGTGTCGACCATACTGTGCGAGGCGAACTCGGAGTGTCCGGAGCGGTTGTTGATCGTCAGGGGTGTCACATGATTTGGCAGCCCACCAACAAACATCAACCCTAAGGTGTAAATTAAATTTCTTATTTTTGGGTGGGTTAGCAACAGTAAAGTCAGACCGCGATCTGTTTGCTCCATGAGATCCCAAGCGGTACTGCATGGAGAAGAACGCATATACAATAAAGCTACGGAGTACGGGGGACTTCACTTCATAGGCAATCTTGTCCTCTGCTGCGTCCATGTTCTGTAGCCTCTTAGTGGATTCGCCAAGAACATTGAGCTTGTGGGTCCTGCCAGCCACACCCAGCCCGAGTCTCCCAATCTGAACTCCACCACAGATTGGGAGACGACGCGACAAGAGGCGCGTTCTGAGCCAGGCCCAAATCCGACCGCCATCGAACCGAAAAATTGATTGGTGGTGTTTCCTCGCCAGTCTTCGACCTGGACTAGTACAGAAGCAGAGTAGACCACCGTTCGCAGAATCGCATCACAATGCAGCCGCAGCAGTACCGTGGATACACACCGCAACATGGGCCCCCGCGGCCAGGAGGAGGAGGAGGAGGAGGAGGAGGCCAGCATGTCCCACAACGCCGAGGCGGCATCGGTACGTGAATTTCTTCGTCCGATTCTCCTTCCATCCACAGCGAACCCCGGCTTCCCTGCGCTCCGCTTTTGCCGCCTTCCACCCCCCCCCCCCCTCCCCGGCCCTTCGGTATGCTTTCTCTTTGGCAGCTTGGAACTCCGCACTCGCCATCTCAGACTTCTCCAGCCTTTGAAGAACGCCAGAAGAGTTGCGAGTCCCCGAGACTGCAATTGGAACATCCTGCGCCGTCACCAAGCGCGACAGCCTCAGTCCGGCCATCTGCCGAATATATCCGCAGCTCTTACTGACATTTGCGCGACACAGGCCCCATGATGTCCGCCGGCGCCGGCCCTCACCACTCGGTGCCCATGACGCAGGCGCAGATCAACCAACACCACCAGCAGCAACAGCAGGCCAACCACCTTGCCAAGCTGAGGAGTCGCAAGCCGACCGACAAGAACCTCCCCGATGGCGTCGAGGAGATAATGGTCGGAGAGGGCAACCTTGGCGCCTGCTACAAGCAGCTCCGCGACCTGGAGCGCCGGTTCGATGCCACCATGACGCGCAAGAGGCTGGATATTGTTGACTCGCTAGGCCGCAACGCAAAGGTACTACCCCTTGCTGGCCACCCGGCTGACTAGTAGACGTCCAATGGCTGACACGTACGGTAAAAAGCGGTACAAGACTCTGCGCATCTGGATCAGCAACACAGTTGAAGACCAGTTCTGGCAGAACAACGGCCTCAACGTCGACACATTTGACTTTTCGTCCAACCTCGAGTCGTCCTACCGCGTCAAGATCGAGGGCCGCTTACTCGACGATGAATACGAACTGGAGGCGGACGAGGAAGAGCCCAAGGCCGGCGAGACCGAAGCAGACGGCGACAAGATGGAGACCGACACGCCCAGCAAGAACAAGGCCAAGGCTGCGCCGGCCAAGCGGCCCCGGCTCTCGCACTTTTTCAAGGCCCTGACGGTGGATTTCGACCGCCAAAAGTCGCGACAGGGCGCAGAGACCAGCGTCGAGTGGAAGAAGCCGGACAGGACGCCCGCGGGGTCAGGCAACCTGCCCGCCATGGCCGACTTTGACGAGTTCACGTTCAAGCGAAACGGCGACGAGAACATGAACATCACCATCAACCTGTACCGGCACGAGGACCCGGAGCGCTTCGAGCTCAGCCCGGAGCTCGCCGAGATCGTCGACATGCGCGAGGCGACTCGCCAGGAAGCGGCCCTGGCGCTGTGGGAGTACATCAAGCTGATGGGCCTCCAAGAAGACGAAGAAAAGCGCAACTTCCGCTGCGACGACCTTTTACGAAAGGTTTGTCCCTCCGCGCTCCTCCCCGGAATTTGCACCCGTTTCCTCCCAATCACATAACTCACCTTTTGCTCTCAGATAATCCCCCGCGAAATGGGCTACATCCCGCACCTCAACGACTACCTGACCCCTCATCTCCGACCTCTCCCGCCCATAAAACTGCCCTACACGATCCGCGTCGACGAAGAATTCCACCGCAACCCCACCCCGACAATCTACGACGTCCGCGTCGCAGTCGACGATCCCCTGCGCCAGAAACTTCTCCCCTTCCTGCACAACCCGTCCTACGCCGCCATGCTCAAGGAGGTGGCGCTGCTCGACGACCAGCTCGCCACCATCGTGCAGGCCGTCGCCCACTCCAAGGCCAAGCACACCTTCCTCGCGTCCATGGCCGACGACCCCGTGGGGTTTGTGCGCGCCTGGTTGAGCTCCCAGAAGAGGGACCTGGAGATCATCATGGGCGAGGCGACGCGGGGCGGCGGCGAGGACGCCGCGGGGGATGAGTGGCGCAGGGGTGGGAGGGATAGCATCTGGGCGACGCCGAATGCGAGGGAGAGTGTCAACGTGCTGTTGGCGAAGCAGCCTTTGAAGTTATGATGCTACTTACGTGATATGGTAGCGTGAGGGGGCCCCGGTTTGGAAGGGAACGGTTGGGGTGTATTATGGCGCTTGTAAAAGGGAATGGAGGGGCCGGCGGTGTTGGTTCCTTTCTGGTCAGGGAGGATTATTAGTATCGCGTGTTCTTCCCAAGTTGGGCGAGGCAGGTCATTTGATGAGAGTGTACGATTGTGACGCCTGGTTTGTGAAGTGATCAATCGCTGAGCAACTGAACAACCTCGTCAATCATCGTTTCTGTACGTCTTCAAATGTGTCTAAGGGTATCATCATATCTCATAACCTGCATTCCCCTTATTTCATCCTGTCCATAACGCAGATGTAGCAACCCCAAAATGCCCTGCGTATTCTGTGCATTCGTGCATGGTGATATACCTTAATCAATCCTCCCCCGTCAAGTCCAAAATATCAAGCTCGCTCCGCCGCCAGGCCTTTCTCCTCTGCGCCTTCCCGTTCTCCATCCCCGAGCCATTGCCGCCATTGTAGGCAGCCAGGATTTCGTCCGCCTTGTCACGGCTGACTTCGACTTCACTGAAAAAACCCTGTCCGCCGAGACTTGTGCGAGGGATGAAAACCTTGGTTGTTGCGCTCTTCGCGGTAGTTGCCGCGGTTGCTGTTGTTACGTTGGCTGGGACACTGGCCGGGGAAGAGATATTGTTGGCATCGGCCGAATTGTCAGCGGCTGTCTTTTGTTGTTCTTCTCCTTCCGGTTCGTCCTTGCTTGCCGAGGTCGGAGCGTCGTCTGCTGGCTCTGGTCGGGACTCTGGTGACCGGGTGCGATAATGTTGGGCGGGAGGCGAAGACACAAAGGGGTCATCGTCACTGTCGATGTCGTCTTCTGCCGTGTCATGGCTGGTCCTCCGGCCGATAGTGCTTGACACTGGCGATTGTTTGATCGGCGGCAGAGCCAAGTCCTCATCGTCTGTGAGTATCTCGATTGGCTGTGTGCCTGGCACATCAGGTTTGGTATTGCCTTGCGAAGAACTGGCGTGCTTCGAGACACGGCCAAAGTCCTTGATTGGCTTCTGCGTTGATGAGGCCGTTGCGGTGCCTTCGACTCCGCTCTTGACCCTCTTGAATGGCCGGGGTTTTCTCACTGCCTGCGCCTTTGCGACGACAGGCTGCTCTTCAGCGGGCTTCTCCGAGACTGGGAACCGTTGCTTCCTCGGACTTGGAGATGGGCTGAATAATGGCGGCGGTGAAATATCGTCGTCCACTGTAGGACTCGGCCGCTTGACGTTTGTGGGCGTTGTCTGACTGGACCTCACGCACGCCCCGTTATTCACCGGTGACGCAGGGGCAACAGGGCTAGACGAGATAATAATAGTCTCCCTAGAAGAGCTGGGTTTTGCTTGAGCCTGTGAGACGGAGAATGGGAAAGATTGGGCAGCCCTAGGACTGGCTTGTAAGCTTGCCAGTGTCCAGGGGTTGACGTTCGCCGGTGCTTTGGGCAGGGAAGATGTGGAGGTCTTCTTGAACTGCTTACTTCTTCCCCGAGGCGCGGGCTGACTGTTAACTCCTGGAGGCGAAGAAGCAAGCTCAAGACGAATGGTGGCTTTGGTAGGACTTTCAACCACATTCTTCGTGACCTTGAGGTACTTATCGAGTGCCCCTGCCGGCATGTCTGTCTTTTTTGCTCCTGACTTCTGGGTGCCCTTTGCAGCAGCCCGCTGCGCCTTCAGACGCTGCTGTCCCTCCCAGCCCTCCACCGTCAGGGGTATCCCCAGCTTCGCCAGAGTCTCTGGAACCCATACAAGCTCTGGTTGATACGGATCAAACGGCTTCTTCGAGCTCGTACTCTTTGGTTGCTCACTGCCAAGTTCCTCCTCTGCTTCGTCCTCGAACTCGTCGTCGCTATTCAGCGCGATGCCGCTCCGGCCAAAGGCCTCGACCTCTTCTTCGGGCTCCGCGTCGAGATCCAATTTGACGATATCAGCCGGGACAAACGATATTCGCAACTCAGGGGTGGCGTCAGTGCTGAAGTGCGCTCGTCTGCTCGAAATTGCTTTAACAAGCCCTAACTCGACTTTCTCTTTGGTATTGACATCGTCATGGTCCAACTCCGGAGACACCGATCTCTCGAGAAACCTTTGAACCAGGAGACTCGCGGCCAGCACGCGGGTGAGCTTGACAGCGCCGTTCCGAAACGCCCAGTCAAATGTCTCACGGGTGAATTCGCGCAGCCCAGCAACGTCAACCGTGCTCGTCGAAGGAAAACTCCTCTTCAACCTCTCGACAGTCGCCTCCCGCGACACGACCGGGTGGGTATAGTACCGTAGGACCTCCATGTTCGGAAAGCTCTCCGGAATCTCTAACGCCTTGTGCCTAGTCCGGAAGTATCCGCTCTCGTTAGTCCGAAGCTCATGCAGCAGCCTGGCCTTCCAGGCCGCCAGACCCTCCCTGTCCGCTTTCTTAAGCCGGCACAGGTCACGCCCGAACCCCGCCCTCGCCGCCTCGCAGGCGACCTTGACGCCGCACCCGGGCACGCCCTCGGGCAGATAATCTCCGCCGCTCATCAGCGCGACCAGCACCATGCCCTCCCTGTCCAGCCCGCTCGACCCGGCCGCGACCGCACCGACGTCATACACAGACACGTGTGTCGGCGTCTTGGAGCCCCTGGGTCTCTCGGCAGACCAGTTCCGCAAGGTCCTCCGACAGCCAAACATGATTGTGTCGACATCTTCGCTGAGCACGGCGTCGACTACCCCTTGCTGCTCGAGCAGGGCGCACTCAGCCTCTGCCTCTCCCGGGGCGTCATGAATTGCGAAGCCAAAGAGGCGAATTAAACGCTTGGCCATCGCCGTGGCTACGGCGTCGCCGCGGCCCGAAGAGCGCTTATTGCGTTTAAAGGCGGGCTTGTTGGGGCCGTCGAAGACGAAGATAGGGTGGATCGCGAGGCCGAGCAGGCGCACGAGGCGGTAGAAGAGGGTGCGTATTGCAGGGTTGGCGCCGCCTGGAAGTAAATTGGTAAAATGCACATGGAGAAAGTCAAGAAAGGGGATGATCCCGACGAAAAGGGACATACCCTTCGCTGCCTGGACCTGGAATTGCCATATGGAGAAATCGATGGCCAGTCGAAGTGGCCGGCCGGTCTCTTCCAATGTGTCCACGGCCAGTTTGCAGAGCGATACCCGCTCACCGGGGCCGATCACTTTGTAGATGCTGCGATGCATGTGGTTAGCCTTCACCTCAGAATGGTGCAGAATACCTGTGGCTTGATCGTACCCTTTGATGCCCATTTGTGGCCGGCTATTTGTGTGCAATACGGAGAAGCAAAAAGGAAAAAGAATATGAGCGATGGTCAATCCATAGTAAACCAAGACTTGAGCAACTTGTAGCTGCTTTGCGAGTATGCGACGGGGCAAACCGAGATTGGCGATGGAATGGCAAGATTGTTCGCTTTGTTGACGTTGTTCCGTTTTTGGAAAAAATGGAGGGTTGTCCGAGCCACCGATGTATGGTTTAGTCGCATATAGAGCATAATGTGATCGTACCTAATCTGGCGATTAATACGGATTATAGGAGCAGATGAAGCCCCATAGAAATATTACTCCTCAGAAAGCGGGGTGCGCTAACCACGCAATATCTACAAAATAACAGGCCGCCATAGGTGGTGAACTCTCCCTGCTTTCATGCTGAAAGCACGAATAAGTTTGCATCTATCGAGATACCCTCAAACGCCGCGTCGCGTGCGTGTTAACATTGCCTTCCGGCGCTGAATGAAATAAGCATCCTGGAGCAAAAAGAAAAAATCTGGGTTTCTTGTGCAACACAATGAAATATCATTCAAGTGCTCTTGTTTCATAAAACTCAAACTCCTCTTCCACCCCCAATGTCGGCACCAACGGGCTCAGCACCGCTTCCGCACCGGACGGTCGCTAATATCCGATCGCCTCCCGGGGCCGGGCATCACCAGAGTGGGCCGTCCACCCCGATCCGACACATCCCCTCCAACTTTGGCTCCCCTTCCAGCCTCCGCGCGGACGAAGAGATCCTCATCATTGAGATTGGCACTCGCAAGCTGCAGGTCGGCTTTTCAGGGGATCCTGCTCCAAGGGGATGTGTGTGGTTCTGCCCCGATCAGCAGCGCCGCGTCGGCGACTTCAGGGACTGGCAGACGGACTACCGGTACGACTGGAGGAGCGCAGCCGCTGGCGGGCTGTGGGGGAGGGATCATGAACTGTGGCAGTATGATGTGCGAGGGGTGAATCTCGGTTTGGTTGGTGACAAGATTGAGAGGGCATTGGGGGAGGCCTTTACAAAGTAGGTTATTTCACTTCTCGCGTTTGCATGGCACCCTCATGCTGATTCCAGCTGTCAGGTACTTGCTCATCGACTCGCGCCCTCGGAGGATGGTCTGGGTCCTTCCTTCTGCCCTGCCCATCCCCGTGCTCTCGGCAGCCCTGGACAGCGTCTTCAGCCGGTTCCAGTCACCAACCATCTCGCTCCTCTCCTCTCCGCTTGCCCTGGCTGTTGGCGCCGGAGTGCGTTCGGCACTTGTCATCGACCTCGGCTGGAGTGAAACGGTGGTCACGAGCGTCTACGAGTACCGCGAGGTCGACTCCAAGAGAAGCATCCGCGGCGGCAGGATGCTCGTGGAGCACACACACAAACTCCTCGCCAAGAACCTCCCCGAAACACAAGGGGGACCCGACGGCAAGGACAAGTATGTCGTCAGCTTCGAAGAGTGCAGCGACATCACCACCCGCATGGTCTGGTGCAAGCCCCGTCCGCGGTCTGCGTCTGGGCAGCCGTCCTCCGATGCTCTGGCAACTGTTCAGGAGCAGGATGAGGGCGAGCTCGAGGACAGACCAGTATCGAGGAGGACTGGCTCGGTCACAGTTCCGATTCGGTCGTGGCTATCACCCACGTCGCTCGAGCTGCCTTTCGACGCGCTCGCGGAACCCTGTGAGGACGCCTTCTTCGAATCTCAATACTCACCGACAAGCTTTGACGACCACGAGCTGCCCCTCCATCTGCTGGTGTACCGCAGCCTTCTTCAGCTGCCAGTAGATGTGCGGGCACTCTGCATGTCTCGCATCATATTCACCGGCGGCTGCTCAAACGTCCTCGGCCTCCGTGGGCGGATTTTTGACGAGGTGTCCCACCTCATACAGGAGAGAGGCTGGGATCCAGTCCGGGGAAAGGGCGTGGACCAGCTACGGTGCAACCCAAAACTGAGGAAGAGAGACGCACGGCAAGCGGGCGATGGCCCGACCGGAGTCATGTCCCCGCCCGGCGAAGGCGAAGAGCAGGACGGAGTGTGGCACGATGCAGCCAACATGATCCCTGAAATTGACTTTATCGATGAGCAGCTGCAACGAGCGACGGACAGGAGACCCCGCGTCCAAGGTACGCTGAGACCCATTGAGTCTCTTGGCGCCTGGAGCGGGGCGAGTTTGGTCACTCATCTCAAAGCACTGGCTATCGCCACCATTGATCGCGAGGGGTGGTTGCAGCACGGTGCTGCTGGGGCCAGCAAGCCGAGCGATGCCGATTACAAGACGCAGAGGCAGAGTCTAGGGCCCGGTGGGCTGATGAGGGGGTCTGCTGCTGGGTCGGCGTGGACGTTGGGCGTTTGGGGAGCTACCTGAGCGAGTCTGGGGTGGTTCGGGCGAGGGTTATTGTCGGGTCCAACATGTAGTAAGTGACACAAATACTACCTACCCTTCTGCAATGGACTTGACATGTCTTCGTATTGGAATACGTGAGAGATGCTAGGGGAAGTGCGGGAGATTCTCCGTCGATTGTATGTTAACATTCGCCTTTGTCCCCTGAGTTGTGCCAAACAAATCACTGACAGCCACACGTGGTGGAAGTCTAATGCACCTCAATTATTCGGCAGCCCCAGCACACAACTGCTGCTTCTGATATCCATGCTGCCTCGTGCCCTAGGTGGCCAGGTAAAGCATTCTTTCCTTCTCTCCCACCTTAGAGGTAGGGTAGCTTCCTTGCTCTCCGTCCGATGTCCTGAGAGATGCGTTCCTTCCTATGCTAGCAAACATGGACGCCACTGCCCTGGCCGTTTTTCAGGCACTTACACTCCCAGAGTCCCTTCTGCTTGTGGTCACGTTTGCGTTGTGTCGAATGTTTGCATCCCTCGTCCCCCTTTTTCCATCTCTCCCAAACCATCTCCGTTCCATTTTGTGTCGTCCACCTTTCGTTCTCTGTATCCAAAGACCTGGCAACGAGACCTATTCGCTTTGCTACGCACTCCCCCTGTCCTTCCGGCAAGCCTTTGCATTTTGGACTCGATCACCTCGTCGTATTCTCCTCGCAATCCCGCGCAGACCCGTTCTAAGTGGTTTCTCCCAGCTTCGCCTGTCACCAGGTGAACTGCCCGTCATCATCCCCGCCGGCATCTGACCGGTTGCTCGCCCAGGCCCCGTTCCCGGGCAGTGTTTGGTAAGTCGTTTTCATGGTCCCGCTCAAACCACCGACTTCCTTATCTCGCAAAATCCCACTACGCGGCACCGTGGGCTTGCATATTGCGAATTTGCCAAGTTTGTTGTTTTGTTTCCTCACGAACGCAATGCGGCAGCCCTCCTTTCGCAAGCGTGCCAGACGCCTGCTCGAACATCTGAAAGATCTACAAGACGACGATTGCCCTATCACTCCACCAACTATCTTTGCCATCAAACACCTTCTCCAACACAACAACCGCTGCAGGTCTATCGAGGTCAAAGTCGATTCACTGGCAGCCAACAGCCCATTTGATTCCCATCGATCTCTCCTGCCGAAATTCGTTGTGTCACAGCTTGAGGAGCAGAAACTGACAGATCGGGACAGCGAGAGAGTTCCAGTGCCGCCCGTTGTCGCCTTTGCCATCCACTCACTGCCATCGGCCTCTGGTCGCGACAAGTCGTATCCGACGTTGTTCCGCTGGTACTACCCACCGCGGCATCGGACATACCTCGTCTTCGCCCACATCAAGCACATCATGGCTCGCCGAACCTACACTCTCACTGAGCTTTTAGGTCTTCGTGCGAATCGGGCTCCGGCGGAAATTCTGGCCTTAGCAGCAAATCCCGAGATTGGTATGCTAGAGATTCCGCGTGACTGTTTGGGCCAGCGCTGACATGTATAACTTCAGCCGACATAGTTCGCCGCTCAGCAAGCCGGCCGTCTGGTTCTAGCTCCAGTGGCAGGCCGCCGACCGCCAGAGTCAAGGACGATTCGTCCGTCACGTCTGACGAGCTCGTGTTCAAGGGCACCGTCAGCCGCCGCATGGGTCGCGAGTTGACTCGAGAAGCTTCACAGAACTCCTTTCGTCACCCTGCCCGCGACCCCGCACAAGACGCTGCCCGAGAAATGTCCCAAGGGTCATCTCAGGACCCTTCGCGTCCTATGGAGTGGAAATACCGCGGACGGAGTGAGACGGAGGCGACCACGGCAGAGCCCATTCCTGCACCCACAGGCGTTCCGGCTCAGCGCGACGAAGGTTTCCAGCGTTTCTACAAGGCTGTCGTCTCTCCCACACATGTTCGCGTCACCGCCGGCGGACGCATTGTTCCCAACACTCGCGGCCCGCCGTCGCCTACCGTGAAACGGACGAGTGACAACTCGCTCATGGACAGTCAGTCTGTGGCCGATAAGGCAGCGGCGAGCAAGCCACCAGTTGCTCCAGCCGCTCCGATGGCTCTTGGTCAGCCGGTTCCGGTGATGCCCCAGCTTGTGCCTGGATACCCTCCTGGTTTCCAGCCGATTCAGACGCCCGTCTCTTTCGTTCCCATGGCTTTGGGGACTCATTTGCCGCCCGGCTTTTCGTTTGCCCAACCCGCCGTTAACCCTGCTGTCATGGCATCGCTTGCTCCTGGCAATGCCCTAAAGGACATGCACATCACAAAGCCAGGGGACGGCGAGAAGCAGGGAACGGTGAAGCCTTCGATGCCAGAGCCTTTCTACTATAATGGTCAAATCATGTATCCAGTTGGGTCGTTTCCGGGTTCTCTGGGCAATCCGATGGTACCCGTCCACATGGTTGGCGTTCCCCATGGCATTGCGCCGCCCCTTTCCGGGCAGTACATGCACCCGCAGCCGACTCGGACGGTCTCAGCGGCCTCAGCAGCTCCGGGCTCATCATACGCACCATCCAACCACAGTTTGTCTGGAATCCCGCCGGTTGTCAACCACATTGTCCCAGCTAATGCCAACTTCAATGCGGCTACACCCCCGCCAATCTCTTCGATCAAGCCCAGCGACATCACCAAGAAGCAAATCGTCGGGTTCAAGCAGAACCTCAAGTACCACGAGGACCAACTGCAATACAATCGGCACCAGATTGACGAGAGGGAGATGGAGGAGAAAATCCATATCATCAAGGGTCACATTCAGAAGTTTGAGGCCATATTGAGGAGTCAGCTCGAGTACGAGGCAGCCCATCTCCAGGCCACTCAAGGGAAGGAGGACAAGAAACAGTACCAGTCCACCCCGGTCGCCGACGAGACAAAAGCCCCGTCCCAGTCGGCGCCGTCGGCTGCGTCGCTTGGATATGGAGCCCCCGTGACCAGGGAGATTGAGGAGGAAGTCAACCGGCGGATTTCTCTTGCCAGCTACGGTCTCAACACCAACATCAGCGAGGGCGGCAAAGCCACGTTCAGGAGTCCCGCTGAGCCGCCGTCCCCGCAGATGAACGGTTTTCCCAATGCAGCGAGCCTCCCCAGCGGTGCAGCACAGGCTCCAATCTTCCAGCCTCGTGGCTATGCCTCGACCTGGACAGGCAGTAAGTATGCCAGGGAGTTGAAAGCTTATGAAGAGGCAGAGAAGAGACTTCTCGCGATTGAGTCGAACAATGCGGAGCATGCCCGTGTGGGCGAGCGTTCAGTGTCCCAGCCATTTGCGGCGGCAGTGGCTCCGGCGATACAGACTGAGGCCAACCTCCACGCCACCGACAACTTCAACCGGCCTGCTAGCACTAGCACCAAACAGCGGGTCAGTTTTGGAGTGCCTTACTTGCTCGGCACACTTCCCAAGGGCGTCAATCCCCGCACGGCTAGAGACCAGGACTACATCTACAAGCGCCCGCTGACCGACGAGGAGCGCCGTGCAAGGTTTCTATACTGGGGAAAGGCGCCCAAGTCGGCCGTCAAGGGTCTGCCCAAGTTTGATGGGAAGCACTTCTACCCGCCTTCACCAGTCAAGGACCGTTCGGCTCAGCCGGCTCAGGAGTCCGAGTCCCGCACGACTGACTCGGATGGCGATCCGTTCCGGTCCACGACTCCCGTGCAGCGCGGAGATTCTAAGGGAATGCCGGCCAGCGAGGCTAACTGTACCGTCGGTGGGCTGACTCGAACCCTCTCGTTCGAGACTCAGGTCAATGGCGGCTCGGAGGACTTCACCGGCGCGGCACCCCTCAAATGCCGGGATGACAGCGTGGATGCTGGCTCCGTTGCTTCTGTCGACCGACGCGCGGAGAATCCAGGGTATGTTCTGACATTGCTGGGTATCGTAGCAAGATGCTGACAATGACAACGCAGCGCCAAGCTTTGGCAGGCGATGCTGAAGAAGGGGCCGACCAGCAGCGCGCTGTCCTCGACCACGGCCCAAGGCTTTTTGCCGCATTACACCGGCAATGCTGCAGCATCCTTGACGCCTTCATTGACCACGAATCAGCTGTCTTCGCCTAGGGATATCGCTTCGGGCAAGTTCACGGACGTCCATGACCTGAACGAGAACGGCGGGGTGCCGCTGTCGACTGCTCCCGAGAAGCGCGGCGAGAATTGCCCTCCGGGGGTTGTCAACTCCATCGGGGACCAGTTCAAGCATCTTGCCGTCGATGCCACAACCCGGCGCAACCTGACTTCAGCCTTTAGCATGTGAGGCACTGGCCGATTATTGACGGAGGAGACGGGGCTGTTGGCGAGGTGTCAGCATCATGACATGATTATGGTACTGATAGAGACACCGAGTGATACTGTTAGAGTCTTTTCTCTTCCTCATGTTAATACCGTTAGCTTTCAGGCGTTTCTGTCGACTTGGTCGCGGATGACGGTTGTCGGAAGGAGGAATGTCCGAAGGATCATGGATCTTGAAGGATCAGGAGCATGTTATACTGAGGGCAGGTTACTACTAGATGCTGTAGAATAGGGCTTTCATAAAACAGAAAGAGTATTGCAGAGTTAAATGGATGGGTTTTGATGGTGTTGTGTGAGTTTGCTTGGAGTGTGTATTTATGTGAGACGGGTCTCCTAGTACACGCAACACGAGTTAGGGCCTATAGGTATAACTGCTTTGCTCGATACTAGTACAGCTCCAAGATGTGCTTCCTGACCCTCGCCGTTCCCACCTCGCTCTCCACCCTTACAGCGGCGGAGCCTATGACGACTTCTACCTCCTGTGACCTTTTCACGCCGTGCCGTGGCTGGGGTGACTGGCGTACAGCGTACGGCACGCACCGCTGGATCGACGCTGACTTGGACGAAGGCTGCCGGGATCTCTTCTGACGTCCCAGATATGACCGAGCTCTGTCTGGTTGGACTGAGGAGGGCAGCAGATGGGTCATTTTTCCTTCGAAGGCCAGGCCAAGCGTTGTATCACGAAAACATCGGAGAGAAATGACGGCAGACAGATTATGGCTAACTGGGACGAATGTCTTTGTACGTATTGGTTGGAAACTACCGTGACCTAGGTCAGTACCGCAGCAGCTATGAGCGAGACTTCCGGTGTGGACTGTACCTTATCCTGCCTCCATGATATCTACCTACTAGGGACTGATCATGATTCATGCTTGCTTCTCGCTGGATGCACGGATGGGATGGATGGAATTACTGTGGGAGGGGCACAGCAGATGGGTGCATGGAGTTTCGTTTTGCCCGGCGGCCGCTGAGACCTGGGTGACTGACTACCTTATTCTTCTTGTCATTTGTTTTGCTCGCGACATCACTTCCGCCCAGGTAAGAAGTAGATCCTGGTTCTATGGATATTTAGTGTATGCACGCCAAGTTCAGGGACCCGGATCGCCGGAACGGACCAGCTTCTCGCGCGTGGGGGGCTTTCCCAGACGGACGACGGGTGAGCTTTGGGTTGGAGAGGCCTCGAGGCCTCGAGACCCGCGATGGCCATGCCTGTTTCGGTGCTGCAGTGAGGGTTTGACAGCAAGACTGTCGTAGAGAAACGACACGCTTGATGCTGTCATGTACCGTGTTTGTTCCCCCAATATCGAGCAGATGGCGATTTCTTAGCTGTATGTGCAACCGTTGGTTTCAATGCTTTGAGATTGGAATGCGACTGCTCTTCCGGATTTTTGGATCTGATGACCGTTCCGTTGGCCTCCTTATATGTTGCTAGATCTCACCGACCTAAGCCTTACGATCCTGGTGGGACGGCTGACTCTTCTGACCTTGGGGCACAGCAGGCGTGAGGGCCGATAATAAGTTACTGCCAGTGATTCCTTCGTACGGTACTATACTGTCCCGAAAGGTAATCCTCTGTTACCCTAAGACAGGAGATCACAGTTGTTGAAGATCACAACCCCGCTGTGGGAAAGTCGATGCCCGGGGATGACGTGCTGCTGCTGCTTGCCGTTTGTGTCCAAGACAACTCGAATCGCAGGGCATCCCTTTGACGCTTGCAAACTTTGGAATAGGATATCCACAGACACAGAACCTGGGATATCGTCAATGGCTCTGTTACCCGGCTTAGCCCAGGCAGTGCACGCAGTACACGAAGATTCGCATGGTGGAGCTTTGATTCCAATACATAACTTCTCGAGTCTCACCATGCACCGTCCAAGGCCTTCCAAGGATGGTTTCACATGCCTGCGAGATGATGAGAAACCAACAACCACCTGGGGGATGACATGGGACGATGGTACGGCGCAGCTGCCCATGCGATACAGGGAAGCAATTTTGCCACTTGAGTTCTTAACCCACAACCAAGTGTCATCATTGGAGTCGTTGGAATCAAGCAAATCCTGCATTACGAGGATTGTTGGAGATTCTTCCTGGCCTCGCGATGCATTCGCTCATCGCAAAAAGTGGTGGAGCGCTTGGGCCGTCAAATGGCCAATTGGCCCGGCCAGAATCGGCCTTGTGGAGTTTAGGCAGGGGTCACCACATGAAACAAGGAAAAAAGTGGAGAAGACGTTGAGATTCCCCTGAATCGATCGCTCTCACAGTCGTTGACAGCTCCATGGAATCAGCTGACGGGCTGGTCCAGCCGGCGCCACGATGTTTCGTGACAGCGCCATCCGAGTGGCTAGGGCAAAGAGATCGTCCCATTGGCAGGCATGAGCCAGGGCCCTTCTCTGGGTGCAGAGTGGCTTTCGGTGGAATTTCAACGTCGGATCGTGACGACGCGATCCAGCAAGGTCGAAAAAAGATCTTCGACAGAGAGGCTTCCACTCCACTCCACTCACTCCTCTTTTGTCACCACAACCCTCGTCTCTCGTTTCAACCGCGGCTTCTCTCTGCATGATGTGACATGCACAACATCTGCTCTCTTGTCCCTCTTTTCCGGCCCATCTTTGATTTTTCTCCCCCGAAACCCTCGTTTGCCTCATTCCACCTCGAGTCCTCTAGTCGATGTTATTGAGGGACGGACGCCTTTGATCGCGCCTGCTTGTTGCCCGAGGTCCGATCACGACCGTTTTCGTCGCCTTTCTCACTCTTTGTTCGGCGTCACCTTAGCGTCCTGATCCCAGTTCAGTTGTTGCTCTGCGAGTCAGCTCAGTCACCTCTGTCAATTCGCCGTCTGTCACTTTTCGAGACTTAGATCGCTTCATTCTGCAACCCGGTGCTTCCTGAACGTCATCCCGGGTTTCGGTTTCCCTCTAAATCACACGACACCTCCCACGTTCTTCAGCAGATCCCTTGTATCCCCGCAACTGAGACAGCATCCTCAAGCCTCCACCCCGCACGGGACTTCCCTCAATGTCATTGAGGTCGCCGAGGTCGCCCCAACAGAGGGGCTTCCTCCCCATCTCGAGCGACCCGGGCACCGCCGAGATGCAGGACATCCCCCTGCGCACCATCAAGTCCAACACCAGCTCGACCGGCGCCCGAAGAGTCAACACCGAAGGCATGGACGAGAAGCATACCCTTTTCGACAGGGCCGTCGGTGGCCCGGCCGGCAGGCGGCGCATCCAGAAGGACCTGAAGCGCGCCGGCTCCACGGGCATATCCGAAGGCGCCGAGCTCAACGCCATGGGTCGCCTCTACAATAAGATTGTTGGCTTCTCGGTTGTTACCCGCTACCTCGTCTACGTCCTTCCCATCGCCATTCTGCTCGCCGTCCCCCTCATCGTTATCCCCCTCACCGGCGACAAGGACCGCGTGCGAGTAGGCCATGAGGGCCAACATAGCTTGTTCCTGCTTTTCGTCTGGATCGAGATCTCCTGGCTCGCCCTTTGGGCGGGCAAGATGGTCGCCCATCTTCTGCCCTTTATATTCATGTTCTTCTGCGGTGTCATCAGCTCCGGCACGCGGAAATACGCCACGGTATTGCGCGCCCTCGAGATTCCGCTCTCGCTGTTTTTTTGGGGTCTTGCTTCGTGGCTGTCGTTCAAGTTCATGCTTAGAAGTGATGGCGCGACCTACACGTGGGAGGACATCATGGAGCGCATTCTGCTGTCGCTCTTCCTCTCGTCCGCAGTCCTTCTAGGAGAGAAGTTCATTGTGCAGCTCATCAGCATCACGTACCACCAGCGGTCCTTTGCCAACCGGATCCAGGATTCCAAGCGCGAGATTTTTCTCCTAGGTCTCATGTACGAGGCCTCTCGGACCCTCTTCCCCATGTACTGCGACGAGTTCGCCCACGAAGACTACATCATCGCCGACAGCATTGATGTTATTCTTAGCGGCGGCAAGGTCAATCCTAAGCAGGCGGCTCCCATGAGGCTTGTTGGCGAAGTCGGCCGTTTGGGCGACAAGATCACCTCTGTCTTTGGCAACATCGCCTCCGAGGTTACAGGCAAACAGGTCTTCAACCCCAATTCGGCCCACTCGGTCGTCGTCGAGGCCCTCGAGAAGATCCGCAGCTCCGAGGCTATGGCCCGCCGTATCTGGATGTCGTTTGTCGTTGAAGGACAAGAGGCTCTCTCGATGGACGATATCATTGAGGTCATGGGTCCTGCCCACCGCGAGGAGGCCGAGGAGTGCTTCAACGCCATCGATGCCGATCAGAACGGTGACATTAGCCTGGACGAGATGATTCGCAAGGTTGTTGAGATTGGCAAGGAGCGCAAGGCCATCGCGAACAGCATGAAGGATATTGGTCAAGCCCTCATGGTTTTTGACAAGGTTCTTCTCTTTGTCGTCCTGATCATTGTCATCATCATCTTCTGTAGGTCGACTCCAATAGATTCTGAAGGCACTACTGTTGCTAACCGGTATCAGTGGCCGTCTTCCAGAGCAGCCTCATTGCCACCCTTACAACCGCTGGTACCACGCTGCTCTCGCTGTCCTTTGTGTTTGCCGTAACCACCCAGGAGTTCTTGGGTTCTTGCATCTTCCTCTTCGTCAAACATCCTTATGATGTGGGCGACCGTGTCGACATCACGGGCCCTGAGAAGGAGCAGCTGGTCGTGGAGAAGATTTCTCTGCTCTACACCGTGTTTACCCGCATCGACAAGATGCAGGTCGTGCAGGTACGTTGGCAGTGGCCCCTTCCCGTTCTCTTCCACCGCTAACGGATTAGGTTCCGAACATTATTCTGAACAACCTCTGGATTGAGAACGTGACACGCAGCAAGGCCATGAAGGAGGTCATCGACGTCAACGTATCCTTCGATACGTCATTCGAGGACATCGAACTGCTGCGTCTCGAGATGGAGAATTTTGTGCGCTCCCCGGAAAACAGCCGCGACTTCCAGCCGGATATTGCTATTGGCGTCGGTGGTGTTGGCGATTGCGACAAGCTCACACTCAAGATCGCGATGAAGCACAAGTCCAACTGGCACAACGAGGTGGTTCGCGCCACTCGCCGCTCCAAGTTTATGTGCGCCCTAGCTGTGGCCCTCAAGCGCATCCCCATCAACGCCCCCGGCGGTGGTGGCGATCCGCTCGGGGGGCCTTCCAACCCGACATACAGCGTCGCCGTCACGGACGAGTTTGCCGCCAACGCCCGCTCCAAATCCGAGGAGGAGAAGAAGGCTAAGAAGCTGGCCAACCAGTCCGCCGAGGATTCTGCGAACTCTGATGCCACCGCAGCGGCAGAGCAGCGCGCTGCCGAGCACATCAACGCGTCCAACCCTGTCGTCGAGGCTCTCGAGGACTGGGGCTACGAAAACACACTCGTCAGTCGCGATCCCTCGGCGGACCGCAACCGCGTCGCCACAGAAGTTGGCGCCTCATTATCATTGGCACACTCCACGTCCCGCTCCGACCGCCTCAGCGGCAGCGGCGGCGTCCTCAGCAACCGCGAGTCTCAGCGCGGCCGCCGCAAGGCTGGCGAGACACTCCCGCCCCACGCCCTGGACGATAACATCAGCATGCCCGCTATCCAGCTGACCCGCAGCTCCACCACGTCCACCAGCCGCGGGCCGACAGACAACCGGTCGTTTGATGTTGAGAGGCATGCCGGTGCTGCGGGTATTCCGGCGCCTGCGGGGTCGCCTTATACCACCTGGGCGGCGTACAACGCCAACGCGGGCTTGACGAGCCCCCCGCCAGGTGGTGGTGGTGCTGGCGTTGACGCGTACCCCGGATCGCCTCCGATGCCGCACCTTACCCTGCAGCAGCCCGGGGCGCCTGGGACGCAGGCTCAGGGCGGACAGGCTGGTACTGGGAGACCTCTGGTTGGGGCTAGGTCGAGGGCCGCCAGTGTGAGTCAGGGGCAGGGTGGTGCTGGCGCTGCAGGGCCCTCGGGTAGGATCTAAAGTCTACCATAATTGACAAAGAGGACTTCTTGATTTGGTGAGCTGACTGGGTGTTAACCCGGGGCTGGGACGTCGATTGCATGTTTGCGATAATTGAAGCGGAAACAGGAACGCGGCTCAAGGCTTAGATAAAAACACATGGAGTGCTAGGTTCAACAAAATGGCGTTGTGGGTATCTTGGAGGGATGAATTGTATTGCGATTTCGTCTGGGGGAAAATCAAGCACTGCATTAGCATCTTCGCATCGACGACAACAGGCATTGATATTTGCTGTATATAGACAGACCAACACTCTAGGGCAGGGTAAAAGTCGGACAATCATAGACGGAACCTTTTTGCCACATCTATACCTCGGTTCCCCGCCACCAGGAAAACCATTATAACTAAACACATAGCATCGAGTTGTTCCCGTAATATTAGCAAACGTGCTCAACCTCATGCACCCCGCCCTCCCTCTCGCCCAGCTCAGTCCTCAACACCCGTCCAAATACCTCCAGCAACACCTCGAAACAGGCCTTGCTGATGGCAGGGTCGTACCGGCCCTTGCTGAGCTCGTCGCGGATGAAGGCGTGCTGCGCCCAGGCGAACTCGTGGAAACTGAAGGTCGCGCCGGACTCGCGCAGTTTGAGGCGGATCAGGTCGCGCCCCTCGTCGGGCACGTGTGTGTCCTTGATGCCGAAGATGAGACTGACTTCGCAGGGGTGGGAGCGGTGGGAGGAGAGGCGGGGGAGGAGGTCGAGGGTGTGGTTGCTCGAGGAGGAGGGGGCGGATGGGGAGGTGTTGGGGGAGGTGTAGGGGCCGAGGGTGCGGGTGTGGATGTCGGTTGGGAAGTAGCAGACGGAGGCTGTTATTCGGGGGTCGAGCTGGGAAAATATTAGGAGAGTGAGTAAGAAGCTTAGTTCGATTGTAAAGGAGGGTCGGGGAAGAGGGAAAGGGGAGACGTAGGGGGTGGTGAAAACGTACGGCTGCCCGCAGGGCGAGGTGCCCGCCTAGGCACATGCCAGTTGCGCCAATGCGGCCGGTGCAGGTGGGCAGCGAGAGGAGGTAGTCGACTGTTTTGTGCGAGTCCTCGTCGTATGACTCCAAGGCCTGCCATGAGTAAGCAGCTGGTAAGGATAATGAGCAAAGAAACGAGAACTGGCTCAGCTCACCTTGGTTATCTTCCACTCGTTTCCCTGGTCGGTTCCCGGCACGTCGTACGCCAGCGGCTCTGGGCCGGTGAAGTCATGGTAGCTGCTGGGGGCGGCAACGATGTAGCCCTGACCAGCAATCTGTCTCGCGAAGCGGGCGACAGGGCCAGTGACTATTCCGCAAGCCCGACGTACACTGTGAGTTGGTGGTCTCTGTAGGGGATAAGATGCGTCTCACCCTGGTAGATCTCGCTGAAGACCACTACTCCGGGGAAGCGACTGCCAATTATCGTGTGAGCGTATGAGATATATTGTCCAGGAGGTGAGATGCTCACGCATTGGGATAGCCAGGGATCGTAGGATGGAACAAGAAGATCCCTGAGAAATGTTGTCAGTAACACTCGATATTGAGAGTGTCCGACATTAGAAGCTAAGCATACTCATCGTGCTTTCCTTGCCATTGGCGGCAGTCTGCACATCGGCATAGCTCTCCTTGATCAGCATGGTGGGCGAGGAATATCTTGACAATGGAAGTGCAATTCTAAACAGTGAATGTCGGTTCAAAGTGCGAACGACACCTGGTCTCCCACTGGCAGCGAAAGGAAATCACTTCTCTATTGAAGCTATCCCGAGGCTGCTTCTTACTGAGCGTACACTTTACCCCGCTGCTCCAGGGGAAGAATTGATTGCGGGGCAACAAGCAGCTTAGAATAGACCACCCCTTTCTGTATTTGTGATTATATCGTGCACACACCCTCTTACATATGATCTTCAGTCGTTTGACCTTGAAGTCCTATGTTTGTCAACCCCTCACTCCCGTCCTCTCCTGTCCTCACTCCCCTCCTGCTGCTTTACATTTCTGTCCTGACCACTTCTCGTCTCTGTGGTTGTGGAGTGGGATCAGGGGTAAAGTATTGCTTGCGAGGCAAATGCTTGGGCGTTATCTTATCGGACATGACTTCATTGCATGATTGCGGGGAGTCTGCAGAACTTGGTGGTTTCTGAGCTCTTAGATTCATTCGCTCAGGCAACAGCTTCTGAAGATACCAGGCATATATTGTTGCGAGGATATAGAAGGATCTAAAGTGGAATATCGAGTCCAGTACAAATGCTGAGACATTAGCAGCATAGCACGACTCGACGACAAAGAATTCAATTCAGGCATCCAAACGGCAAGCAGCCAAAGTTGGTGGGCCCCGAGGGGTACTTTAGGATACATGGTGAACGCATGCGGCAACATTTCCCAGCGCTTAAGTGCGGCTGACGCGCCCAGCCCACCTCAAGCTTGCGCAGAATGGAACGGTTGTAGAATGAGTGGCAAGGGGAGATGAGACACCTGAGGTAACCATGGAAAGAAATGCGTCAAGAACAGGCATTCACCGCCATGGCTACGAGCAAATGGTGCTTTCATCCACCGGAACACTAAAGTCTGCAGAGTCGAGCTTTGGCCAAAGAAATGCCGCCTCAGCCAACAGGGCATTCCCGTACGTGCCTCCAGCTGATGGAAAGTTCGCGTAGAAGCTTACCAGGTTGAGAGGAGCAGTTCTACCTTCGTCCCTGCGTCAACGGGCGCCGCACGCAGATGAAGCTTGCAGAAACTTGATGTTATGCTAGGGAAACAAAAGGCTGCTGCAAGAGCCCGGCAGAATATTCCATGGCTGCCCGCAGCCTTCCAGAGCCTGCGCGAGGTTGCCAGGCCAATCGTGAAGTATCCCGCGGTACCAGTTTTTGGTGGGGTTGCAGAAACCCACCGAAGCTCGTGGAAACGCAGCCCAATTCAAGCTTGCACTTAAAATCTGGGAGCTCTTCTGCCCCTCCTCTTTCCTCTCAACTCTCCATCAACCAAGTCCTCTTTCTACAACGCATTCTCGGATTCCCACAGATTTTTGGGATCTTCAACGAGAGATTTTACATTGCACTTTCATACCACTACATTGTAGAAAGCACGCACACAGACAAGATGGCTCCCGCCGTCGGTATCGACTTGGGCACGACCTACTCGTGCGTCGGTGTCTTCCGTGAGGATCGGTAAGTGCAACGCCCCGCGACACAGCGACAATGCGATCATGGGCCTGCACCGTTGGTGGCTTGGATGATCGATAAGGTGTGATTGGCCGCACTTTGCATAGCTTATCGTGCGACCGACTTCATCAATTGGTTCCCAAGGCGCTGGGTCGGCCCCGCTTCCCGTCCTGCGGCCGGCAATGGCATCGTCAACAGCATGCTAACGCATGATTCTGTGCAGCTGCGAAATCATCGCCAATGACCAGGGTAACCGGACGACCCCGTCATTTGTTGCTTTCACAGACACCGAGCGTCTCATCGGAGATGCCGCCAAGAACCAGGTCGCCATGAACCCCCACAACACCGTCTTCGACGCCAAGCGCTTGATTGGCCGCAAGTTTGCCGATGCTGAGGTTCAGGCCGACATGAAGCACTTCCCCTTCAAGGTTATCGACCGGGGTGGCAAGCCCGTCATCGAGGTCGAGTTCAAGGGCGAGAAGAAGGTCTTCACTCCTGAGGAGATCTCCTCCATGGTCTTGACGAAGATGCGCGAGACCGCTGAGTCCTACCTTGGTGGCACCGTCAACAACGCCGTCATCACGGTCCCTGCCTACTTCAACGACTCTCAGCGTCAGGCCACCAAGGATGCCGGTCTCATTGCCGGTCTCAACGTCCTCCGTATTATCAACGAGCCCACTGCGGCCGCCATTGCCTACGGTCTCGACAAGAAGGTTGAGGGCGAGCGCAACGTCCTGATCTTCGACCTGGGCGGTGGTACCTTCGATGTGTCGCTCCTGACCATTGAGGAGGGTATTTTCGAGGTCAAGTCCACTGCCGGTGACACTCACCTGGGTGGTGAGGACTTCGACAACCGTCTCGTCAACCACTTTGTTAATGAATTCAAAAGGAAACATAAGAAGTCAGTCGATCCCTTTACCTCGATCTTTTCCTTTTTCCCCTCTCGTTTATTTTGGTTTTTTTCGTTCAGTTTTGTCTCTTTCAACTTCGTTTTCTTATGTCCTCGCCATTCTCCCGGTTTTCTTGCCAGTCTTCCGATCTATTTTCTACCTGATGTTCCTCGTGCTGTTCTTTCTTCCATTCACAACACGGACTAATTGCTAACGCGTATCTAGGGATCTCTCCACCAACGCCCGTGCTCTGCGCCGCCTGCGCACTGCTTGCGAGCGTGCCAAGCGCACTCTCTCCTCGTCAGCTCAGACCTCGATCGAGATCGACTCTCTCTTCGAGGGCATCGACTTCTACACCTCGATCACTCGTGCCCGCTTCGAGGAGCTGTGCCAGGATCTTTTCCGCTCCACTCTCCAACCTGTGGACCGCGTCCTGACGGATGCCAAGATCGACAAGTCCCAGGTCCACGAAATCGTTCTTGTCGGTGGCTCGACCCGTATCCCCCGCATCCAGAAGCTCATCACGGACTACTTCAACGGCAAGGAGCCCAACAAGTCCATCAACCCTGATGAGGCTGTTGCCTATGGTGCTGCTGTCCAGGCCGCCATTCTGTCTGGCGACACCTCGTCGAAGTCGACCAACGAGATCCTCCTTCTCGACGTCGCTCCTCTGTCGCTCGGTATTGAGACCGCTGGTGGCATGATGACCAAGCTCATTCCCCGCAACACCACGATTCCCACCAAGAAGTCCGAAGTCTTTTCGACCTTCTCGGACAACCAACCCGGTGTGCTCATCCAGGTCTACGAGGGTGAACGTCAGCGCACCAAGGACAACAACTTGCTCGGCAAGTTTGAGCTCACTGGCATCCCGCCCGCTCCTCGTGGTGTTCCCCAGATCGAGGTCACCTTCGATCTTGATGCCAACGGCATCATGAACGTCTCGGCCCTCGAGAAGGGCACTGGCAAGACCAACCACATTGTCATTACCAATGACAAGGGTCGTCTGTCCAAGGAGGAGATTGAGCGTATGCTTGCTGAGGCCGAGAAGTTCAAGGAGGAGGACGAGGCTGAGGCCGCCCGTGTTTCTGCCAAGAACGGTCTTGAGTCGTATGCCTACTCCCTACGCAACACCCTGAGCGACTCCAAGGTCGACGAGAAGCTCGACCAGGCGGACAAAGACTCGCTCAAGTCCGAGATCGACAAGATTGTTTCTTGGCTCGACGAGAACCAGCAGGCCACTCGCGAGGAGTACGAGGAGCGCCAGAAGGAGCTTGAGGCTGTCGCCAACCCCATCATGATGAAGTTCTACGGTGCTGGCGGCGCGCCCGGTGGCATGCCCGGCGGCATGCCCGGCGGTGCTCCTGGCGGCTTCCCCGGTGCGGGTGCCTCCAATGACAACGATGGCCCGACCGTTGAGGAGGTCGACTAAATGGGTGGTTGACATTTGGGCTGGCGTTTCTGCTTTTTCTTCCGGCGAGTAGATTGGATCCGCGTCAACGAGCGGCTGAATGCGCTCTACTGGGATGCGGACATTTCGGGTATGGGGTAACACCTAGATCTGGTTTTCTCTTTTACATGATCATGATACAGGGGAAAAGTCAGGGTGGCTGCATGGGCTGTACTTTAGTTACGATTCCCTTTCCTTGCAATGAACAAACGATTCTACACACTCTGTCTCAAGTGATTTGTGAGACAGTGACATGCTCGCAGTGTATGTGTGGACTGGTGGGCCGGGATTTGGTACTTGAATGGTGTCCTGTCATGGAGGACTTCTGGTACCTTCCATCCAACTCAGATTGTTGAGAATCTGCCACGCCGTAACTACTTATTCGGCAGTCGTTCAGCGTGACAAAGAAACCCCCTAACGCCAATAAAGTCCTACAAAGCGCGATAGCAGGAATATTTCGGCGGCCATAGTTACATTTGACATGAAGGAACCATGTAAAAGTCTATAGTCTATACCTGTACAGACAGGCAATAGTTCGGGGGCCATTACGCAACAAGCGTGTTTTTGGTGACATCTCACGGTAAAGGTACAGTACGTGAGCCGCACTATGTTGTAAGTCCCTTGGTTGCGCCAACTCTTTGGAAACCTGAATGGAAGCTGTCGTGCAGCAAGGGGTACATCCATGTCTTGCTGATCGAAAATTGGAGCAGCGCGAGGAGGAGGCCAAAGGGCGCCAAAGATGGCGACCTCAACCCGAGAGAGTCAGAGGCGGCCATGGCTGCACGGGGTCGGGCCAAATTGGAGGAACGAGGGCGGTTGCGGGAAGGAGGCTGAGGGAGCAGGAGAGGCTGGCGAGAGGGGAGGGGAAGCCTCCAGTCCCGAAACTTCTCCATCTACAACAAACCCAAGGCAAGCAACGCAGGGCAGAGCAATCGCAACTCTTCAGATACTACTTCAACCAACATACTCTTCATCAGCTTCCCCACATACTGTCCATTATGGGCGACTGCGATGGTAAAGGTTCGAGCAACAAGTGCGGTTGTAGCAGCATGGCTGGTTGTCTGTGACCCTTTCTGGTCCATGTTACGCCTATGCAACACCTATACTGACGATTTACACACGATCCCAGGCGCCTGCTCCACCTGTGCCTGAAATCAGTCCTCGCTGTGTCCTGTTAAGACTAGTACCCCGTTAAGCCAGATCGGTCCATCAATATCAACATCTGTCGCACTGGACTGCACGATGCCCGGCATTCAGAGGGCAGAGATGGTTTGGGTTCGGTCTAGGTTGAGGGAGTGAAGGGGCGGAGTCTGGGATGGGCATTGGGGGCAGGATCATTTTCACTATGGTTCATGGCTTTCATTATGGCTTGTGGCTTTCGTTATGACTTATGGCTTTAATGACAACCCCGCGGTGCAGCCAGACGCATTAGTGAACATCATGAACGTCAATCAGATCTTTCTGATGGCAATGAACTCCAGTGTGTGGGCAGTTTGGGGCCTCAGTTCAGTGAACGACAGTGCCTCGGAGTATTTCTATTTTCAGGGCACAACGCCCGTTGGTTGGATCAGTCGGTTCGGTGTCTGGGAATCCGCAGCGGAGATGACATTGCCTACCGACGACGCTCTCGAGGTATCAAGGTAAAAAAAAGTATAAAGAGATGCATCCAACCTGATCCCATACTACTTCCCTTCCTCTTCACCCTTCCTTCTCAATCCCAGCAGCAACCCTCACCCTCCGCCTCCTCTCGGCCTCCCTCCTCTGCACCTCAGCATCATCCAACCCGGCCTCCTCCTCCTCATCAAACCGCTTATTAAACACCGACCCCGGCTTTACCCTCTCGTCCCTACTCTCCCAGATATCCTCGCTGCTCGGCTTTCCCCCTCCATATTTGGCTTCTTCCTTCGCGCGGTAGTGCGCCTTGATGGCCTGGGCGCGCTGCTCGGGCGGGTATGACTTGGTGCGCATGCAGAACCAGAAGTCGTCCCAGAGTTCGGTGCAGGTGCGCACCGTGCCGTACCGGTACACGGCGTTCCACTGCGACCCGGGCGTGTGGCAGTGCCAGGCGTAGTCGAAGGCGTCACGGCAGGACATGGTGGTGGGGAGGACATGTTCGGACATGGCGAGGGACGGGGGGGTGCGGCTGGTTCGCGTACGGGGTGAGGGGGTCGTGGTGGTGAGTTGTTCGGTATTTGGGGTTTTGGCGGTGGTGGTCCAGGGAAGCCATGATGTGGTTGTCGATTTCGAGTCCTGGTTTGAGGGCGTTGTTGGTGTTGATGGTGCTGATTGTTGTTGTTGTTGTTGTTGTTGTTGTTGAGCTCTGGCTTGCGAAGGGGACTGGGTGTCTTTCATGAGCATGTTCATGAACATGGCCACCTCGCGGTCTTGGTGCTGGGAGGGTGGTGTTTGACTTGTTGGAGGTGCTTGCGGTGGCATGGGAGTTGTCGAGGACGATGGGGACTTGTTGCTTGAGCCCTCGGACTCGGGGGAGGACGAGGAAGACTGCCAGAACCAGCTCATGGTGAATGTTGCCCTTGAGTTTGACTGAGGATGAGTCGCAAAAGGCGCTGCGGTGGCAGGAACGGGTGAGCCGACAAGACGTGAATGGTTCACTCGGATGGTCAGGAGAGGGGAAGTGTGGGGCAGGTTGGTGTGTCGCGGGAGGGTGCTGAGTGTCGTGTGGTCTGAACGTCGAAAGGTGTTGCAGCTGTTGCCGATAAGATTCTCTTCTAAATCGGGCCGGCAGGGGTCTGCAACGGCCGTGGGCAAAATTGGCGTCCTTCGAGCGAGGGGGCCGTCTCTACCGACTGTGTTTGTGTATAGATGGCACGAGGAAAAACAGACAGGAGAAATGATAACTAGAAAAGTAAACCTTCAGTATTAAGAAAAGGAGAAATTTTACTATTCGAAGGAACGAAAAGAGGTAAAGGTAAACAACAGATGCAGCGAGGGCCCTGCACGGCGCACCAGAAGCGTAGTCCATTTAGGCGGCTGAGGGTCAAAGCTATGACCTCACTGCTGAAAAGGACGGCCAACTCTCAAGCAAGAACCCACCCTACCTTAGGCTTACACGCTGCCGCCAGTGTCTCCGCATCGGACGAGTTCTCAAAAACCCCCTTTCCATCAGGGACCGCATGCACAGCCACATTTTCCCTGGCTTCCGGGTTATCACGTCACCTTGTCGAGCTTGTTCATCCCATCGTCCGAACTCGCAAGTCATCGACTGAACACAAGACGCTTCGGTCAGCACATTCTTGAAGTCTGCCATGAAGCCATGACACCGGGGCGAGCCCAGTTCTGGCCGGCGGTCCGTTATGGGTCGAGGGTATCATCTTCGACGCCGGCAACATGCGTTCTCAGGCACCGGTTGTCTGCCACTGCGGCGATAGATCAAAGAAGGCGTCCGGTTCGGCGATGGGAGAGCACCTCAACCAGTGCAGGAAGTGTGGGCAGCGACAAGACCGGGCATATCGAGGCCAAGCCCAATGAGGCGATCCTCTTCGTTGACAGTAGGTCATGTATCCGAGCAGGCAGCTTGTCTCACTGCTCTAATCGCCTCGCTAGACCTCTTTCCCCTCAAGCTCAGCTCGGTATTGTTTTGGAGGCCATGGGAGACCACCGAGCTCCTCAGGCGGTTTGACAGCGCGTCCATGAGCTTTCTCGATCCCATCAGCCTTGTCAAGCGGGCAATTCCCGAGAGCAGTCCGATCAAGGTCACCGAGATCTTACCGCGGCTGAAGGAAGGCGGAGCCTACGTCAAGTTCAACTATCCTGCTACCATGTCGGCTGCGCAAATCGAAGGTTCTGCCAGTCTCTAGTTTTCTGGGCCCACTCTCCATGTCTGTGATGCTGACTTGCCGTGCAGATGAATTGGTCAAGTCTCTCGACCAGAACCCCATCAAGCCGTGGTTCAACCCCTTTCGCGGGATCAAGACGCGTCTCGTATTAGGCCGCCCCTGGCTCGAGGACCTCTATCGTCTCCCAAAGACCCGCCTCAGGATTGAGTTTGTTCCCGCCAAAGACTCGGACCCACCCCCCGAGCTGTCACAGGAGTCCTTGTACAGCCTGTTCCGCCGCTACGGCAAGATCAGCGACATCACTTCTCAGCCTCCAGACTCCAAGATACTCCCAAAATTTGCATATGTCGACTTTGTTTTGGTCCGCGACGCAATCATGGCGAGGAATTGTATGCACGGCTTCGTCCTCCAAGAGGAGGGCACCAAGAGTGCGACCCGGCTCCGGCTATCTTTCGAGCACCGAGTGAAGCCCCATCACATCTGGAACTGGATCACCAGCCACCCGAGGATTGTCATTCCCATCGTTGCTGCCTTTTTAGCAGCCTTCACTGTCGCCGTGTTCGACCCCATCCGCGAGTTCTTTGTCAAGGCATACCTCCTTGCCCTGCCCCACCCAAGTCGGCTCGCTAACTTGTCACCCAGATCCATGTACAAAAGTCTCTCGAGTTCACTAATAGCAAGCTGTATAAATGGTTGAAGCGCCAAACCTCAGACATCCTTGCCTTCCGCAAACACAAGAACGACGATGCTGGCCTCAATGCTTTGTTCAAACACCGCAAGGATCTGATCGACTCGATCGAGAACAGCCTGCTTGAATCCGTCAACACATTCATCGTCGTCCACGGTCCACGCGGTTCCGGCGGCCGAGAGCTCGTCATGGAGCAGGTGCTCCAGGGGCGCCCCGATGTTCTCGTGCTGGACTGCAGGCCGGTCGTGGAAGGACGGGGCGAGGCAGGCACCATCAAAAAGCTGGCAAACCAAGTTGGCTACCGCCCTGTCTTCTCGTGGACCAACAACATGAGCAGCATGCTCGATCTCGCCATACAAGGCACCACGGGGGTCAAGGCTGGCTTCTCGGAGAACCTCGAGTCCCAAATCGTCAAGATTCTGCAGACCACCGCCTCGGCCCTCAAGCAGGTCTCGCTAGACGGCCGAAAGAAAAGCGACAAGGACGCCAATCTCACAGACGATGCGTACCTGGAGGCTCACCCTGAACGGCGGCCCGTTGTCATCATCGATAATTTTCTACACAAAGGCGATGAAAAAGCTATAATATACGATAAGATATCCGACTGGGCTGCTGCCCTGGTGCAATCCAACATTGCCCACGTCATCTTTTTGACTAACGACACGTCCTTCTCCAAGCCTCTCTCAAAGTCACTCCCAGACCGCGTCTTCCACCAAGTTACCTTGGGTGACCTGTCACCTAGCGTGGCAAAGCACTTTGTCATCTCACAGCTTGAACCAGACAAGAAGGAATCCGATGAGGCGGACGACAACTTGCCAACCCTGACCGAGAAGCAACGCCGCCAAGACCTCCAAGAGCTCGACGAGTGCATCGAAGCCCTCGGCGGCCGCCTGACCGACCTGCAAGTTCTCGCGCGCCGACTCAAGGTCGGCCAATCCCCTAAGAAGGCTGTCTCGGACATCATCGACCAGAGCGCCGCCGAGATCCTGCGCATGTTCCTCCTCGGCGGCAACAACAATAACAACAACAAGGGCGCTGCGGGTGAAGGCGACAAGAAGTGGTCGACGGAGCAGGCCTGGTACTTGATCAAGGAGCTCGCCGCCAGGGAAACCCTCCGGTACAACGAGGTTTTACTCTCCAACACCTTCGCGTCGTCCACCACGCCGGGCGCCAACAGCGCCGAGGCTGCTATCGAGAGCCTTGCTAACGCGGAACTGATCACCGTGAAATCGGTTCACGGCCGGCCCGCCACCATCCGCGCTGGTAAGCCTGTGTATCAGGCGGCTTTTGCTAGTCTTGTTGAGGATGCGGTGGTGAGGGCGCGGATGGATTTGGCGCTGCTCTCAGAGCTGGCAAAGATCGAGGCCAAGAACATTGACAGGGCTGAGACGGAATTGAGTGTCCTTGCGGCGCTGCCGTCGCAGCCGTACCAGGCTGCCGAGAGGGTGAATTATTTGTTAGCGAAGCTGCAGGCTAGCCAGCAGAAGATTGTGGCGTATGAGAAGGAGATGGAGGGGTTGAAGAAGGTGCTGGCTGAGGAGTCTTGAGGAGGGGAATGAGCGGTTTGAATGTCTATCGTACGTTTGCAGCGCTTCATATGGGTTGATGATGTGTGCCATGGTTGATGGTTCTCTCGTGAGGCATTGCTTTGGATACCCTTTTCTGTGTGTATCTGTATATTTAAGCGGCTGTTGCATTCTAAAGTCCTGAGGCATGGTATTAACAAGTTAAGTCTGAATCTTGAGCAGACTCTGTTCTCTTTTTTCTTTTTTAGGCCCGCTGCTCTGAGAATCAAATGCTCGAACACATGCTCCATGCAAAGACCAAGTGAAGACCAACGGCAGGCAAAAGCAAGTACAGTGAGTAGGCCTCTGCCTCTGTCAAAGTAAGTTCATTGCGAGAGAATATCCGAGTGAGAATCGTCCGCTCTCGCTGTCGCTTTAAGATTCGCAACAAGGATAACGGGGATGTCCAAATTGTAGTTCTATACTAGGCCGAAGGATGCCATGGGTGGCTTGGGAATCAAATGCACATGCTGTCTTTGACCCATCATCAGCAACGATGCCACAGCTGAGACGAACGGTTTTGGTTGTGTCGTTGCCGTGGGAAGTGTTCCTTGGAGAGAGAGTGTGCAGCCAGCTGAGGAAGACATCATCCGACCCTGTCGGGTTTGATCCTCAGCAGCCAATCATCGGCATTGTGCAGCGCAGCGGATTCCGCGGTAACCTCTTTTGAATTAGTAGTTTCCGCCCCCTTAAGCCTAAGCAAGACCGCATGGGTATGTCACAAGCCCGGTCGCATCCGTGACGCCTGCATCATGACATGTTTGCCGCGCCAGATTTAGGACAAGAACCATTAGATATTCTTTTCTCCTTTCGCTCGTACGCTGCACTGTACTACCAGCCAGGAGTTAGAGAAGAGCGACGTCGCCATGAATGGCCACTTTGCGGCGGTCGGCAACGGGCCGACTGCTCAGCAGTATGAGCACGGCATCCAGGTCATCAACGAGGACAAAGCATTCAAGTTGGTCACGTCCATTACCCCGGCGGCAACATAGCCGCAAAGCCGGAGGGAGGAAAGACACATAGCTGACAAACGCCCTTTAATTTCGCAGCACGAACCTCAATGAATACCTCAACGAGACTCACGTCGCCGAGGCCGGCTTCAACTACCATCTCATCTCCGTCTTCGGGTCGCAGTCGACGGGCAAGTCGACCCTGCTTAACCACCTCTTCAAGACCGAGTTCAGCGTCATGTCCGAGTCGCAGCGCCGCCAGACTACCAAGGGGATATGGTTGTCCAAGAACAAGAGGGCCAGCAGAGAGGGCGACGCCACGGCAATGGCCGACAACATCCTGGTCATGGATGTCGAAGGCACCGACGGCCGCGAGCGCGGCGAGGACCAGGACTTTGAGCGCAAGAGCGCGCTGTTTGCCCTGGCCACGAGCGAGGTCTTGATTGTCAACATCTGGGAGCACCAGGTTGGTCTTTACCAGGGCGCCAATATGGGATTGCTCAAGACTGTGTTTGAGGTCAATCTGCAGCTGTTCCTCAAGGACAAGCAGTGAGTCAGGTTTTGGCATGGTCCCTCTCCCTGTCTTGGAGGTGCTGACACGACATCTAGATCCCGGACAAGGTCCCTCCTTTTCTTCGTCATCCGTGACCACATCGGAAACACCCCCCTGGCCAACCTGCGCGACACGCTGATCCAGGACCTAACTAGAATTTGGTCGACGATCTCGAAACCCCAGGGGCTCGAGAATTCCAAGATTGAGGATTATTTCGACTTTGCCTTCGCAGCGCTGCCGCACAAGATTCTCCAACCCGACAGGTTCCTGGAGGAGGTCGACAAGCTGAGCACCCGCTTCACATCGGGCCACCGCTCCGCCAAGGACCAAGAGTTCGTAGGCGGCGTCTTCCTACCTGAGTATCACAGGAGGATACCCGCCGACGGCCTGTCGGTGTACGCAGAAGGCGTGTGGGACCAGATCGTCAACAACAAGGACCTGGACCTGCCGACGCAGCAAGAACTCCTCGCCCAGTTCCGCTGCGACGAGATCTCCCGCGAAGTCCTCGTCGAGTTCGACGCCGTCATGGCCCCGCTCGAAGAGCAGCAGACCGAAGCCACGCGCCTCGGCAAGCCCACCGTCCTACCTGATCTCGGCGCCACCGGCTCGCGCGCCCGCGACAAGTGCGTCAAGGCGTTCGAGACGCAGGCCAGCCGGTACCACAAGGGCGTGTACACGACCAAGCGCAGCGAGCTCGAGAGCAAGATCGACACGCGCCTCAAGGCGCTATACCAGGCGCAGCTGGCGGCGGCGCACAAGGCCGGCGTCGCGGCGTTCAGCGAGGCCGTCACCAACGCCGTCAAGGCGGGCCAGAAGGCCGGCGGGGCGTACGAGTTTGCCGAAATTGTCGAGAAACAGAAGAAGAAGACGCTCGATATCTTCCGCAAGGAGGCGCAGAGCCTGCTGATCCAGGGCGTGGCGTGGACAAACTTCAAGCCGCAGTACAGGCTGTTTGAGAAGGAGCTGGACGAGGTTAGCGCGCGCCTGCGCAAGGAGGAGATGAGGCGGCTCGCGATCCGGGTCGAGAGATGGGTCAAGTCACGTCTGGGCGATGCCATTGGCCTCGAGTTCAACAAGCTGGGATCCGGTAGGGGCGGGTCTGGCGCGCCCGACGATGGCGAGAAGCCCCCGTCGGAGAAGGATCTGTGGGATCGCGTCTGGAATGCCTTCATCGGCATTGTCAGAGACGCCGAGACGCGGTTTGCCGATCGGGCCAAGAGTTTCGAGGCCAGCGCCGACGAGGTTGAGGTTGGTCTCTGGCGGCTGCGGCGCAAGAGTTGGGTTGCCCTCAGGGAGAAGATTGAAGAGGAGATGATGGAGAGCAACATCCTCATGAAACTCCGGGAGAATTTTGAAGACAAGTTCCGCTACGACGAGGAGGGCGTGCCCCGCATTTGGCGCCCGAGCGACGACATCGAGGGTGTCTACACCCGCGCTCGCGAATCCACGCTGGGGCTGGTCCAGCTGCTGGCTAGGTTCAGGCTAGCCGAGACGTATGCGCCGCCGGACCTACCGGGCTTTGTCGGTCCTCAGCCTGCGGGCGCTGAACCTGAGGACGAGGAAGACCTGGTTCCCATTGGCGGTGTGGACGAGGAGGAGGGCAAGAGCCTTGAGGAGGAAATGACGGTGCTCAGCGAAAGCAAGCGGCAGGACCTGGTGGTCCGGTTCAAGAAAATGGCCGACGGCGTCTATGTCGAGGCTAAGAGGAGCGCCATTGGCGGCATCACGCAGGTGCCGCTCTACTTTTATGTCGTTCTTTTGCTTCTCGGCTGGAACGAGATTCTCATGGGTAGGGCGCTTCTCCTGTTTCAAAGCACGAAAAGACAGTTTTTGCTGACAAAAGAATCTAGTGTTGCGCAACCCAATACTTTGCATGCTTTTCTTGGTCATAGGCGGTGGCACCTATGTGACCTACACACTCAACCTTCTCGGCCCTATGATGCAAATGGCCAACGCAGCGTCCAATCAAGCCGTCGAGATCGGCAAGGAGAAACTGCGTGAATTCTTGGAGAGCAACGAAACGGTCCGACAGGCTATCACCATGCCGGCCAGGCAGCAGAGCAGTACCGGGATCAGCATGGATAGGCTGGATAGCAGGGGGAAGAAGACATACGAGGCGGGAGACGACGACGACATCTAGACATGATTCGGATGGGGTGTTCGAGCCGCGCCTTTGTGTTTTACATAGTTTTTGTTTCGTCGGTTGTTGCATCGGAGGCGGGGCAGTCGTTGAGTGCCACACAGGATATCTCTCTATCATTATCCGTACGCCCAAACAACTCCTCGAACGCCAGTACCTTTAGCCAATTATCCAGCAGTGGTCGCCAGTACACATTCGCAAATCAAAAAGCCTCTAGCCCGGCTGGGATGCTGAACCAGGTTCCGAGCTCGTCCCCGTCCCTTTCCTGATCCTTTGACACAAAGAAGTCGGTCACGCGATGGGTATCGATGTCCTCGTCGACCGGCCACTCCACTTTGACGCCGCCGCCCTTCGCCTGGGCCGCCTCCAACATGTCCTTGGCAGTACCCCAGCTAAACCTGCACTCGGGTCCCCAGCCAAACACAGGGTGCATGTTGCCCCTGAGCCAAGATACACATCTTGCGTCTGATGGATACCCGGAGCCCCAGGCCATCTTGGTTTCGGCTCCCTCCTCTTCTTCTCCGTCCTCTCCTTCTCCTTCTACCACTTCCCTCCTACCCCTAGCCCTCCACAACGTCTCCAGCGCGGCGTCCCGCGTGACCTTGGCGCACACGCTCGCCGCGCTGACGCAGGGGTACAGACTATCGGCCTTTTTGGCGACCGTGATCTTGGCCGTCGGGAAAATCCTCTCCAATCGCGCTTGGTATACGGCCGGCTGCCCGATCGTGTCGACGTAAATTTCGCGGATGTTCACCCCGCTCGCGTACACCCCCTTGATCAGTTCCACCGTCGCGTCCATGGCCTGCGCGTTGAGGTTGTATGCTGACCCCGCACCGGGCCGGAGCATCCCCGCGCCGATGTCCCGCGCGGAGAGCGCCGTGATAGCCCAGCCGCAGGAGGTGTGCAGCAGGTTGTCGGTGGAGGGGGTGCAAAGGGTTTGCATCAAGGAGGAGCGGACCGTGGGGGTGAGGACTTTGCTGTCATCGAAATGGTGGGTTTGGCGGAGTAAGGAGTCGGATAGGGGCAGCGGGAGGTAGAAGACGCCGTAGACCATGGGGCCGAGGACGGGGCCGCGGCCGGCTTCGTCGACGCCGAGGGCGCAGGGCGGGCCGGTGGTTCCTGGGGGGGAGGAAGGAGGAGGGAGGAGGGAGGAGGGAACGGGGGAGAAGTAGCTGTAGGAGTCGCCCGCGAGGAGGGAGGATGAGATGATGGAGGGCGGGATGAAGATGTTGGAGGGAGGCGTCTCGAGGGCGATGTCTTCGGTTTGTCGCGAGTCTTCCATGGTGAAGGTCTTATTTGGATTTCGTCTCGTGTATCGGATTGGTGAGCGAGATCGGTTAGGTCCAAAGTGAAACTCCAAGTTCTGTTCTACATTATTTTCTGACTGACGGAGGGTTATTGTGATGAAGCTCGAAATCCCTGTCATCCGCGGGAGGCCGAGCTGGACGCGTGCCTTCCGCAGCGGCACGCGTCACAGCTCCAGCCAACCACAGCCGCAGCTGCAGCGACAGGTGGGGCAGCCATTGTGTAGCGCCGAACAAAGTCCAAAGCAGTAAAACGCTGCCAAAGACACAACACGTCCAGTCCTCGTCACCCTTGGCTGCAAGTAAACAACAACGGCGTGCATTTCGCGAACACCGCCCAGCCCCATTTGTGCGGATATCGTCAGCCCAGCTTCCATTCCCAAAGATCCGTGGATTGCCGTCGATTACACGTCTCGTCGCAATTCGATTCTCACCGCGTACCAATACCGGCGAGATGGCGCCTCGACCGTCATTGGCGCGTCGCACCCTCGCGCCGCAAGGCGAACATATCTACGAGCTCGGCGTGGTAGGGAGGAAAACGGGTGTAACAGTCCCCGACTCGGGCATACGCGACGAGCATGGCATGGAACCCATCGAGAACCTCTTCTCCTCCCCAGCCAAGTCCGACCACGAGGAAGACCAGGCCGAAGCTTCGGACGATTACGGAAGCGGCGAGGAGGACATGGACCTCACTACAGGTATGGCCTTTCGCGCACATCAAGGCAAATAGCGGGCATCGCAAAGCTCTAACATTGGCCGCAGGATCTGGGCTCGGGCCGGAAACGTTTATTAACGGTCATGGGAGTAGGTTACCCGTACCGTCGCGCGTTCGCTCGCCAGCAAAGAAACTGCTCAATTCTCCTGCTCAACGAAACCGACTTATCGCGCGCAACTCATCGTCCCCAGCCCGCGGTGCCATCGTTAGAGATGACAGTTCCAGGTCCAGCAGTCAGCCTACAGGCGATCAAGCCGCAGCCAAACGCCGACTGAACTTCCAGAGTGTCGCAAACGGAGGTCCACACTCACTATCGCAGCCCGTGGCTAATGGCCGCCGCTTGCAGCCCCTACCGTATGATGACGATGAGGAAGAAGCTAGCGAACATGGAAGGGACGATGACGAGGTTAATGACTTTGTCGAGGAATCCATGGCCATTCTAGTAGACGGCGACAACGACTACGACCTTCCAGCGCCAGAGGCGGAGCCGGCGCAAAGCGAAGGCGAGGAGGAACAGATTTCAATGCTGGAAGACGATGACCCACCGGGCCCCGCCGCTCGGAAGAAACCCGGCCGGCCACCAAAGCAGAAGGAGGCCGCAGCAAGCAAGCCGATGAAAGCGCAAAGGAAGCCCAAGCCCGTCGTCGAGGAGCAGGAGGAGGACGACCATCAAGACGATGAGCACGGAGAAGCAGAGAGCCAAGAGGAGGAAGAGCCGACGGCTAGGCCATCAAAGCATGCTCCTGGAAGACGCGGACGGCCACTAAAGGCCGCCAACACCGCATCCGCAGCACCACAACCTTCCGCTCGCGCTTCTAAAAAACGGCGTTTGCTAGACGGGGAAGAGGTTGCAGCAGCCCAAGAGCGCTCACCCGAACCCCAACCCAAGCGCCAGCGTACCTCGCCCGCGACCACCTCCACCACCAGCAGGAAACCGGCGCCGCCTAAGAAGCCCGCCACTTCATCGACCTCGAACAAAGAGACGCCCGAACCACCAGCCACCACGAAACCCGCTGCCGACAAAGGCAAAGGCCGAAAGCGCAGATCCTCCGTCGCCGACCCGGGCGACGTCTCCCAGGTGGCCATCGCTCGCCGGCCGCCCCTCCCCAAATCCCGAGGCCTGCTCATCAACCGGCGCACCGAGGTCCCCGGTGACCCATCCTCGTCCATGCTCCGCACCCGGTCGGGGCGCACCTCGTTCAAGCCGCTCGCCTACTGGCGCAACGAGCGTGTCGAGTTCGAGAAGGACGAGGCAGAGGACGCGTTTGCGGGCGGACGGACTCACAAGCCGAAGAAGTTTGTTCTGCCTAGTGTCAAGGAGGTGGTAAGGGTTGACGAGCCCGAGCCGGAGGTCAGGCCCAAGTCTTCGCGCAGGGGTGGCGCTAAGCAAGGGGGGCTTGGGAAGCGTGGTAAGAGGAGGAGGAGTTCCCAAGTATATGATGAGGACGAGGATGATGGCCCTGCTGAGGTGTGGGAGCTTGACCCGGGAACTGTCACGGGCGAGGTGGTCGTCTGGCAGCCCGAGTACGAGTTCAGCCCGCCGGCGCCCAACGACCTCGTCAGCGTCATGGACAAGCAGCTGGCCATCAGCGGGGCGGCCATCAAGACGACCGAGGTGGTGGGCGGCGAGTTCCGGTACGCCAAGGTGTTTAGCGAAGGGTTCATTGGCGCGGGCGTGGTTGATTTACCGCCGGGGGCCATCAAGCGGCTCAAGAACTCGCGCAAGGTTTTCATGATTTTTTTTGTCCACGTTGGCCGGGTGCTGGTAACCGTTCAGGAGACGAGTTTCCGCATCAGCAAGGGTGGGATCTTTATCGTGCCCAGGTGTAAGCTTTTTGTCGGTTTTTACTCTTGTCAAGAACAGTTCGACTGACCATGCCTTTCTCTCACAGACAACGAGTACACAATAGAGAATGACTACGACCATGCCGCCCGCATCTTTTTTGCTCAAGGGCAAGAGATGCCGGCGAGCCTGCCACCGGAGCAAGACGCCGGGGGAAACGATGGGGACGGAGACGGCGACGTGGATGAGGAGGTGGAGGTTAGCGAAGGGGAAGAAGGGGGCAGTGGGGAGGAGTAGAATGGCTGCTTAACTGTATCATGTGAGGGCTGTGCAAAGTTCACAACGTACCATGGGAGTTTGCATGGAGGAGCGTTTGTGCTTTTGGTGTCAGGGTACGGCAACAAGTTCAGGCCGGTGAATCGAAGCGGATAGGAGCCGGCGACACCAGTAGTCAGTCAGTCGAGGAGATACCATTCTGACAATCAGACGAGGCGTGCTCACACTCTCTCATCCGGCTTGCTCACACCAAGGCCTGCTGCTGCTCTCAACACACCCAATACACAATGAAAGAAGTCAAACCCCGAACTCGTCCCTCTCTCAGCATCAAATCTTAGATTCGAGAGAACCAAGAAGTTGTGGAACTCGGGCTTCGGTTCCAGGTATTGCATCGACTCTTGGGGCTGAAGGGTTGGCTCTATCAAAGACTCCATCCAAAGCACTGTATAGTTAGGCATCTCTTGATTACGTGACATTTTCAATGACTTCAAAACAGCGTTGGTCGAATCCGAGGAGGACACCTTCAACCTCCTTATGAAGGGAGATGCAGAATCACCCTCAGATGCCCGCCTAAACCACACTCCAATCAAAACCCACCCATTTTCACTCTGCCATACTCTGTACCTGGAGAAAGTCGCGAGCGGATGGCATGAAGATAAGCTAAGGTGCCATGGGCAGTAGTCCCAAAAAGGCCCAGTGCCGCCAGGCAAAATTGGAACTGAACTCCATCCATCATCCATCCATCCATGCTTTTCCGCTTTGAACCCTCCGATCCCGTCCCAACTTATCCATCACCACGTGCAAGCAACCTCGTCCCACCTAGACATGACATACTCGCCTCCTGCCCACTTGGATAACTTCCTGATGCAGCGCCTGGGCTAGTTGTCGAAGCAGAGATGGCCACTCTTGTTGCCCCAGTCCATGTACAGCCAGTTCATGCTCGGCACCTTGTTGTTGTCCCGGCAGCCCTCGTTGGCCTCGATCGACCCGTAGACGCCGAAGTCGGTGTGCCAGTACCCGGAGCTGGTGCAGAAGCCCTTGGGGCGGAAGGTGATAACTTTGACTTCGAATCATTCCGCTGTTGCGAGGGTGGCGAGCGAGGAGGATAGGACGGCGATGGTTAGGAGGCGCATCTTAGGAGTTGTGAGGTAAGGTAAGGTATCTAGCTGGGCAGTTAGAGAGAGTCATAGGCCCCTAAGTCGATTGAACTTTGGTCGGGGCACGTGTTGCTTGGGTAGACTTCAGCTTCGAGAACCGCTGGATCTTTTTGAAGATGTTGGAGATGCTGGAGGGATTTTGTGGTCCAAAGTCAGGAGGGAGCGAGGTGTTGGAGAGTTCATATACCTAGTCCCCTACCCAACCCCAATTGTTGCTCTCCCTGATAATATCAAATGTCTTGAACTCGGCTTTGGGTTCACCAACTCTACGGAGCTGGATGCAAGCCGGGCCAACTCCGACTGGACACTGCGGAGGTGATCCTTTGGAAGACTTAGGACGTGTTGGGGGCTTATCCAGTCTTCTCGAGCTTTCAGGTCCAATGCTCTTGTGAAGGATACAGCCCAGACACCCTCATTGGCAAGTTATACCAAATTCATTCCCTGGCATGGGGGCGGTTTGGTGGGAGTTATGAGCATAGAGTCTCCTTATCAAAGATGTGCGCTGGAAAACGGCGTAGCAACCTGTTTATCAGGTAGGTAAGTGTGCAGGATACCTGAAACGGGAAGGTCGTCACCGCGAAACTAAGTTCCAGTTCATAACATTCAAGGTGCCCGGGCAGAAGCAAAGTTCTCACCGGCTGATCAAGGCTGTTCTCGATATCTCGTTGGGGCCGTTCTTGATGAATTTGGTGGGGCCCGTTGTCAATGGTTATAATGTTCTAGAACAGGCGCGTGGTGGCATCGGCGCTAAGGAACGGCACCGTGGTGGACTGTGTCGACCCGTCGACTGCTGCCTAAGGGAGTCGAGGGTCCCTTGGTTTCCCGCTCCGTGATCAGTCATACAGCCCGACAAGGTGTGATTGGCTTTGCTATACCGCATTGTACGTTGGCAAAGGGACATTGGGGGCCGGAAGCTCCGTCGGGTTGTTGGTTCTGAGCTGCATGACCCTCCCCAGCCACGTCAGGCCTCCTCTAGGGCAATATTGCACTTGGTGGACTTTGGCTTCGTCCCCTTTTGTCAATTGTCCTCTGAGACATTCCTGGGTTCCAAGCCTCCTCATTCGTGCCCACGGTCTCCTTGAGGCTGTGGGTAGGGTAGTTTCGTGATTGCCACTCCATGTGGCGACGGCGAGGTAGCTTGGGGTGGGCGACAAGATGGTTGATGTGGATGTGGATGTTTTGATGGAAAGGGCGTCGAGCATGGGCGGCAGCGCAGCCTGTTTTCCGTGCCGAGTGTAGTGATTTGTGTTATCTTGAGTTTGGGGTTTGGTTTGGGGGAAAGGGTGGCAACTTGACTGCGACTGTTGAGGATCTGGAGTCAACAAAATCTAGATTTTCCAATTTGTTTACATGTAAGGGTTGTGGTCTGGTTGATGTCGAGAAGATCCGCAATACTCCCCTCTCTGTATTAGTTGCTGAAAGTCAAGATCAAACCTTGCTTCCCAAGCTGGAGCTCTTTCTTGGTTACTCAAGTGTACTTCTTGTCTTTCGTCTTTACTAACCACCTGGGCATGGATGAACGGGCAGCAATTGGTTGAAAGAACATTCTTGCTTCAACTTGGAGCATATTTCACTCACAATTCCCGTTAAGCACTGTGAATGTCGATGGGGACAGAAACTCAAGAGAAATGCAAACCCTCTGAAGTCTGCCCTCTGCCCAACCAAAGCCCATGTCTTTCAGGATGTCACTCCTCCGATATCAGCCGCCTAAAGTGGCAAGGCATGACGACAGGCCATAGCTCACCCAGTAGTCAAGCATCATACACCAAAATTCGGGCGCTACAGGGCTCAGAATGTGAATGTAACTGACCAGGAGACCCGACTTCAAGATAGCTTTTTCTTGCCTCTCTTCCTCAAGTCAAACCACCACTCGATCACCCGCTGTTCTCCGCCCTCGGCATCAACACTGGTCCCTTTGCCCATTGTATGTCTAACATCATTTGGTATAGGTGTCGACGTCTGGCATGTGAGCGGGGACGATCTGCTACTCGGTTTGTAAGTAAGCAAGTCTGCAAGCATCACACCACAGTTCTGTAAAGCACTGACGACGCCGATAGTTGCTTTACACGATCGAAATCCTCTACATCATCACCCTCACCCTGGCCAAGATATCGATCCTGATCTTGTGCCTCCGCCTCTTCTCCGAGCGGACCGTCCGCGCCAACTGTCCGCGCCGTCATCTACGGCGTGCTCGCCTTCATCATCGAGGTCAACGTCGTTTTTACTCGGTGTACAAATCTTTCCAATGCATACCCTTCGAAGCCACTTGGGAGACTGGCGGCTGGGGTACGCGGTGCCGTTAGATTGCATCAACGGCAACGCCTTCGTCTTCGCTGGCGCGGTGCTCAACATCCTCCAGGAGTCGGTCATCATGATCCTTGCCCATTCCGGGCTGGCCCGCCTCAGTCTGTCGCGCTAGGCCAAGCTCAACGCCGTGGCCCTGTTCAGCTTCGCCACTGTTGGATCCTCGTGTCGTGCATCCGGGTTGCCTACATTATCCCCGTCAAGGACTCGCCCAACATCTTGTGGGACTACACCGACCGCATCATCTGGACCGACCTATGATTACATTGACTAGCACACGCAGACAGAGCCAATGACATGCGTTTTGAAGACACTGCGCTCGACGGTCTGGGTCCCAGAAGATAGAAACCAGGTGTCTGGCTTCAAGGGTGGATCATAGAAGCTGGGATACTTGAACCCTCCTGAGAAGAATGGCAACATAATCAAGTAATCAGCTTCAATTTCTTGAGTCACTTGAGTTTAACCTCCATCACTCCACTGATTTCCCATGCCAAACTTTAGATAGCTCGAGACAGAATGAAAAAGACACTAGGCGCTAAACCCGAGCTCCTCCCCTGCGAAGATGACCCCTAATGATCTCACGAGCCTCCGGGTCATCCACCTCGTCCACGTCAATCGTCACACCCCTCCGTTGCCTCTCCTTCAGACCCTCGTCATTGCCAGCGAACTCCCCGTCTGGCACCTTGCCAGTATACAAGTGCCAGATACTCAGCCCGAGGCATTACAAGTCATTCTCGATGGTACGAGGTGGCGGGTCCATCCCCATCAGCTCCGCCCCCCCCCACCCCCGGAGCCTATCGGGCGACGCGTAATGCCAGGTCGATTGCCCCAACTTCCAGAGGCCCTCGTCCTCTCTGTCAGAAACCGCCCCTTGGCGAAATCGCAAAGCCAGAGTTGTTGGCCTTGGCCTTGGTCGTGGTCGTGGTCGTCGAGAAGCACCATGTTCTCCAGCTTCAGGTTGCCGTGCATGATGCGTTTGTTGGCATGCAAGCGCTGCACGAGCCGAATCATCTGGTGCACCATGTCACAGCGTCGAGATGGCGGCAGGACCAGGCCCAGGGCCGGAGGCGGGTCCAGCCCGGCCCGGCCCGTCGGAGGGATTGACGGAGTTGCGAGATCCATCAGGAAGCACATGCATATGATCTCGCCGTCGAATGCCTTGAGCAGCACTCTGCCCCTGACTGGGACGGCGCAATCGCCGGCCGCCTCCTGGAGTTCGTATTTTCAAGGCGAGGCTCGGAGTTTGTAAACTATAGAGGGGCATCCTTTGACTCGGTAGAACATGCTGTTCCAAGTAATTACTAGGTTGGGCTTCTCGACTTTAATCGTGCTGCTATCAACGTCTGGTGGAACAGGGGGCCATGGCTCAGGCTTATCGTCGGGCACCGCTTATTTGGGTGAGCTGTCTCGTGTGTCTTTTGGTTGTGTATCTTGAGGACCGGTGGGGTCCCTGGCGGCGGAGGAGGAGAAGGCGGCGGCCTACCGGCTGCGGCATGATCTTGATCACTTCGAGCAGGGGACAGGCTAGCTTTATTTAATATAGAAGCAAGGTCGGCTTTGTTAAACGCAGAAGTGAGGTTGGCTTTGCTCGACTTGCCATGAGCAAGGATTGAGACTTTGACCGATGGCGAAGCTCAAGTGCATAAGGTAAGAGAAGTCGAAAGCGGAGTAGAGACGGATTGTTGCTTAGTTCAGGTTCGCAAGTAGGTTTGTGTTGAATCAAAGGTCGCGTCACGCACTATTTTTAGGGACTCGGGCACTCGGCTGCTCCCGACTGTAGTATGGGTACAACAAACAATCTCCCCCACTTCAAACCCCGTTCTGACCCTCTTCGTTCACCTCGACTCTGGTCTCCCAAGTCCGTTCACCACACTTGAATCCATTGCAACTGGAATAATTCCATGAGGACAACAAGACTGAGTTCCAAATATTCCCGTAGCTGACGCGCTTGTGTTTCGTTCTTCAATTAGAAGTGACCATTGACGTCACTCAATGTTCCAAGTTGCCGTCCATCGACTCCATTCCTAGCGTCATCTGCGCTCAACTCACCACCATATGGCGCCGAACGTGGACCCAGCGATCCTTGAGGCTCTGGGCCTGGAACCGACCAGCTCCAAGCTGGTTCCCATCGGCGGCTCGTCCTTCTGCTCGACCTACAAGTTAGTCGCCACGAACAATAGCGAGGACCTCTCCTTCTTCGTCAAGACGGGTATTGGTCCCGATGCCGAGATTATGTTCCGAGGTAGGTATTTGCTCCAAAACTCCCTTGACTCTCCCCGTTGTTTCGTTCCTTGATTAGTATCACTTCTCATTTCTCCCTTCCCCTTCTGTCGTTTGGAACATCCTGCTTTACTGCTTTACTCGTGAATTCCTTCCAGTTTCCGTCACCAAAGTTTCCTTTTGTAAGCAGTGTCGCAAGGCTACCTATACTATACAAGACTACCTATAATTGAGATGATTTTCCCATGCAATCTAACGCATGTAACCTCAACATCTCCTTCACTCAACTAGATCCCAAACTAACACCTTCCCCTAGGCGAATACACCTCCCTCAACGCCCTCCACTCCGCCGACCCGTCCCTCCACCTCTGCCCCCGCGCCCACGCCCACGGCCCCCTGCGCTCGTCCCCCGACAAACACTTCCTCGTAACCGACTACCTCGACTTCACCTCCTCCCCCCCTCCTGACGGCACAGGAACGGGCCTCTCGCTCGCAGCCAAACTCGCAAAACTCCACACCACGCCCGCCCCCATCCCCCATGACGAAGGGTTCTCAACCCCCCAGTTCGGCTTCCCCGTGCCCACCTGCTGCGGCGCCACGATCCAGTCCAACACCTTCACCTCGTCCTGGTCCCAGTTCTACGCCGAGCACCGGTTGCGGTCCATCCTGAGAGAAATCATGGGAACCCGCAAGAACGGTCCCGAGTCTAACTCTGACAAAGAGCTCGCCGACGCCGTGGAAAGAGTCGCCTCTGTCGTGGTGCCGCGATTGCTTGGGGAGGGGCATCTGAAAGGGGTTTATCCCGTGGTGGTGCACGGGGATCTGTGGAGTGGAAACCATGGGCGCGGGCGGATCGCGAATGAAGAGGGGGTCGAGGAGGTGGTGTTTGACCCGTCGTGTGTGTACGGGCACTCCGAGTATGAGTTGGGGATCATGCGCATGTTTGGCGGGTTTGGGAGCGGGTTTTGGAGGGAGTATGAGCGTTTGGTGTCCAGGGCGGAGCCGAAGGAGGAGTGGGAGGATCGCGTAACTTTGTACGAACTGTGAGTTGAAGTCTTTCTTTGTCTTGATGCTTGTTTGTGTGAGAGTAAGGCTTTGCTGATGAAGGTCACAGGTATCATCACCTCAACCATTACGCCTTGTTTGGCCGTGGATATCGGAGCGGTGCCATGTCTATCATGCGGAAGTTGATCTCCAAGTACGGAGGAGCTTCCGCCGCGCACCAGGAGTGAGGTGGTTCCAGGTTCCCACAACGGCATGACCAGGGCCAGCGTAACGTATTGTACAATACATAGAAACGGACTGGTTACCACAATGACTATTCGGGACTAGGCCCATGTGGTTGGCCGTGCCAGGAAAACAAACCTTGAGACCAGAGTTGGGCGATAAGAGCTTATTCAGTATTGAATTGCGCTAATTATAAGTGCGGTCTAGATCTTGAGCAGACGCTTCACTAGGTATGGCTGTCCATCCTGATCCCATAGCGCGAGCCGCAGCTCTAAGCCCATTGGCGAACCCCTGATAGACCTTTCCAGTCTCAGCGACCCTTCTTATGTACCGCCGAGAACGTTAATCCAAGCCCGCCCTTTCACCGTCGCAGGCGTAGGCATACCGGAACTTGACGTTACATGAGTTCAGCCGGCTATGCATGCTCCCTTGTTGTATGAAACCGATTTGCCCAATCGCAGCCTAGGCGGGTCGGCGGTGTTTCGAACCTGAAGTTTGTTAGTCGCTCTGAAAAATGAATCTTGTGTCACCAATGCTGGCTATGATGGCAGGAGATATACCTGGCAATCGTTCAAAGACTCCCATGGACCGGACCATCTCTGCCTGGCGGGTTCTCAATTGGCATAGTGCTCTGTGATGTGTCTTCAAAAGCTCGGGCAGCCGGTATGCTTTCCGTTCAGCTCCACGCAGTCAGTCGAAATGACTGTTATGCTGGCTGCTCTGAGTGAGGCGAGAGCTTCCTTGCTTGGGATGGAGACTTCGGCGCCAAGGTCGAGCATGAACCTCAGGGGTTAGATATTGGCGCGCTTGGTGGAACATGCGTAGAAGCGAGCCTTTCCGGCGTGAGTGGAACAGCCGCTGGCGCCTGAGCGAATGCCGGCACCCCCCGATGCAAGGGGTCCACGGGGGCCGCCCTGCCATCCTGGTAAATCATCATGGACGGAAAGCGGATGTTGACCCGAGAGGTTGTCAGTCTCTACCGCCAGCTACTGCAGACTTAAATGATGGGCTCACCTCGTTAACGATGTGGGCGTATTTCAGCCCGACTTCTTCAGCGATGAACCTGAGACGACCCCTCGCCCAAGTCCGCTGGTCTTCGGTCGAGAGGTCGTGGTTTTTGATGACGGTGAGGGACCAGAGCAAAAAGAGGGATGGCAGAGCTTTGTAGGAGCCCTCCTCGCCACAGGCGAATGCCGACAGGCCTGGCGTGCCAAGCGTCTTGCCGTTCATGCGCCAACCAAGATGGTACGGCACGGAAGCCAGGATGTCAGGGATGACGTCCTGGCAAACGCGCTTGGAGGTCTCATACTCGACCGTCATGCGGTAGTCCGCTGGGGCGCAAAGCCAGGCAGCTATCCGGATGTTGAGCGAGGCAAGGAGGAGGCGAGTGACACGCCCGATGTTCCAGGCCATGGCGGTGATGAAATCAGGGTAGATGTCGACACGGCCGGGGAAAACATCCATCTCGCCATAGCCACCATCCCGTCTCGAAACATCAATGTCGTGTTCCGATACCCAACAGATCGGTTGGAAGCGGAAGTCCGCCGGGATTGAGGCGAGCCAGCTAGCAATGCCATCACCCAGGATTTCCACACGCCGTGCTAGCTGTTTTGCCTGAAAGCACAGTTCTGATGACCGTAAACCATTGGCCAGAAGATGGTTCGCTTCCACTCGGAGTTCGCTAAACTCTAGAGCGAAGCGCTGACAGGTTGCAAAGACGGACGAGGTATCACCCGCAGACATCCACCAGTCGACCCCGAAGGGCAGTGGCAGACCAGACGAGAGCACACGAGAGATCTGCAATGTTGTCAGAATGGGCCCGCCCAAATGACTCACTCTGAGACCAGCTAGGAGGAAGACTTGCCAGATGATGTCGCACGGCTGAGAAAAGGAGACTCCCCATCCTCGTCTTACACATCTCGTCGCGACCTCGTGCTTTGACAATGTTGATGGCCCCGTCAATATGTGAGCGCCATGCCAGCATTCTGCTCTCCCTTATAGCGGTTATGCTCTTCGGGAGGGAGGAAGCGAGTTAACACAGGTTCGATCCCACAGGGACCCCCACAGCTTGCTAGAGAGGTAAAGGAGGTAAACGAACCTCGTACAAACACAGCAACAGAACCGCCGCCAGCGTAGAATCAGCGGTGGCCATGGCGGAATGATCCAGGGCCTTGTGCGTCTGGGCCAGAGCCAGCGTATGCTCTTTCAACGAGAGCTGCGGAAGATTGACGCCGTCAGCCTTAGCGCGGTTGCCCAGCAGCGCAAAGGCGCAGGCGTTGAAGGCATGGCGGAGCGCGCTGCCCGAAGGTTCTGTGTCCATTAACGGGAGCAAATATTCCATGAACCCGTGCGGCGCCACGCCCACCGACAGCAGGATGAAGTTGGAGGCAAAGTAGCATGATGCTCGGTGAGCGAGGGGGACGGCCAGTGCCGACCCGGGCGTTGGGCTCAAGCTCTGTCGGCGCCATGGCTGTGGCTCCTCGCGGACGAAAACTAATTGGAGGGAGTCCGTTGACTGCTGCTGGTGGACGGAGGCTGTCTTGCGCAAGCGGCGCAGAGTCGAGCCGGTCTGATCACGGTGGACAATCTCGAACTCGGGCCGGTACCCGCCGCATTCCCTCTTCGACTTCTCACATCGTTTGCACGTCGGCTTTCCCTCGTCGCACTATTCGAGGCGGATCAGATGGTGGTTGACTTCTTGAAGAAAAATTTCTTGAAGAAGACAACTGCTACTCACCTTGATGCGGCGTGCACGGCAAGTCCGGCAGCCTCGGGAGGGCTTCCCGCCGTAGACCATGGCAAACTGGCATGTATGTCGAAAACGAAATCGTCTAGCAGGAAAATCAACGCTTTGCTCTTCCGGATACGACAACAAGCTGCGTATCCTGACTGTGACTCGGGGTGCCGTCTCATAACTTGTGGACTTGTCACAGACGACATGTGGATGAGACATTCGAGTCCTCAAACACAGCCCACGGACCTCCTGCGCAGCAAAACCCCACAGCGGCCCAGCAAACAAGTAGAAGGCGAGGAGGCCAATCACGTCAAAAGACCGGACCGCTAGGGGCCTCGGCAAGTGGTCGATCATTTCGCCAAGATCAGGCCAGGCCACGGGTTGGAGAAGTTGACAGCTGAGTGGGTCGAAGCTGTGTCACGGACATAAGGGCTGAATCATCTGAGAGGAATGCCCAGGGATCTTTGTTTCCATGTTCCTATAAGAGATACACCTCGAGGTAAAGGGGTGGTGAAATCTGCGTGTTCAGCCCTGTGGGTCGGGTGAGAATACTCCGAGCACCCTCGCTGGTGGCACTTCTCGCAGATCGCTTTGATCTGATAACCAATGCCAAGACACAAGGCATCACTCCTCCACGCCAAGACACTTGACACTAGTCTTGTCCTTAGCTTCGGAGTTCTCTTCAACTCCGTCGTCCTCGGAACTGTCAGTAGTCAAGTCCTTAGGATCGTCGGGGAGGTCATCTCGGAGACCCCGTAGGTGTTCAATGACAGTCCGCTGCTGGACGACGTCGTGGGAATGGTCGGGCTCCTAAGCCGTTCTTGTTTCCTGGATTCGTGTATCGTGGCAGCGGCGATCGAAAACCTTGAATTCAAAAATGCCCAGCAACCTGTCCCGAGCTTGCGCCAAGTGGGCCTGGGCTTGTTTCATGCGTGTCGGCATTGAGGCGGTCGGGAGCGAGTCTATCTTGGCGCGAACAATGAGGATCCAGAACGGAGCAAAGGGTTTGAGTGACGCCAGATCTGGAACCTGCGCCGAAGGATCGGCATCCAAGGCGAGTTGGAACATCCGGGTCAAGGAATACTCGACGCCATTCAGCCACCAGCTGTACGACTCCTCGATTATGTTGGATGTAGCCCTGAAGATGCAGCAAATGATTAACACCAACCCACAACGGCAAGACAGGTCTAATCAGTCACACGAACCTGAACTTGTTGGCGGCAAGGATGGTCTGCGCATCTTGGTCGGCGATGTCGAGAACCCTGCGTTGGGTGATGAATGGGAACTGCGGGTTCTGTGGATCAGGCAGATCGGTCCACCTGAGAGCGCAGGGCTGGCCGGAATCAGATCCGGCAGGGGCGTTGGATGCCGCTTCTCCCCTGTTCGCATCACGCGGCTTGTGTGTGAGCGACAGCTGGAGCCAGCGTTTCGTTGGACAGGGGACCTACCCGGCTGCGGCATTAGGAGCTTTCTTCTGGGCCTCGTCTGTGATGTCGGTGCGCATCTGCAAGATGAATGGCTGCTTGGCAAGGATTTGGTGCAACTCATGCCATTGAGGCGCGGTCGGCCTGCGCTCCTTCTGTATTTGCTTGATGGTGGGAAGGCCCTTGGCGGCCGTGTCGTGGAGTTCGTAATGTTGGACTCGGGTGATCTGGTGCCGCTCACGCATTTCGGTGAAGCCGCCTAGAAGCGCGCGGGCCTTTGCTGCATCGGTGTCGCCGACAATAGCGCTCATGAAGAGCTCGTACGACATTGTCACCAAAAGTGAATCCGTTCCAATCGAAAGAAACGGGAAGAACCGTGATTGAAAGGTACAAGACCACTGTATGTGCTACATGCACTTTGTCGATGGCTGGTTGCTCTAGCTCTGATGTTTAATAGAGAATCGGAGGTTTGGTGGGTTCATGGTCTTCAACGTTAGGTAAGGTTATGAAAATGGGTTTCAGCCGATGCCAAGGTCTCCAGTTGGATGGATGGAATTTATTTCGCCCGGAGGCACGAAGCCTAAAGGGCCTTGGCACGCTCCACATGGACAAAAAAAAGGGTACTCCAAAATCGGAATCCCCCCCCCACCGATTCAGACACCCTACTTCCCGCCCCTCCTCCTGCCATCGCTGCCAAAATGAATCGCCAATCACACTATTCCACGCCGAAAAAGGCGAGAATACGAGGGACGATTGA